TTCTTTATGATATTTAGACTTGAATAGGGAGAAGCACAGGGTATTTGATAGAACTACATAAATCTATTCTACTACATTGAGTGTTAAAGGGAGGGGGGAGGGAGTGGGGGAGAGTGATGGAGGGGAGAGTGATGGAGGGGAGAGTGATGGAGGGGAGAGTGATGGAGGGGAGAGTGATGGAGGGGAGAGTGATGGAGGGGAGAGTGATGGAGGGGAGAGTGATGGAGGGGAGAGTGATGGAGGGGAGAGTGATGGAGGGGAGAGTGATGGAGGGGAGAGTGATGGAGGGGAGAGTGATGGAGGGGAGAGTGATGGAGGGGAGAGTGATGGAGGGGAGAGTGATGGAGGGGAGAGTGATGGAGGGGAGAGTGATGGAGGGGAGAGTGATGGAGGGGAGAGTGAGTGGTGGAGAAGGAAGGGGGGGGGAGCAGGAAATGGGGAGGGAGGGGGGAAGGGAAAAGGAAAGGGGGACAAGGAATAGGGGATTGACAAGGAAGGGGGAGGGACAGGGAAGGGGGAGAGAAAAGAAAGGGGGAGAGAAAGGGGAGGGGAGATGGATAAAGAAGGGGGAGAGAAAAGGGAGGGGAGAGGACAAAGATAGGCTCAAGGAGGGGGGGAAAAGGGAGGGAAGAAAGGCTCAATGATGTGGGCGCACATGGTCGTCATGTGCCCTTGTCGTTGTCGTGTCGCGTTGCTGTCATGTTGCGTGTTGNTGGTGTCGTCGTATGCGCTCGTCGTCGTCTTTGCCAACGGGGTGGGCACTCTACATTGTGGGCACTCATTGTCATCATGTCGTAATGTGGTGTGGTGTTCGTCAATGGGCACTCATCGTCAACGGGCGCTCATTGTCATGAGCACCTGTCCTGTCGTGGTGGTCGTTAATGAGACCTGTTGGGATGGGGCACTCACCTTGTTGCCACGTCGCTGACAGCGACGTGGCACCTTGGTTTCCCATTGTCGGGGGCACGTCCTTGTCCATGGTTGTGGCCATCTGTTGATGTGGCTATCCTCCGCTGATGTGGTTGTCATCCATTAACATGGTTGTCGTCCTCGTCATCTGTCATCGTCCATTGACGTGGCGTCATCCTTGTTGTCCATTGTCGTCTGTTGATGTGTGGCCGTCCTCATTGTCCGCTGATGTGTCGTCATCCTCGTCATCCGTCGTTGTCCTCAGTGGGCGGTGACGGCAACGGCAATGGCGACGGTTGTGGCTGGTGGTGGCCGTTGGCGAGGGTGGTGACGTGGCGTGCCAGGGTGTTGTCAACGACGATGGTGGTGGTTAGAAGACAAAGATTGTTGATTGTTTGATGATGCCAAATTGATCATCGGCGTTTGCCGAGACTCACAAATGCCGAGGATTGATTTGGGCATGGGCATATTAATGTTTATTAATATTATTGATTAGTAATGTGTATTCTGGACATTGCATTCCGGTTGCATTCCTTTTTGTCCGTTCTGGGGACCATTCCAGCTACTAATCAGGAATGACATCATTCCCGAGGAATATTTGTCCCCTGGAATGTCATTTTGGCTGGTGTCTCTGCCAAATTTGATTCATCTGGATTCCGCTGGATTCCACAGGAATGACCGGAATCCGGCAGGAATCAGTGGGGCATGATAAAGACCTCATATACGTACGGCGGCACACTCCCCGAAAGGGGATAAGGCTCATCCTCGACACTGTGTCGAGGATCAGAGGATGACAAGAGGATGAGATAACTCCAGCGTCCTATAGAATATAGGGAGGAAGGAGTAATTAAATATAGCAAATATTTAAATACAAGAAATCCATAGACACAGATAACTTGTCTGTGCCTAGGACTTGCCTGGCTCGCTCAAGTCAGATCTAAAATGAGAGCAATAAGATCTGGGAAGGCGGGCAAGACCTGAGCATCTGGGAAGCTGTGCAAAACCAACCAGCTATACAGACGCTGAGAGGGATGGTGGGTGGGTTCGAAAAATCACTGAGGTTGAAAGGACTCTTTTTCCCATGTCAGAACGATAGTCTGAAGGACAAGGAGATGTACAGTCATTCACCGGCTAATGAGACACTGAAAATAAAAATTGATAGGTGTGTCTAGGTACATATCCTCTGCAAAATATACGTGTACAAGATGGTGGACAAGGTTAATGTGAGTGTTGAGAGAAAAATTCGGCCGAAACAAACGAGACTGGGGCCAACTGCACTGAAATCACTGTCAGGAATGGAAAGTGGACATATATGGGTGAATGAGACACCCACATTAGATCTGAGATCACCCTGATCTGATAATCGGAGATAAGCCTTATCTGTCACTGTTGTTGCTTTTGTTGTTGCCGTTGCTTTCGTCGTCGTCGTTGCTTGTGAAATGTTCCCCTTCCTCCTCCTCTGCAAGCCCTGTTCCAGTCTGGCCTGCTAGAAAGTCCTTCAACAATGGTGGAGGCACCTGTTTTGGAATTGCGGCTATAACTGGCTTTTGTCCAGCATTACCTCCACCATGCCCACGCCCACGCCCTTGCCCCTCATTCGCTGCTTTCCATACTGCCAATGCTTCCTCGTACTTGGCAGTCTCACGTTCTTTCAGCTCCTTTCATGCATCCTCAGCCTGCTGCCACTTCTCCTTCGCTGCTTTCCACTCCGCTCGTAAGTCCTTTCTATTCTCCTTTTCCCTTTCCTCTGCCCGACGCTCCTTCTCAAAATTCACTCGTTCCTCATAGAACCTATCCCCTGTCAAGACACATGGTAAACCATCTGGAAGAGTCCCTTGCCACTTCTTTTTCTTTTTCTTCTCCTCCTGGAACTGAAGTGCACCCTTTGCTTTTGCACAATATGCCTCGTTCAGCAAATTCCCTGCCTGCAGGGCGATGTTTCGGTTCGTGAGGTATTCGTTACTTTTGTGGGACTCTTGAAGTGCGGCAAGCAGCAAGACCTCGGTCTCAGTCGTCGGCTCAATGGAGAGAAGAGGAGATGGTTGGGGGTGGGAGATAGTATGGGTGATGGTGGTAGGCATCGTATCATGGGATGTCGTCAATGTGGTTGAGATGAGGTGAGCAAGTTTGGTTTGTGACAGCCCTTCGATCGCTTCATTGATCACATCGTGTTTAGTGTTTGATGGACCGGCAATCGGGGCTTCGGAGATGGGTTCATCTTCTGCTTCATCAATCTTGGCAAGCTTTCGTAACATTGTCACAAGGACATCGATTGCGGGGTCGTCAGGGGGAAGAGGAACATGTGCCTCACATGAGGTATCCTTGCTTGGTGCGAGCATTTCTGCTGTTACGACGTTTGGGTTGAATGGCCACACCCCAGTCTTCTTGAAGGCGGCCTTGATATTTTTGGGGGTGAGCGCACAAACATGGGCTTTTCCATACACAGTGAGGAAGCTATTCTTATCCATGGCTGCCCCATTTTCTCGAAGCCACTTGTCGCGCTCCTCGCCAATCAATTTCTTGAGTGGAGAGAAAATAACCACATCAAGGCCTTGATAGATATGGGTGCCATGTGGGATGTAGCATAGAACAATAATGTAGTTCTCGCGTGCGTAAATGAGAAAAGCAACGGTGTAGTGAGAATTGTGTCTGTCAACCAGAAGTAGGTGATATTCTCCTGGCTTGACCTTGTGCTTTGTTTGTTGATCGAAGATTTTGATCCATTCAATGCCAATCTCACTGCATGTCCAACCTTTCTTTTGATATCCAATGCTATGAAAATGTCAGGTCAGAAAGAAAGAAAAAAAGAGGAAAACTCACAAAGCATTGAGAGGATTATTCTCTCCCCAACTCACTTGGTATGCAGAACCCTTGAAAATAACGGTAGGCGGTGTCGATGTTCCATCTGCGCAGATGGTAACAATAACCGTGGTATTTTCTCGGGTACCAGCCTTTTGCTGATACTGTGGTCCTTTCTGTGTGCGTGAAGCAGCGACGCGCTCACGCTCTTGACCACGCGATTGGAATCCAGCTTCATCAGCCCTGAAAGTTGTCTCAGGTCTAATTTTATACGTGGTAATTGTGTCATGAAGGAGATCCCAATAGCAGCCATTTGCATTGGGGTTAGCGGCCTGCGCACGCAGCCTTTCAAGAGGGCGAGAATCCACCATTTTGATGTGATCGGAATGCCTCTGCATAAAACGGGCAGTCCAATTCTTGCCAACACCCTCATTTGGAAATTTCGGTCCAAGGCGAGCATTAGCAATGAGATTGACATGCTCTCTAATGCAGCGATGGTTCTCAGGCCAACCGAGCCGACCCATCTCCAGAAGAAAATTAACAACAACATCTTCCTCGATGTTTGTGAGCCACCGGCGATGCTCCTGAGCCTCCAGACGAGTGTGGCCACCGTCAGATAAACGTGCCAAGGTAGCATGACTAAGGGAGATCTTGACACCTGTCTCATTGAAATATAGGTTCTCAAAATCTCTACAGATTTTGCGAAGCCCACGACGAGCGCCATGGTTTGGATTTTTCAATTCAGTGAGATAAGCCTGGAGAGCACATGACATGAGATCATCATGCTGCCAATGGATGACTGCAGCCTTTTCAGCTAGAGACTTGGGTCGTCCAGGCATGGGTAAGGTGAAGAGCACTATGTGATTTGGATGCTGAAGTAGAAAAATGACACTGAATATAAAAACCGTTGAGAGATGTGCATGCATCCAACACATGTTTTAATCTACAACCCCTTGCACAGTCTCTGTGTTTTACGTAGCCTATTTGAATGAAAAATGGATAGTTTCGAGGCTGACGGAATCTTTTAATACTAAGGCAATATGTGGATGTGAATTGCCCCCTTAATAGCTCCTCAAAGCCATTGGTAGTCCATCAATGAAATTCATGTCACTACAAATCAGCAATTTCTTTTGCAAAAAATTGCATATTTCACAGTTATTAGCCATTCATTTCATGTATTTCTTACATGAATTTATTTATACTACTCCTGTACTTCCAATGGAACTTAGTTCAAGGAAAAATGTATCCTTGTCGTCTTAGGAGGACCCAAACAAGTTTCACTGTTCGTCGTAATGGCGGGTTCCAAGGGTAAGGAGGCATTTCGTAGGCCTCTGCGCCAACTCAAACTTCTTCCCAGGAAAAGCTCAGCCTCGCCGGGCCTTTTCTCCTCGAGCTCCGCTCACCACACACGGTCTCGACACCGACCTCTGACTCAGTGCCAAAGTTTGGCAGATGCTGAGTTAGGAGAAGATGTCGGTGTCGTTTCCCCCTCTCCTGGTGCTGGCTCTCCTTCAGACCACGTCTATCCAGCCCAGGTAAGCGCCCCGCGCCCTCCATCTTCATGCGCTGCATGCTCACCCAAAATGCACAGTGATCTCGCTCTAGGCTCCGCCTATCTATCTTATCAACACTTAATCACTGGTCATTTGGTGAGGCTCTCTCTATTTCGGACGCCGTCCACTTTTCTTACATCTATCTGGTTCAGACTTCGTTTGCCAGATAGTAAGAAGGCTCGTAAAACTCAGCCGGCTCATTTACTGATATGCCGTACCTCTCGCAGATTCTCTCCAGAGTTTTCTTGGCCCTCCCTCCTCTCCCTCTTTTCTTTTTTCTTTTTCTCATTTTATTTTAGATACATGATTGGACATCCGTTAATCTCTCTTGGACTTCATTGGACATCCGTTATTCTCTCTTGGACTTCATTGGACATTCCGTTATTTGGGGTTCGCCTTAGCGACCCCTTGTTGCTGCTATTACCTCGTGATCTCTCTTCGTTTGAACAGCGCAGCAGAGGCTCATGGTCACGTGGTGTCTCATTGGCCGGTGAATGACTGTAGTCTCCTTGTCTAAGATTCAGAGACATAGATAAGTGTTTGTACTTATGAGTACAAACACTTGGTTTCGTTCTGATGCTCAATCATTATCTTATCCGATAATGAGCTTGCACTCGTTCCTCGTGCTTGCTCATCACAGAATGAGATAACTCCAGCGTCCTATAGAATATAGGGAGGAAGGAGTAATTAAATATAGCAAATATTTAAATACAGGAAATCCGTAGACATGGATAACTTGTCTGTGCCTAGGGCTTGCCTGGCTTGCTTGAGTCAGATCTAAAATGAGAGCAATAAGATCTGGGAAGGCAGGCAAGACCTGAGCGTCTGGGAAGCTGTGCAAAACCAACCAGCTATACCAACCAGAGTGTAAGCTCACAACAGGCAGGTTGGTTCAGCACAGAGGAACTACCCAAAGAAGCATCACTCTGGGAGAAAGTTTATAAGTTGGAATACAAATACAGAATAGACAAGTAAATACAGGATAGCATTGTGGGAGAGGATTTTGTGGGTTAAGAATACAGGAAGAATAAATCAGTATAATAATAGATGCTGGTGATCAATATAAATACAAGTAAAGATGGGTGGAGAATTACAAGGAGAGGTTCCCATTAGAGGCAACGATGAGCGCCAAAGGGATTTTGTTATGGATATGGAACTGTTTGAAAATTGCGGCCAATGAGTCAAGATGGGACTTGTAGTATGCTTTTGAGGTGCTCATTGGCAAAATCTCCTCCATGCGGCACCAGTAGAGCAGGAAGGCCAGAGAAGTCCAACCATCTGTCGCAGCAACAATTTCTGGTGGTACACCAGCAAGGAGAAGCTCCACGGCACCACCAATACAAAAACTGTGACTGAGAACATGTGCAAGCATAGCGGATGACCAGATCTGGGTGCAGAAACTTAGAAATTCATGTTTGAGAGGGGGTTTTGACTGAGAAGAAGCAGTGGTGTATGCAAAAAGGGGGGCAGACTGGTCAACAGATGAGTTAACAGAAAGATGATTTCTCAAGGCAGTTACAGGACAAAGAATGTCATTCTGTGCAGTGAGGATCACAGAAGCACCAAGTTCCTTAGTGGTCTTGGTCCAAGGAATATGGAAGTTTGCAGAGGAAGAGCCATCCCACAAGGTACGGAAAGTGATCCTGCAGAAACATAAGAAAGAAATATAAAATTGAAAGAGTAATGGTGCACATAACAGAGTGAAGGACATGATATTTTTCATTGAACGCTGCTGCAGTAGTAACTGCTAGCTCACCTAGCTGCCGACAACTGAAGAATGTGCACAAGGTGAGAGCCCAAACCGCGGCATGGAAAGGAGTAGAGATATTAAGAGCACGGCGAAGAGCTAAGAGGTGCTTGATGGAGACAGGGGCACGCAGAGGGCGTTTATGTTTTGTTCCCTCCTTGTTTGCAGATACACAGGCAAGCTGAACCCATTCATCATCTCCAAACCAAGGGGCATGATGATTCATGAGCAACATGCCATGCATGGATACCAGAGAGCTAGGAGTGTATGGTATTCCCAGCCTGTCTTCCTTTATATTCCCCAATGAAGGCGCAAAGAAGTGGGTAAGAAGCAGGCATTTGTGCTTCCTCATCGATCCCCCACCTATTGCAAAATTGGGTGAAGTGCAAGGTGCTAGCTGCATACGTGGTTTTCGTGTTAGGTGCATATGTGCCACGGATGGACATCATAGCACTGTTAACTAAGTGTGGAGGGAGAGAATCGATGAGGTATTGTCTGTGACGAGCAGCATGGGGTGTTTCCCATGCAAATAGGTGATCCACAGCAGCAACATGAGGGCGTAGGGAGTTCTGGGAGATTTGACAGCTGGTGTGAGGCTTCCTGGGCTTGATAAGTCGAGATGAGAGAGGTAAGATATCAGGATCAAGGTGTTTGATAGGCAAGGACAATGGTGGAGTAGCTGTAGGAAGTGAAAGGGTACGTGATGTTGAAGAAGGTGCAAGAGATGTGGTAGAACGAGGCTTAAAAGGATTCAAGAGAATAGGATGATGTGTGGGGCGTGGAGGAACAAGGGATGAACCACCCACACTTGTCTCAACAACATGTGTCGCCAGTTTGAAAGGATGATCTAAGCTAGATAAAATATTAGAGTAAGGCAGGGGGAAAGCGACCATAGAGAGAAAAGGAGCTAACCTAGGCATGAAGAAAACAAGGAGATAGCTCATCAGGGAGCTTAAAGGTTGGGAAGATTTGCTTCCCAGCAGGTCCTGGTTCCCCACGCGAGATAGGATCAGCTGGATTAGCATCAGACTCAATATAGATGGTTTTGAACACAAGAGATGTGGACATAAGAAGGAGGTGTGTTTGGTGAACAGCAAGATTAAGATAGATATTCCCACTATGGCCCTTGTCAAGAGCACCGATGGTGCCTTGGTTATTGGAGTGTACAAGTAAGTGAGCATCACGAAGGCCTTTGGCCTCTAGGAAAAGAGCCAAGAGTTCAATAGCAACTGTCTCAAGCCAGCAAATGTCGCGGCCTTCAATCTTCCAAGAAGGTGAGAGCTGGAAGGCGGCCCATTCACCGCTGATGATGATACTGATGCCCCACGATGTGGAGGCATCGACATACAGCCCAAGATCTGATAAAGGACCTAAAGGGCGAAGAGACCAGTACACCCCTGGTAAAGTAAGCTTTATCAGCCACCAGTTCAAGTCGGTGATCAGCGAATGTGGAGGATACTTTGTAAGGAATTCATCACTGTGGAAAGTGGGAAGACCCCTTCCACCCTCCAGATGTCAACGACGGCATTCGCAATCATACCAGCATTATTGCTGGTGCAAGCAGCTCCAAATGGGTGGGCATGATTGATAAAGAAATCATTGGAAGGCCCTTGGACAACGAGCCAAGGTTTATGAGAAGGAAGTACCGGACACATGTGATGGAATTTCTTGATGTCAAGAGTGCACACCTGCGTTCCAGGGGGTGCATGAGAAATCTGTAGAAGGATCAAAGGCATAAGCAAGGTGCAGGAGATGAGGGATATATCAAACAGGGAAATGAGGAGGATCTATGTGCATGATATGTAACAGAAAGGACAAGAAATGTGCATATGTCATGCATGACAACTCCAAAGATAATGCATGAAACATTATCACCCTCAACACAAAAGAGAAAGATCATCATGCTCAATGTGTGGTAGAGGTTCATCACACTTGACGTGTGGAAGAGGAGTCATCACACTCGATGTGTGGAAGAGGAGTCATCACACTCAACGCGTGGAAGAGGAGGATAATCATCGTGCGAGGGGCACGGAACAGGAAGGATAATATGAGAAGCTGCAACAGCGTTGTGCCAGTTGCGCAACTGTTCTGAAAGTCGCCGACTGTCACTGACTGTGACATTTCGCAACCAAACATGACCGCGACTTTGCAGGGTGCCAGGGGTGTCCTCATATATTATGTAATGTAATTTTAGGTGTAGACACTTCTGAGATTTCAAGGTGGATGGATTTGACTTTTTCACGATCTACAGTTGACTGTGAGTCTGTGACCTAAGGTCACGCAAAATGGATTGTGGTACAGTCGCGGACAGCCAAAGTCAACTAATTTTGTGATCATGATGTGAGGACCCTGCACAACCTTCAATAGTACTTTTTATTGCAGAAACGTGAAGATTAGGACTCAATGCTTCGATTTCCACGAGCCAATTTTTCAAAATCGATGAAATGAGAAATTTTACCCCCAAAATATTGGCCGGCCCTCAAATGGACCCCTAAAATCATGAAAAATAGCGCAATCAACTCCTTTTTTAGTTCTGCATCTGATCCTGGACTTTGGGAAAATTCTGATGAGCCGTTGTTGTAGAAAAAAATGATTTTAAACTACCTAAAATGGCAATTCAGGGTCTTCCCACCCCCATGGACCCTCAATGAACCCTGTCCTTTTGACCCCCCTCCTCTTCCCACCTTTAGCAGATTGTATATTACTGATTTCCAATCAGAATTACAATGTTTGGCAAGTGCCACTAAATTTTTCGGTCACCTCCGGCATTGGGAACCTGCCAAGGGGGTCTTAAGAGCCGCTGAAGAGCCTTACTAGATGACAGAAGTAGTCCAAAATTTTGGCCAACCCAATTTCTCGTGGGAAAAACTTCAAAGAGGTGTTTTTGGACGTATTTTCACATCCTGAGTTCAAATCTGAAGTCAGAATGTCAAAATATTTAGTCCTTCCCGAGATATCAACTTGGTTGACTTTGGCTGTCCGCGACTGTAGATACAGAACATGATATAGAGGAATCTAGAACAGTGGTAGATACAGAATATGATGTAGGAATAACTGTGCAGCGTTAGAAGACCGCGCAGTGTGATATAGCACACACCCAGAGGTAGGACCCCATGGCACCGCACAAAGTTGTGAATGTTTGACCATTGATGACCTTTGGTGACTCTCTCACGATTTACGGTCGGTGACTGTGACCTCAGGTCGCCGACCCGCACAACGCTGAGCTGCAACACAGTTGGACACATCCCATTTGGGTTGAGCTGACAAACGCGATGTCACACGTCACTACCTCTCTTCTCACAACCACCACGACCATCGACGATTGGCCACCAGGATCCACCACCACGATTGAGGAACGGCGACGACCACCAACGAACGTCCACGGGGCCCACCACCAGGATTGACAAACGGCCACGAGGGCCCGCCAGCACCACCATCGACGGACGGAGACGAGCGCCCACCAACGTCCACGCGCGCCCAGCACCACCATCAAGGAACGCCGATGATGGCGCACCACGATCTCTGACGATTGGGTACCAGGACCCACCACCACAATTCACAAGCTTCCATGAACGACCCACACATGGCCACGAGGGCCCACCACCACGATCGACGGACAACGACGAGCGCCCACTAATGTCCACAGGGACACGGGGGCTCATCACCACCCTCGACAAACGGACACGGGCGCCCACGACCACGATCGGCAAACGACCAATAGCACCATCGACAATTCCCCAGCCTGCCCCCATCCTCCACCCCCACTCTCTTCCTGAGCCTCGCATACCCCATATCAGCAGACACAACCAGAAAACCTCGTGACGCCAACATAACATGACCCAACGCCCCCCTCTACGAACCAACACCGACGTGTTGAGCCGAACGCCAGCGTGCACAACCAGCCCCGACGTAGGAACACAACCCGAACGCGAGCCCAAAACAAACGATTAGCCAGGGGTCGTTATTGAAGGGGAGAGGTGGTGTTGCTACTTCCTACTTCTACATCATGTAGTACATGTGTAGGTATACCTTCCCATGCAAAGTGTTTCTCGTAGATAAGAAATACATATTATATTGCCATTTACCCGGTACAGAAGGACTTGGACAGGGGAACTTGTAAAAAAAAAGGAACTAAAGTTAGCCAGATGAGCAGGCACGCGATGACACAGATTCGACACATGTAAAATCGACACACTAGAAAGGAGGAACACATCAATGTGTCAGCAATTTACCCTATGTGTCGCGTTATGACCCTATGTGTCGCTGTCCCGATTTGGGGAGTGTGTCTTTACTTGTATACACAGATCGCAGCCCGCTCCTTTTCATGGCAAATACACACTGAACTTCTTTACAGCAAGATGCAAAAACGTAGACACCTCTCCAAATTTCCCAGACTCCGCCTCGCTTTGTACAAACAACCGCTTTAGGAAATGAGCGGGTGTGAGTGATTAGCGTTGGCGGGAACTATATGGCAGAATTTTGATTTCCGACTAGTGTTTGAAAGTCCGGTTCGGTCCGGTTTTTTGATGCCCAGGGGCGTTAACCGTAACCGTAACCGGTCTGCCTTTTCCCCAGAAGTCAAAAGACCAGACCGGACCGCAAAAAGACCGCAGACCGCGGTCTTTTGCGGTCTATAGACCGGTTTCGGTCTGCATCGGTTTTAACCGGTTTATGACCGGTCTTTAGGCCAATATTTTCAAAGTATGAATCGGTAGATTTATTAACATCTCTAATAGCTTCAAAACGAGCCCAAGAACGTTAAATTCCGTTAGGAATTGGTGCTTCTATAAAATAAGTCTGGTACATCTATTATTCCCAAAAGTAATTTACATTTTAATTCATATCTCTCTCGTTTTTTTACCGAATCGTACGTTCTTGGCTGCGTTTTAAAGGGTATTTAAGGGATTACAAAAGACCGGTCCAAACCGGTCAAGACCGGTTCACGTTAACCGGTTTTTTTGCGGTCTTTACATTTCAAAAATAAAAGACTGTAACCGCAGGTCCGGTCTTTTGCGGTCTTGGTCCGGTCTGGTTACGGTCTTTTTCCAGTCACGAGACCGGACTTCCAAACACTATTTCCGACGCACGCATTTCACCAATGAGAATTCAATTTCCGCTGCTGGGATCTGCCGAATCTTATTTCTCTTGCTTAGGATTCGATAATATTTCAACCACCAAGGCTGTTCAAAGACAGTAAAAATGGTTTTTAGTAGTATGGATAAACTTGCAGGTGAAAACTAATAATGATAATACTTAATTGGACAGTCATTGACTTGCAAGTCTCATATGAGAGTTGCGACACGATGCACAAACTCAACATTATCATACTTACACGCTAATATGCTATGGAAACTATGTATGCTCCTTTAAATTTTCTCATGTTTGGTAATAGAATCCGAAGGCTATGCTCCGCGACAAAAGCAACGACTTAGCATAAAAACAAGTCAATGAAGATTTCTTCAGTAGTCTTTTTTTTTACGGTGGACGCAAGGTGGACGCTACCAATGGCAGACAGCTTGGAACATAAAAATCCAGAAAAAAAAACGTTAATATAGAAGCATTGTTTTTATTTACGGGGTGCCAGCCTCCAAAGCCTACTAAATATTATAAATACATATATTCTGGTACTGTTCTGTGTCGGATATAATAATATAAGGTCCTCGACCATGCGAGTTCAGCCGATTTTTCTGATCTCCAGCGGACCGAATCTTGTACTCCCATTCACTTGCCCATTCACTGGCAGTTGACCAGGAGTCACAAATATGCTCTATTTTCTACTTGCATTTTTGTATCACATCTGTGCTATATTTCAAGCGTCGTCAGGTTCTGGAGAGTGGAGATTACCTAATAGTAGTGGTCCCAAAATAGTCTTGAGAAGCGATTGGATCAATCACGAATTCAAATCCTGCCATATAGTTCCCGCCTACCTTAGAGTGATGCAAACATTCTGTCCTCGCTCCACCAACCTCCACTCCGTGCATTCGCTAGCATCTCATCTATGTCATTTCCTATCAACCCTCGTAACAATGAGATGCCGTTTTTGTTCGGCAGATATAAAGCGGTAGTTCCCTGACATATTTGAAGATGGGAAAAGAGAAATTATATACAAGTACCATATTTGTAGGAGTATATAATAAAATGGCGCGCCATGAAGTATGACGCGTCGTGCGGCGGAGTTGCACCAAATGCGGTTGTTTGTACAAAGCGAGGAGTCTGGGAAATTTGGAGAGGTGTCTACGTTTTTGCATCTTGCTGTAATGTGCAACAATACTACATCCTTTTTTTTCACCTCGATTTGAAGAACAAAGAAAGATGGGTAAGGTGGGATCATAATATTAAACACGCCAACCAACGAGAACCAACGTCGTCTTCTGTGGAGTTCCAAGGGATGGACCCTTAATTACCTTATTTGGCATGAGCGCGGGCTATGACGTAGGGCGGCGCTTACTAATCCATCTACCACTGGCAGCGTAGGGTGGGGTTGAGATCCGAACAGACTCTTACTTTGACTGCCACCACCAACATGGTCAACATTTACCTACCAATGAATAATCAACAAATCTTTGCGCTTTCTATCCCTCTCGTCGATATTGAGAGGCTTACCCTGCGCCCAGTCAAATGGCTTCGGTTTCTGCTCTTCACGCTTTGCGGGGTTCGTGGAGAACTCGCTACGAGACCCAATGGCCTCCCTGTCGACTATGACATCAGCCTCAATGACTTGGCTGAGGCATATCATTTTATGCCTCAAGGTAATGTTCATAGATTCCATATCTGTTGCTCGTCGCTAACAGTTTTGTTTACCTTTCAAAGGGGAGTATCGCCTCGTTGATCTCCATGCAATTGACGACCGGGTAACATCCTCTGCGCAAACACTGCGTTCTTCAACTTTTCGTACTGGTGTAATCGCACGAGACGGTCCGGCGTGTGTCTGCACTAAGATGCCGAGCAGGTACTGTGAAGCAGCGCACCTACTTTCTAAGAGCAAAGGGGATGAAGTATACATTTTCGTCGCTCAACGTCATCGTCTTGCTGAATGCTCTCCTAGTACATTGAATTTGTTCTTCGAGACCGTCAGCATCTTTACGACCTCAATGAAGAATCCGTTGATCTGGGCATCAACTCAATTGAGAATGGATTGCTGTTGCGCCCGGATTTGCATAAACTTTTGGGGGCGGGGAGTTGCGCGTTCTTGGTGGTGCGTGAGGCATATAAATTCTGAATTTTGTTCATCAGATGAAGGTTAGACGCCCAACTTCGCTCTAGAACCTGCCGACATCCCTCGCGTTGAGACAGGCCCAATGCCGTCCCGTCGTATCACCCTTCAACATTTTGAAACGTATCCTTCACAAACACCACAGTCTGATGCATGCATGAGAGGCACAGGCACACCGCGGCCATCCACCATCGTGCTGGACTACATGTATGGTGCCGCTGCCTACCGACGCTGGGGCAGAGGACAGGAAATCAAGGACTTGATGCAACAGCGTTTTACGGAAAGCTACAAGTCAATACCAATACCACCAGCCCCTCCGCATATCAGTGACGACAGCGATCAAAACATGGAGTCCGATGATTCGAAAGATCTCGATTATCCACTCGGGGAGAAGAAAAACCGACGAAGAAAGCACTCTGACACCTCACCTGAAATGCTTCAGGCAATGGACGATATCCTTGTGCTCTCCATGTTGATCAAGGGTACAACTCCTGAATCGATGGCTGCAGAAGCACAGAGGCGAGCGGAGGCGGAAGAGTTGCACGCTCAAGAGGCTAGTAAAGTGAAGGTGCAACAGTGGATGCAGAACTCTGAGTCTCCGTCTGTTCCATACCTCCATGCTACTTCTAACCAAAAGCTGATTATTTTTTAATAGTAATACCAATTTCTAATCAAATGCGGCTAGTACTAATACGACCACCTCTTCGCGTCACGCATCACAGAGGCGTTGGAAGGAAGGGAAGGGAGCGTGATGTCACGCATCACACCGGCTTTTGAAGCCATTCCTCGCCTTTTAAAATTTTCCTTTTTTCCTATTTTTTCTGGTGCCTGTGGCGCCCTAGCCATGTAAACAATACTTGGCATATTCCATCTACTTCTAACAAGAATTGCCCCACCATCTAAGAATTTTCTGCATGTTTTAACTTTCAAATCGACGATGGCCCCTGTTTGGATGAAGAGCTCATACTCTTCGTCACGCATCACATCGGCTGTTGAAGCTTTGAAGTCGTGAAGAGATGGTCAAAACGTGTCACGCCCGAAAGGGCCAGAAGAGATGTCGTATTAGTACAGTATGAAATCTTGCAATTGGGTCCAGCTCAAACACAACAAAAGCAAAAAATAAAAGTCCCAAATTTGACTGGGTGATTGCCCGCTGGCTGGATTGAACAACCGACCTCACCATTACGAGTGGCGCGCTCTACGACTGAGCTAAGCGGGCATTGCAAAACAATCAAGATGTAGCTTCAGATCGTGCTGTCAATTTGTGAAATAATACTTGCTTCGCTCCGAACACTTTTTTTTGTTTTGTTCAGGCTTGTCAGACGTGTTGATTCACGCCCGCTTAGCTCAGTCGTAGAGCGCGCCACTCGTAATGGTGAGGTCGGTTGTTCAATCCAGTCAGCGGGCACTGAGAGAGAGAGTCCATTGAGCTAATCCATTTTCAAAGCTACCAGCTGGAATGTTAGTCTGACGCCTCGTAAGCCGATGAGCTTTTTGCTACGCTTGAAGCGCTACTTACCACGCTCAAGCCATGGAATAATTAATGTGGGACCTGCAGCTGGCGGCCTCACTCCTCCTCACTCGATAGCCGAGAACAGCGTGAATCTAATTCAATTCTGATCAGAATTCACTATTTGCTTCCTAATATATACAACCCTGGTGATGGTGAACCCGTCCCTGTCCCAAGTCGAGTCCAACCTCCAGTTGCCTCCCAGCGTCCTGCTACCTCTCTCCGCTTTTCGTAGAGGATACGCTTTTTACATCCCACACCAAATTTGATAACTCGTGGAAAAACAGTAAACGGTTTTTTCTTTTCTTCTCTGTCTGGTCCGGCACTCACTCTGTAACGAATCAAGGCGAAACAGGAACTCGGACTCTTTGATTTTGCCTCCGCTCAGGGAAATCTTCAGGTCAGGTCGTCCAAGGTCGTCCAGGTTCAACCTCTCAATTATTCACACTAAATTCGACAAAAAAGCAGCCTGAATGGCGTTAACCGTTCAGCATTATTCCCTCCGAGTTGCGACCTACTAGTATCTTGTTCACCGCGCAACAAGAATTGGCCCCAGTGACACTTTTACAATACTACCGTTGAACCCGCGTGAAAGATTGCGAAACTATTCGATGAACAATACGCGACTGGGGTTTCGGTTCCCTCGAGGATAATACGACACAAAGCCCGGTCACCACGCAGCCACTCTCCCGGTACTCGCTGAGTGCTCGAATTAAAGCCCGGTGGGCCCCAAGTCGGGAGCTATACTTATCAATGTGCGATAGTCCAGGATGGTCCCTGGCTTCGATGCCAATCTTAGAAATTTATTTTTATATTTCGCCTGGCGGTCTGTCCTCGTCCACTCCCCCTGACCGACCCTGCCCGTGAAATTCCTCCCCAGGGATTTGATACTTAAGCATTGCAGATGCTAAGAAGAGCTGTTAGGAATGGCCACTTCTTTTACAATGCCCATCCTCCAGTCAATCCGAGTTGGGCTGCGGAGCGGGACCATAGTTGAGCTATTCGACTCGGAGCCAGAGCCAGTCTTGCATCTTCTCGCTGCCATAAATTCAGCAATACTGGTGGGTCCTTCAATTCCGTTCCAATCTAATAGTCATTCCTTCTCTTTTATTTCAGGTAGAAGTCCTCTTGTACGGTGAGCAGACACGTATCCACGTTGTTCAATTCTATGACGACCTACCTCCCTCCATAGGAATCCACTGTATTCTATTTTGCGTTTGCGCATACATATTCCTGTCACGCCGACTCGTAAAACCGTTCATAATTGGATCGGCAATCATCATGTTTGCTTTATCGACAGCAGACGTCGCGATCTCTCTAGGACTACTTGTCGGAGGCCTTCGAATGCCCTTCGAGGATGAAACCCATTTATTAACGTGCAGGTATCCGAAGAACCCTATTTTTGTAGCGAATAAGTAACCAAAAAATTCCTACTCTCCTTTTCCGTTATGCTGACCCGTTCCCAGTTTAATTGCAGACATGCTATTGGTGAATGCAATTTTATTTTTGTTGAACGGGAGACCTGAACAGCCTTCAGTTTCACCGATGCTACGCCGTGTGGGGCCGCCAGATTTATACCGCTGTTGTTGCAGGAGTGTTTCTACTAGCCGTTTCCAGTACGCATTTTTCCAATGTCCTGGAACGCATACTCAACGATTGACTCGCGTTACAAAGTCTGGGGATGGGCGGGGGCCGAAGCGCAATTATTTTTTATTCAAGACACCTATTCATCGATATATCTTTGGATGGTGTTCTCCATCAACATCATAGTAACCGCTGCTACAGGTAAATTATCCTTTTTCGTCCTGAAGTTATTCTGACATAGTAGAAACCCCCACAAATTATCTCAGCTGGTCGTATTTTCTGGGTTTCCCGAATCGCAAGGCCTATCCTGCGACCGGGACATATTCGACGTTACAACACTATTATCTCTATTTTGTAAGCCCCTGGCTGCGCATTTTCTGCCAGTAAACCGAACGGGTTTGTCTAACAGGGTAGAATCGGCCGTTGTTTACTCGACCTGCATTTTTATCTACCTCGTATTCTCCAAGTACAGCTCCTCCCTATACAAAGTAAGTTTTTCTTTCGCTGCGGGTATATTATATGTCCCTGACCATGTCCTTTCAAGCTCATCTTCGCGTCTATCGTCATGCGGATAGTGGTAAGCTTTATTATTCCGAGGTCCTACCAAAGTTGACCTCAAGTTTCGTAGGCAATAATGCCAACTTTGATGATAGTCCGAGTAGGTCTGGGCAAGGGACTCGACGATGAAGGTCGCGACGACGTCGACGCAAGGGAACGGCAAGCGCAACCGACGAGCGTCGTATTTGACTCGATAGTCTCAGTGCAAAGTAGTATTCATGAAGCTGATACGGGAAAATCGCCAAGCAGAGATCCGGATACTTTTCTTCTGGAAGAAACTAGTGGCAATGTTGATGTGTTCCCCATGGTCGCGGTCCAATCAATGTCGCGCCTTTGAAGGTCCAAACGTCTCGCTCAATCGTTGTCTCATTGTTTTTAAAAAGTATAAGGAAGCTTCGTGCAAAGCGACCACTATCAAATTGAACAACACCGGGATGAGATGGGGAATTCTGGAATTCGCAAGCCGGCCATTGACAAAGAAAACCATTGAAAGCGCTTTATGACGACACAAGAGTTTTGTACGAGGCAGTGACGACTTGACAAGAGCAATGGAAGATCTACAGCATGCACAGTAACCTGAAAGCATCCAGCTTCCCACACTGAAGCCCTGTAATGTCAATGATAAACATTAGAGGCCAGCGCTTGCAATACCCTCTAAGTTGCCGAACCGTCATTCTAACAGGACCCTGGAAAGTCATGTTGAATGCCTGATCCCAAAATCGTGAAATTTCCCAATTTTCCTCCGGATATGGGATCAGACATAGGAATTTCACAAAATTTATCCGGACATTACCTCAGGCATGGTGTATGTTTGATTTTTTTTTCGCTGTGCAGGCAAGGCTCCTGGCACCCAAAGACCTTGAATTTCGATGTAACATGTCATATCTAATCTTCCCTCATTTTACTCTTCTTCTGTTCCCATTTCAATCAATTCAGGGTGCATGTGCGCAAATATATCCATTTTGTCCAATCTTTATCCGGACTGAGATTAGGCCCCCCTTAGCTTAGGCAATTTTTATCCGGACATTCAACTCAGGCATTTTCCCAAATTTCTTTGATTTTCCTCCGGATAGGCCTGAGGCCTTTCTGATTTTTTTTCAAAATTTCCTCCGGATACTACGGATCAGGGATTTGACACCAATTTCCAGGGTCCTATTCTAACCTATTCTAACTCTAACGCTGCAAGATAACCTGCGTCTGGGAAGAAGATACAACCACCCGATTTTGCTTCTGCGGCCGCCTGCCAGGGTGTCCCTGGCCACGGAACATATGCTGTCAGACCGTTTTGGGCAGTATATATATAGTGGGGTATCTTGTACAGGACGAGGAGGCACTTTATTCTTCAATTTTTTTCTGAACGTATGGAGCCTTAGAACGCACGTTGGGCGATTTCCACTTTACTATAGCTTTTACAGCTGTGGCAGGGTGAGCCACGTACATTTTGACTGTAGGCCTCTGTAGGCGCCATTCCCGTAGAATTCTCGTTCGCAAAGATAACGGAACCCCTGCTTCTGAGTTTCTTCAGGGCTGATTCGGGCCCCGAAGATCTAAAAGTAGAATTAGGACTGAGCAACTTTGAGCTCGTCGATCCCAAGTCGATCCATCTGGTGATTCCTTAGGGCCTGTCAAACTCCACCTAGTCTTGACACGATCGATGACTGAGTGTGCGGAAAGTCAAGGGGTGGAGGAATCATCTAATGTTGGCCTAACGAACAAAAAGTTAAGCTGACCGAGTGAATGCTAGACTATGCTAGATCCTAGGACCCACATGGCTGTATTCAATCAACATTCCCAATCTGCGTCTGAGGATCTGATGAAGTGTTCCAAGATGCCAGACGACTTCGCGTTGACCCCACAAAGGCTGACGTTAGTACGTGGACGGGTAAGACTCGGGCAGGTGTGAGAGAAGGCGAAGGAATAGAACTGAAGAGATAAGTAAGTGCGCACAATAATAGTTTGAAGACTCGCCCTCACCTAGTACCAGCGCTACACGCGTTAACGACAGGGACTAATGGTGGTGGAGAGGAACGGCGAGCTACAGAATGACCCATGGGCATACCCAGTCCCGCTCTCCGAATCCACTTTGCCGCCCTTTATAGCCGCCATATTGGTAAGAGAGCCTCGTCACCGTCCTTCGTAATGCGAAGCCTTATACCACATTCCACTTTGTTCCCTACAATGCACGGCATACGCAGGCTGAGACTCTCCTCTACGGTACGCCTACCCAGAGTTCCTCCTGTCATGCCTGCCAGCATGATTACCAACAACAGTTGAATCGAACAGGTGTCCATGTTGTTCTGTTCTTCGTCTGCTGCTTCATTCTCCTTAAACGACAAACACGGATGAAGTTCGTGATGCTCGCAGGGGTGGTGGTCATGTTCATACTAGCAACGGCGGACGTCGGTGTATCCTTCCACCTCATGCTCCGGGAAACGAACATTTTCGTCCAGGGCAACAGCAAGACGCTCCTGACGAAGGCGTACCCGAAGTTCTTGCTACATGTGACGAACAAGTGAGTCGTGAAGCTCTCTTCGACTCTCTCGAGTATGTTACTCACTGCGAGACAGCTTGATCGCCGATACTCTCCTCGTGAGTGATAATTTGTTGGGAGATGCGAGACCTGGGTGACAAGTAAACAAAAGATAACACGATGTTATGTTGTCTGGGGAAGGCGGAAATACATTCTATGGATAGCGGGGATACCGCTGGTAATAGGGACAGGTGAGTTGCACTAGAAAAAACGAACCTTACTCACTGACAAGGTCATTCCAGCCTTCGGATACATCAGCATGGGGACGAAGTCTACTGGACTGAAGATCTACATCCCAGTTTACATACTCATCGTCCTTGTCTTGAACAACGCACTGACCCTGTTGACGGGTGAGATATTCCTCTTCCTGAAGTGACTAGTCACGATGTTGACTGAGTAGCGGGTCGGGTATGGTGGATTTCAAGACAAGTGCGGAGCTCGTTGGAGAAAGAGAGGCAGAGAGATTATACCGCTGCTGCAGCTATAATGTGAGCAACTGTGCCAGTTCCTCATAGTATGTGGTTAGACTCACATTCAAAAGCATAGAATCCGGGGCCATATACAGCGCGTCCACAATCTTAATTTTGGCCGTATGCAAGAATCCGAGATTACTTGTAAGCCATGAATGTCCATTCGTATGGCACCTTGCTGACTTTGCCTGTCAAGGTAATTGCAGCTTGCATTTCAATTCGAACCGTCGTTGGTATCCTCCCTCCTGTTGTGATTGATGATTCTGACGACTGCGATTCGAGTGCATCATGCCCATCCTCATCACGGTCCAAGTGGTGCTTGGGCGCTCTGCGAGAGAACTGGAAACAATACTCACCGACATAGAGGTGCAACATTGCGAACAGACCGTCATTCTTGATACGGTGATCAGCACTATTGGCTTACAGTCCGACGGGCCAGTGGTTCGTTGCTCCCTAGACGCGGAGCGAGGAGAAGATATCAGCTCAGAGGTGCTTTCTGATCCTAGAGGAGCAGTAGAGCGTGTTTCACCAATGGAATAAGCGACATCGGGAAATTGCAATCATGCAAGGATGACACGTTTAGTGAGCAACCCTGCAATAGCAGAGGGAGCGCGATATTAAGCTTGCTTAGCTCCAAGCAAACGATGTTTGGAGGACTCCATTCTTCGAAGAGGTGGTGGCCTGGCCAGCTGACTTCGTGCTTCAATTTGACGGTTTGAAAAGCTTGTTACGGTCAGACATGTCATTCAGCGGGACACAGGTTGACGTGACGAGATAGGAGTCTCAATCCGGATAGAGAAGAGAAATAACGCGTTCCGCCTGTCCGCTGGAACCGTGCGAGGGGTCTGGAGATAGAAAGTTAATGTGCAAGCATGTACCATATGATGAAAAGAAATTGTCAGCAAACAAAACAACAGTAATGGCGTCTCATCTCGGCGAATTCACGAAAAGAGCGAAGCGACCTCATGGAAGAAATCTGTCTAATCGAAAGCTGGTGTTACACAGAGCATGCGTCCGTTGATTATAGAGGGGTCATGAGCTGAGCAGCTGCGCTACTTTCGTCTCCACATCCGTAGCCGAGAGATTGTCAAGTTCAACGTGTTTCTCCACCCCGCGTTCTGCAAGTCCGTCAGCCAATCACCTCGATACAGCACACGTGTAACGGCGCACCAAACCTCGCAAACACTCGTGCTGGTGTTCCAGTTGCCTCTCTAATAAGCACAGGTAGGTCGGGGTTGTGCTGTTTGATAGTTGGGTATTTCGAAACTATGAATTGGCTACCAAAAAAAGAATGAGAAATGTCAAGTGTATGGTCAACTTGACGTAAACTTACCGGGTTCCCGCAGAGGCTGGGCCTGTCTGCGAGCACAAAATTCGTATTTCACGAAGAGCAGGTGAGAAGGCCTTTGCGAACGACATGCTAGAAGACGAGGGCGATGGCTGTAATATCGGCGAGGAACGCAGATATGTTACATAAGCGGTTACCACATGTTCTTAGAGTGTGAACCTTGTTGATCGCGTTTCCCTTGACGCCAACAAAGACGACAACAAAGTCTTCCCCTCGACGCCGCCGCCGCCGAGCTCTCAGAAAATCGAGCGATGGACGAGGAGAAACGACAAGATGACTGGGCCAACAGCCGCCAGAATAGGCTCCCGTCATTCACAGAGGTCCTGTCGAGAAGGACACGACCCCCCGTTGATCTCTTCATGTTCTAGTGAGTCATCGGCCGTTTTTATTCAAGAGCTATGCTCTAACGGTTCTGTTAATCTTGCAGCCTCTTTTTGCAGCGTGAAGGGGCGGAGGACATCCTTGACTTCTGGCTAGACGTACAACAACACGAGAATCTCTGCCGAGCATACTTCAAGGACGTTCGCAAGTCCGGCCGTAGCATCAAGGAGGACTGGCCGCAATACTGGGATTACGCTAGGCGGAGAGGGTCAATCTACGGCACTGTTGTTGGCCTCCATCCTGAGGGCGCAGGAACGAAAAGGAGCACGACGAGCACAGGGGAAATGTTGTCAGAACAGGACAAGCATAATCTTGCTGCTGTAGGTGACACGGAGAAGGGCCGACGATCGACAAGTCCCCGACCACAGACTGGTCTGTCAGAGCACACCCGAGTTGCATCCGCATCCCCTAATGCGGCATACGATCCCCCTCGCTCAACAACGCCTTTTTCGCTTTCCGGCCGCACGCCTACACTCTTTAATCTCAAACGCGCCTCCCGCGCTCCCACCGTCATTCCTCGCTCCGCTGCAATCAACCGCATGGACCTCATTGCGTCCGCAGAACGCATCTTCTATCGCTATCTCTCACCCGCTGGTAACACGGTAAACTCCAATGAAAACCACGAGATTTATCTTCCCCCAGCTCTTCGCATCCACAGTTTTCCTCTAAGCAGTTCGCACGAGCCCAAGACGCAGACAGAGCTGTCCTTGATGGCTCAAATCCCTGATATTTTCCACGCCCAAAAGGAATATTGCTTCCGAGCTATGGAACAGGATGCCTTTCCTCGCTTCCTTCGTTCGAAAGCGTTTGGCAATTTGACGCCTATATCTGCTTTGGTGCGCCTTATACTGGGCCTCGTCATCTTGTGGATAGGCCTTGCGGTGGCCTTTTCACTGATCTTCTTGGACGTTCATCCGAAGTCGAAGCGTTTCTTCGTAAGTTTTGCCCCTTCTGCTTGCTTTACCCCAGGTCTAAAACCGTTTTACAGCTCTTTATTCCTTTCACCTTCGCCATCACTTTCCTCATTTCACATCAATACGAACTAGACCCCATCCTGGTGTTCTTCGGCCAATCAGAGACGACACCCTTCCGCACGCTGACCATCCGCGAGCCCTACGTAAAGAAGCTTCTTCTGGGACGTGCCATCTGGGTGTCTATCCTCATCGCAGTCTTCGTGACAGCATTGACGTTACTTTTCTGGGCCGTTCCTGGTCACCGACTGTGACGTTCACCCTCTCCCACAAAGAAAACATTAGATACCAAACTGATACCGGGACGGGTATATGTATACCGTGGAATATCCTTTGTGCTCTTATCCATATTATCATACCCAGCTTCTTTCACGACTCTTACGAATCACCCCCTCCTTATCGTTACCATCCTAATACTTATTACCTTGGTTATTGTCCCGCCACCTTCATCTGCCATTGAAGTTATTCTGTTGTTTTGTCGTCTTCACACTCCCTGGATACCCACCTTTCAATACTCCGGTATAGCGCCTCGTACGCCCCTCCTGCTTGTCCTTACCCCGCCATTCCTTCCATATCTACGTCCAGCCATGCTAGCGGCGGACTTTATAATCAAAGTAGTCTGTTTGGTATCCCTTTCGAGGAGGTGATTTCGGAAAGAACAATTTATGCATACGTATTATGCCTTATGATTCACACTCTTCCTCGAATACAAATTGTTTATGATCTGTTGTAAGCCTCCCTAACCATTTTGCGACCAACTCCTTCGGGCAACGTCGACCTGTCCACATCTCAAATTGAACATACCCTTGCTCAAGCAACACCTCCAACCCAGGCACAGTGGCCCAATTGTCTCCAGCTGTCTTTGCTAGTCTAAGCAAAGGAGTCTCCGCAGGTTTGTACGCCATGTCAATGACAACTGCGGGTCCGTCGCGATAATCAAATAACTTGCTTGGTAGTAAGATACCACTGGTCTCTTCCTCCGTCGTTGTTGCACTCGCGGGGACTGTGGAAACGATGACACACGGAGGTACGGCTCCGTTAGGCCACTGCCCAAGCTGCTCGAGAACGTGAACAGGTGCATGAGGGAACGCATGAGCGAGCTCATAGGCTTTGCTGGTAGTCCTGTTATACAGGTAGATGTCGCCAACGTTGAGGGCTGACAGTGCGTAGATAGCGGCTCGGGCAGTCCCACCAGCACCGATGACCAGAGCTGCGTGAATGGGCTTTGAGGACAGCTGTTCGGTGATGCAAGCCTTGATACCTAGCCAATCAGTGTTGTCACCAACTAACATGCGACCCGATCCAGTTGTGCGCGGGATGATAGTGTTGACGGCCCCTATGGCCTCCGCTGCTGGTGATAGCTTGTCAAGCAGAGGGATGACGTCAAGCTTGTAGGGAATGGTGACGGATGCACCTCCAAAAGCGGAATCACCGATTGCTATCTTGATCTCCTCGGCGACCTCCTTGGTCTCCAGCAGCTCATAATGATGTGGTAGTCCCAGAATCTCGAAGCCTGTGTTGTGCAATGTTGGGGACATCGAATGAGCAATGGGTGTCCCAAACAGGTAAAAACGTTGTGCTGGAAGGAGACCCAGGAGATGAAGCGCGTTTTGAATCTGCTTGAAGGACAGTTGACCAGGCGCAGCCTTGCTTGGGAGTAGCGGATGTGACACAGGGCTGAGGGTGGAGTTGAGCACACGAGACATCTGACCCTCAAGTCCCATGTTGATGGCGATGAACGGTTTTGAGCCAGCAGTGCTGTTGACTTTCGAGACAAAATTGTACAAGGTAAAGTTGTCCTGTATGGAGTTTGCCTTTCCGACAATCTTGATAATGTCTCCGAAACGGGCAGCAGCATCATACTTTTCCTTCACCACGGGTCCATCCCATATCATGTTGCCACTCCAATCATGCCACGACGCAATCATGTGCGAGGATCCTTTGAGTGAAACAAGTTCTTTAATCTTCTTTTCAGAGAGAGAGATCTCAACGTCAACGTATTCAACACCCAGTCGAAGCGCAAGCTTGAGAAGTTCTACAGCTTCTTTCTCTGCAGCATCAGGAAAAGAGCCGCCTTGAGACTGTGTTCGGACCGTGAAGACAATCGGCAAGGAAGTGACACGACGAAGAGCTGCTACCTGGCTGGAAACATAAGCCAGGGTTGGAATGGAATACTCGATTGAGTCATAATCCTTCGAAGCTCGGAGGAGGTCTACACGAAGTTCGATCGCATCCACTCCCTGCGTCAATTCATGGATGACAGGGAATGACTGCGTCACATCTGGGTACGTGAGGCACAAAAAATACGACCTCCGGCCTGATGTAAGGTTCTGGGCGAGATTAGGGCGTTGCCCAGTAATGTGGTTGAAGAACCGTGCGATTTCTCGGCTCGTGGCTTTGGGCGAAGAATAAGGCAAGTCACCAAAACGGTTGAAGAAGTCATGGCTACAGCATTCTCCAAACCAGGGCTCACGGCGACGGAAAACGTCCACGATTGCCTCGTCATACGCGGGTCTAGAAGCCTCTGAATTGAGATATCTGATGACCTCATCGATAGGCCGTACGATGTGAACCACAGGGCCCTTGGTTGCAGCGTACTCTTTGAGAAGCTCCCTGGCAGCTGGTGTTTCGACAATACCACCACCAAGGCTAATAACGTGCCCTTGTGACTTTTCCGCGATAAGCTCGCGGAGAACCTCAAATTCCGCGTCTCTGAAAGCTTGCCAACCCTTTTGGTGAACGAATTCGCGTACACCCATCTCGTGTTTGGTTTCGAAGTATGCGTCTGCATCTAAGCATGTCCAAGAAAGGGTAGCTGCAGCCAGATTTCCAACGAAGGTCTTGCCTGTTCCCCGCATGCCAATCAAGATAATCGAGGCTGCAGAATCATGGTTGATAGTCCCACTTGCGGAAGCTTCAGAAGCGACACTTGCCAAGTCGACCCCTTGAACAGTCAACCCGATCTATGAAAGTGAAACGTTACGTTGAAGCGTAGTTTCAAACTGTGAGTCAGTACCTTGTTCTCGAGATCATCCCACCAGTTGGGCCATGTTTTCTCAACACATCTCTTTTCCTCAATGATTGTACCTTCAACCACAGTGCTAAGAACACTGAATGCCATTGCCACACGGTGGTCGTCATAACAATGGACGCTGACTCCGCGTTTTAAGTCGGATATGGGTTTACCAATAATTTCAAGGCCGTCATCCAACTCGATGGTCTCTACACCAAACTTGGCTGCGAACAAAATTTGAGAATGAGTTCAAAAACGAAGAAGAACGAGAGCTAACCTAGTTCGTCGATCATCGCACGAATCCTGTTACATTCCTTGACTCTCTGGTTCGCAATCCCAATGATCCTCGTCTTCCCATTGGCCACGGCAGCCAGGGCAGTGGCTGTCAAAAAGGCGTCTGTCATCACTTCCATATCCACCTCCTCAATCGCCTTCAATTGCCCAATGGGTGGTCCTTGAACAGTTGTTTCCGTAGCAGTCTGACTGACTTGACAGCCCATTTTCTCCAAGACCTCCTTTGCGAACTTCGCGTCACCTTGCAGGGATGCAGAGCCGATATTCTGGATAGTGCATGAAGTGCCAGTGACAGCTGCAATTGCCAAAGGGTATGTAGCGCTGCTCGCATCCGACTCGATGTTGTATTCAGGGGGATTTGTGTACACGGCCTTGGGGATCTCGTAGACATCCAGGAACTTTCCAGTAACTGGATCTTTGCGACGAACAACGTCAACGCCAAAGGTCTTCATCATGGCAACTGTCATGTCGATGTATGGCTGTGAAATGACCTGGCCACCAATAAGCTCCAAAGTAATGGGCTCTTCAGCATACGGTGCACACAAGAGAATGGAGGAAACATATTGGCTCGACACGCTGGCTGCGAGCTGCAACTGAGACCCTTTCAATCCTTGTGGTGCAATTGCCAACGGTAAGCACCCTTCAGACTCCAAAAAGTCGATCTTGCTGCCATTTGCTTGCAGTGCAGTTACAAGCGGACCAATGGGACGCTGTTTCATCCTTGCGTTGCCCGTAATGACTGTGTACTCAGCATTGTCCTGTGGCGAAGACTGAACAAGTGTGCAAACTGTCGTTAAGAAACGAGCAGCAGTCCCGGCGTTTCCTAGGTATAGCTCTTTTCCTTTGGGCGGAACTGATAGCGAACCCTCGCCACCCTTGACGACAAGTGTCTCTCCCGCGTCTTCCCATGCAAAGCTTGCGCCCTGGAATATAGACTAGATCAGTATCGTCAATTTCGTAGATATACACAGTATCATACCTTGAGCTCGTTTAGCGCGGCCATCATGACCTGTGTATCGTCTGAATGCAGCAGATTCTTAAGCCTACATGTGCCCTTTCCAAGTGCGGCCAGAACAAGAGCACGATTAGAGATACTCTTTGAACCAGGAGTGGCCATCTTGACGGGGTGATGTCTAGGCACACCCGGGATGACTTTAGCAGCCTCAGAGAGCGTCTTCGCAATGATAGAATCAGGCACAACTGTAGCTTTGGGCTCGTAAGTTGCGCCAATCCTTGAGAGAATAACGATCTTCTTCTCCGGACCACTGTTCTTCTTATCGATACGCATGATATCCAGGAGGCGTTCGACAGTCAACAGTTTAGCTGCTGGGAGACTAGCTATCCTGGGGTCGGCCAAGGTAACGGGGAGGTTGTAAGCTTTGAGGCATCGATTGAGACGTCCAACGCCAACTTGAGACAGTATACCCATCTGGCGGGAAATTTCGCCTTCAAGAATCATGCCGACGCTTACGCACTCTCCGTGCAAAATGGTGGGAGTCAGCACGGCTTCGATAGCATGCCCAATCGTATGCCCAAAGTTAACGAGGTTGCGCAAACCTGTCTCCCTTTCGTCGATGGTCACGATGTGGGCTTTGACGGATATTGACCCGACGATGACGGAGAGAAGAAGCTCTTGAGCAATAGACCGCGTCTGCTTAGAACGGCCTGCATAATCAGCAGACGGCGTTTGAATAGCAGCAAAGATATCGGCTGAGCGGGATTCGAGAGAGATGAATTCTGCTTCGTTCCATATGGCGGCAGTCTGTATAGAGAATATCAATCATCCTGTCCAACAAAGATGGCTTCAGCATAACACACCTTGACCACCTCCGCCATCCCATTCGAAAACTCCCGGGAAGGCAGGGTCTCCAAGAAAGCCGCATCAATGAAAATATATTCCGGTTGCCAAAAGGCACCAATAAGATTTTTCCCATGCGGTGTATCTATGGCCGTCTTCCCACCAACACTCGAATCGACCATGGCGAGTAAGGTAGTTGGGATCTGAACGAATCGAACTCCTCGCATGCTACACTATTTTCAAATCAGAAACTCTTTCGAGGATGGAAGGGGGACTTACAAGGTTGCTGCGACGAATCCAACAAGATCCCCAATCACCCCACCACCGAGGGCGAGAATCACGCTATCCCGGGTACATCTATGGAGGAGGAGGAAATCTTCAATATTGGCTTTTCCTTCACGGCTTTTTGACGTCTCCCCAGGTGGAATGACAAGGCTGAGGAATCTCGGCTTCGTAGAGGATGTAGGCAGACTTGAGATTCTCTGTTCAAACTCCTTTTCGAAGGCGGTGAGATGGAAGTTTGCGACGTTGGTGTCGGTTACGAGGACATAGGTTGAAGAGGGTAGATTGGATAGGACAGTTTGTGCGATGTATGGTATCAAGTGGAAACCACAGTGGATTGATTCCTTTCCAAGGATAGAGACTTTGAGCACATCCGCGTTCGCCATGGTAAAGCAAAGTCAGGAGGAGTTGGTCGTTGCGAGAGCTGATCTGGAGCCGTCTTCGCTGCCAGTCATTTATTAAGGTGTTCGGCCCTTCTCGGCCGGAAAAATTATGGACTAAGTATTACTGTAACTCCAGTAAGTAACACTACGAATGGAATAACATGATAGATAGGTTGGTAAAGGGAGGAAAGAAACAAAGAGTCTTCAAAAAAAAGTTGTCCGAATTGAAGGATAACGAAAAGAAAAACTAGGTACAGAATTCTAGTTGAAATAAACGTTAGCCATGGGTACATCAGCGAGTGAAAGTAAACTCACAATAAAGAGGCAACGCCCTCAAGGCGTGGAAGCGCAGGGTTTGAAAAGACTGTTCCTCGGCTCACTCCGCCGAGCCATCTGTATGTTCGTCGACGCCCAACCCAACGTCTCCTTCAAGGCCAACTCCAACGAGAAGATCAGAGTTCAGAGCATCTGTTGTGAGGGTATCGATCTGGGTTCCAACATGCGAATTGACATTAGAACCAATAACAAGGTGGGCGAGGGCGTCGAGCGTTGCAGAAAGGTTCAAATCGACGCCCGCAGATCCACCCCCGGGCTTCAAAAAGTCATCCAGTAATTCAATCACCGCCTTACCAAGTCCATTCTCCAAGCCTGCGATGCTTACATCAATCCCACTAGAAAGCCGATGAGGCAGCTTGGGTTGATAGACCTGAGCGACAGCAGAAAGAGCATAGGACACTTCAGGTAACAATGATGCATCAGAGTGAGATCGACACCAGAGTTGAAGGTCAAGCACAGAGTTTGATACCAACTTCAAATCAGTGGCGAGTGATCCGAGTCCTAGATCGTCGGTGAAGCTACATTTGTCCAGAGCAACGCTGACATGCGATATGATCTCAACCAAATAATCAACATTGGATACGATGGATGGAACGGCTGGCTCATGTAAAAATTTCACAGTGGCGTCCACGATGGCGTCGACGAGAGTGGTACGAATGGAAGACTTCAAATTGATGAGATCTGAGGAAAGAGACGGCTGGAGGCTACTTGAAGCAGCCTCGAGCTTCGCCACCTGATTCACGAGAATGAAAAGCCTGGTCTCGAAGTCCAAGTTCGCTGTGGCGGCGACGCTGGCATTGAGAGTAGCAGAATCTAAACCACGACGCCCCACTCCACCCCGCTTGAAGATTGCACTTCCCAAAAGATGGTTCAGTTCGTTACTAGGCCCGGCAAGAAGGGCGCCTCCAACGCTAATGCTTCCTTTTACGTTCGCCGAAACTGAGCCAGATAGAAGGTGTGAGAGGTCCAGTGTAATAGGCGCATTGGACGTGTTGGGAATGGTTGATGACAGGGATCCTGATTTAGAAACATGATGTGCGACTGGATGTCGGTCACACCAACTCTGTAGACCGAGGGTTGCCTCTGACACCTTCAAGAGGTTGTTGAGAACTTGGCGAAGGTTGAGATCTTCAACACAATCACACCCGTGAAGCGTGTTCAATACGACGGCGTTGACATTCATGAGGTTGTTGACGTTGGTAACGAACGAGAAAATCGTGGATGAAGCCAAGAGCTCGGCTGTCGCTTCAACAACAGCTTGTGCGACGTTAGAAGCGACGGTTTGTGCGTGAGGAGCGGGAGGTCCAGAAGGTGGCAGAAGGACATTAGCATGATTCAAGTCGACAACGAGCACGACGAGAGCCTTTAGTTGGGCAAGTAAATCGGAATCAAGAACAACATCGGCGTCCACTTCGAAGGCAGTGGGATTATCACGCTTATGGGGGCGAGGCCTGAGATTCGAACGATCGAGAAGCGCATTTGTAGGGTTTCCGACCACAGATCTGAAACTTGCAGAGTTGGTTTCTTCAAGGTGGAGACCGGAGAGGAGATCCGAGGCGGCTTCAATGGCAACGGATAGGTCGAGATCAATTACGGTACCATTGTTGACAGACACAATAGGGTGGCTAGTGAGATAATTCTGAGTATCAAGAGTGACCGTAGCCATCGTTTCGACGGCCGTCACAAGCGGTTCCAGGGCAAGCCTCTCGACACATCCACACTCGGCTAAAGTGTTACGGAGAAGTGTATTTGCATAGCTGAGGGATTTGAAGTTGACGTTGAAGGATGAGACAGAGGAAGAGGATATTAGGTCAACTGTCCCTGTAGAAACAGTGTTGATGAGGTTTGACACGTGGATAGCAGACGAATCGGATGGAAGCGCATAGGGAGATGCGAAGGATGGCTGGTTTGCAGGTTGAGCATATCCATTAATGTCCACCACCGCGGTAACGAGCGCAGAAAGCTTCTCCACAAGACCAGAATCAACAGAAGCCTCCGCGGATGCGCTGGCGTCTATAACACGTTTCTTATTCTTTTGCAGGCGAAAAGAACCCTCGACATCCCGAACGCATGTGTCTTGACTAGGATTTGTCACCCATCCGTCCTTGCATCGCTTCACGACGCATTCTTCGCTGGCACAGGCGACCGCTTTGGCGTTGGGTATACGTGAACAGTCCTTCCCCGACGGCAGAAGAGAAGGATGTGTTTCCGGGAAGGGGTGAGGTGCCATGCAGCCGCCACCTATACTGCCATGAGGTAAAGAAAGGACAAGGATTAAAAGACGTACAGCTGTTTGGGTCATTGCGTATATCAATGCAATCAAAATCCAAGGTGCCTTCCCTCCCTGGGAGGCCACAAACGGTTTCATGAGATTTGCAATGTGCTTTAGCTTGCGCGATGGTCACAATAGGGCTGTTCCGAGGCTTCAAATGATGGGGGACAGCGGAGCCGCATCCCTATAAAATATCATTTGTCAAAAAAGGTGGATATATGCGGGTAAAAGGCGACAAAAATGAGACTCACTCGTGGAAAGGTGCCACAGACACCATTGCACGTCGTATGTGGGTAAGCGCAAACACAGTTGTTCCCCTGACGGACGTAGTTCTTTTCGCATTTGAAGTCGCAAGGGTCATAACTGTTGCATGTGCGATGTGAGTGGGGAGGCAAATTACATTGTCTGGCTTCCGGAGAACTGTTGATCTGTCCAAAATATAGTTGAATCCATCAAAAAGAACGCATATATGAACATACCAGAGCGGTGATGATGGCCGCGACCTGATCTTTACCAAGAAGGTCGACAAGTGCGGCAATATCGACATTGGTGTCAAGATAAAGATCAAGATCCTGCAAAACGATAGTGAGCACCTGAGGTGGAAAATCATCGACCTGCTCACTTTCAGACAAACACACAATTTAACGTTGGTATTGATATCAAGTGGGCCTAGCAAATCTCCCAGCAGATCTCCAATGTCGGCAAGAAGGTCGACTTCGGCATTGATGCACAAGTCAAGCAACGCGCGGGGCTCGCGATGCTGGCGCAAGGTAATGGGAGTGTCAAGAGAGGGCGATTTGCGCTTCGGTTCTCGGCGTGAGGGAGGATGAGGTTGGACCGCAAGGACGGAGAAAGATGAGAGTAGATGAATAGCGATGGTCGCAAAAACGAGTGTGGCTAAACGCATTGCTCTAGTCAGAAGCGCGAACTGAAGCCAGTTGCAGGGTAGCGGATAAAACGAAGGTGGGCGATGTGTGTTGGGCGATGGGCGATGGTGGTTGAAGAGAAGCAAAGGTCGAGGGCGATGGGGGCAGAGTCGGTCTCTTATTTAATTAATTTCGGCATGACTTTGCGGAGTTTTCCTTTCTCAACGGTGGAGCAGGTCATGACGCGCTCCCGCCGAAACTCTTTCGCCGTCCATGTTTTGACGAATATGTCAATGCAACTTCCATATTGGGCCAATTTGATCCTCGGAAACGATTGCATGGAGTAAACGCGTTCATTTCTTCAAGACAGCGACATGGAAATAAATTCTTAGTCAAATTTCTGCCACTACAGCCTGTAAGAACAATAGCCTCTGTCTGATAGGCATGAACGGACCTTGATATTCACAATGTTTCTTCCATCCTAACATCGGGATTGCTCGTCTCAGGCGGATCCACAGTGGACGTAGGAAAGACTCCAGGTGAAAGTCCATCCATGCCAACAAGATTCACAAGTTCTCCCTCCACGTTAAATTCGTCGTCCTCGTCGCTGCTTCCATCCTTGTCATCACCGTCACCGTCACCATCACCCTCCTCATCTGCAGATTCCATCCCAATATCATCGTCTGCCTCATTGGGCGGGACAGGAGCCTGATGAGGACGCATGCCTAATCTCGGATCCCATTCAAGTTCCTCAGGTTCTTCTACCTCCACCTCAACCCGTTGTTTCCAGTCAAATTTCTCCCTCAACATCGTCACAGCCCTCACGGCTCTCGCAACGCGTCTATCATGATCTCCGCGAACTTCAGCACACTCCCTGAGCACATCTTCATACTCTGGCTTCTTCTGCTTTTGCCCAAAGCCCGCATACGCAAGCCCAAACCCATGCCCATTCATATATGGTGCTGGTTGCGCCGACGGAGGCGGGGGTCCCAAAACTCCAACAGATCCGCGCGATTTCATATGCTCAGAGAGACGACGAACCGTCTCGTTTTCCACTCGCAAAACATCTGTCGTCTGCTGATTCCTCAGCAACGGTATCACGTCCGCGTCGAGCCGAGCGTCCGGCATCCCCACGCTCGGATGCAAGGAAATTCGCTCGTAGATATTCAAGGGGGCTGAGCCGGTGCTTCCACCGGCTCTTGAGGGTATGGGATTGACGAGCGCGTTTGAAAAATTGTGGGTTTGTGATAGGAGGATGTTGTATTTTGAAAGAATGTCTGGCCATGCTGGCATCGCGGCTGGATTGCCTCCAGCTTCAATCGTGCGTTGGAGTGCATAGATGGATTCAATAATTTGGTTGGCCTTGAATTTTAGTGATTCTAGTTGTGACACCGGGAGGTCAGGAACTGGGAGAGTTGCAGGCAAGTCGTGCGCGTGAGTGCCTGTAGCCGACATCATCAGTTATGAGACCGGTAAGATTGAGCAAAGGTGCATGCAGGTCAGAAGAGTTCAGACTCGACAGAGCTTGAATTGACCAAATAGTAAAATACTGATGATCATCAATAGAAACGTGACTTTCATCTGTGCGTGTCTTCTCCAAATAGGACCACACAAGGCTTCCTCTGCTCCTCCTCTTTCAAATCTCTGGTAATCTTTGAATATGATGCAACGTAACGGTTACATCTCACCGAATGACTGGTTTGCAGGGCCACACGCAGACCTCACCCGACGATGAATAAAATTAAGGAGAACTCGGTTTCTCAAAATCTACGAAGAGAGGCTACTTAGCGAGAAACTTACTCTCATATCATAGTTCCGTCTGAGTCGCAAAGAAGTTATACCTACTCGTCATTTCGAAGTCTTCACGATCGATAATTTTTACAAGAGACGAAAGACGTCGACCCTATTTTCAAAGGAATTCGCCACATTGACGAACAATTGCTCACGATCCTATCTTACGAAGTCGCTGATGATATCACGGAGAGATCTAAAGACACCTCGCTTGACTCCATCTTCCGTTGAGCCAGGTTCAGCCGTGATACTATCAACCGTTGTCTTTACTTGCTGGGTTATTATTTCTTTTTTAGGGCCCAGAACTTCGGAGCCAACAAACTTGCAGCAGATGGCACATAACTTCGGGGCCAACAAAACTGCAGCAAATGGCATTAATCCCTTTGTTTCCAGCTGTGAGTACCATCGCAGACGCAGCCCCCTCGGAGACGAGTTCCCGTACGAATGCAGTGTTTATAGATCATAGCCAGGAGTTTATAAATTATCCTTCGGCAGTAGTGAAGGAAAATATTTGGCGGTATCGGGCATCCATTACTTATAGCCTATGGCAGTGCGACTATACGGCGCAATCCCAATGACCAGTTATCGTACAGAGATGTGGTAGATGTTTTGCGCACTGCAAGTGTGGGTCTATGTTTGAACTTTCTGGATTTATCGAAGGGGATGGAAGGCCGAAAAAACCGAAGTTCTCGCTAGCGCTTCACTTCTCCAAGTCTTATTATATTTTTGTTAGAAAGTCGAAACGAACCCCCGAATTTTATATCATAGCGATTCGGTTATCCGCTCTCCCGTAGAATAACGACAGTAACCGTTTCGAGGGCTGCGGAAGGTACGATCGATACCGGTAAAAACCGCTGGCCTAATTTAGATGGGACACATGACAAACCTTCCACTACTTGCTATTTCCAACGCCTTTCAATCAGGACGTGAAGCCTGATAGACTTGACTCTCCTGAGTCCTGAGTCCTGAACGTTGGCGATCCTGCACTATCTGATTGCTTCTCTTATCTCTATTCGGCTGTGGCGGTTAGCTAGGCTATGCATGGCCATGGGCGGCTCAAAACAAATGCCTACACGTTCGTCATGCGATTTAGTCAAGCGTACATGGATCAACACACGTCCCCGAAGTAATCGACGACGCCGATAGATCCAGAATTTATCCAAGGCTGGACGTGTGAGCGGTGATTTGTTTGCCCAGAATTGTCATTGCTAGGAAAAACTCTTGGCGCTGGGGGAGGTATAATAGGGTTGTCGTCGATCCCAACTTCGGAAACTACTTTGATTTCACCTCTCACATATCAACATGGGTCTCTTCCACCACGAATCTGACGAAGCCAAGGCGTACGAAACAGTGTGTTTTGAATCGACGTTTTAGCAGCGTTGATCTAATCAGCCATCGACCACATCCAGGTTAACAACGCCACTAAAGAGCACAAAGCCCATCTCTCTCATGAGCTGATCGCTGCCGCCGCTTCATACGAGGTTTCTCAATCCATTCTCAAATCAATCACAGAAAGCTAACTGCAAATTCAGGCCGCCAAAGCTTACCAGAAGCACTGCGAAGAGAATGGCAAGCCTCAATCTCACGCCAAAGCCAAGGAGATCTTGTAAGTCGTTCGCCTTAAACCTTACTCGATCGCATCTTATCCTCTGTCAAGGGCTGGGTTCTCCGGCGCCTTCGTCGATCGCTTGGTAGAGACGAAAGGAGTAAGGTTTCACGGTTTATGTCTTGAACAAATGTTAATAGCTCTCTGTTAGCTTGACTTCGTTGACAAGCAGAAGGCCAAGCATCACGGTAGGTCGATTCATTCCATTCCAGCATCCTAAATACTGATATGTGGATTTGTAGCCAAGGAGCAAGCTGAGGCGGCCCTGTCAAACGCTGGACACTATTGATCAAGCTCAAACACTGGGAAACATGTAATATATCAATGTACATACTATCAATGATATTTCTGTGAATAACCTGCTTTCAATGGGGAATGGACTGAGGATTGAGATGCATAACCGGGCCGGGCGGAATATCATCTGAAATAGGAGTGGTCTATTTATATCTTGTCTTCATCATTGCGTCTTATTACTGCGTTTTGTTGCTGAGCTTGCAAAGTACTGAGTACTGAGTGCTGAGCGCTGAAGTCTTTCTAAAATTCGAATTCTAGCAATGGTTAATACTCTGGGTGAGATCGATGCCCCAAGGCCAATCACCCAAGTCTAGTCCATCATTATTGACACCGCTCGTCAGCTAATCAAGTAGAAATTCAAATCACTGTTCGACGCTTCTCCACCTTGATAAGTCCACCAGTGAGTATTTGCATGCCAAAATTGTGTTGATGAAAGCCTGGAAATAATATTTAATGGCGAAGCTCGCCGCATGGTCGTTGCTCCACGGACTATCACCACCGGTCCACCGCGCTTCTCATTCTCTTACGCTACAAATGTGATCATAATGACGTGCACATCTCCTCTAATACGCAAATTCGGTGGGCATGTGGACATTTACAGGAACGCATTGTTTGGGCCACATCTTGAATCTTGACAAGAAGACGTATATAAGTGAGTTGATCATAAGCTTGCGCATTCTTTCCCCATAACATATCTTTACTCCCCTTTATCACTACATTCAACAACATGGGTTGGTTCAGCGACGATTCCAACGAGGCGACTGCCTATGCCACCGTAATTATATGTCTTCCGTGTCTCCTCGCTGGTTCGCTTATCGCGATTGCGATAGCTTACCGGCAACGCCCCCCACAAGTCTGAGATCTCCCATCAACTCCTAGCTGCTGCTGCTTCGTACGAGGTAGGTTTATTTTACGAATTTTTTTTTTGCAGCGCACCTCCTAATGGGCGCTGCGTCTTTAGGCTGCCAAAGCGTACGAGAAGCATGTCGAAAAGAATGGGAAGCCCGACTCTCACGCGAAGGCGAAGGAAATTATGTGCGTCGACTACCAAATTGGATGAGTATTTTGATGACACCTGTAATAGCGCTGCACTCAGCGGTGCCGCCATTGATCGCCTTGTTGAGACCAAAGGGGTGAATATTTTCAACCTTTATTATTAGTGGAAATACTGACCTGCTCGGTTAGCTTGACATTGTCGATAAGGAGAAAGCCAAGCACCATGGTAGGGAAAATAATGCTCTTTTCGATCCACATTTCTCTAACGGACTTTCAACAGCCAAGGAGAAGACTGAGGCGGCTCTTGCGAAATCTGGCGAGTACTAGGCGTCTCCGCAATAGTAGGTTCATTGGCGGAGATCATAAGATACCGATGTATATAAATGTATTTCTGAAGATGTGGGACCACGATACCGTACTTCTGTCACCTGTGCCTCTCACCGACACCGACCCCGGATTGATCCCAAAACGTGGATCAAATTTGCAAAATTCTTCATAAATGGATAGCTTTTGCATTAAGAATATTTTGGCCGTCAAAGTACACGGTGGGAGACTCCAGCCTCGAAGCTAAAAATAGCCATCAAGTAGATCTTATCCCCTGTGAACATGTGGACAGCCGAGTAAGGTGATATTACAGATCGCAACCATTCGTCACTCTTGCGTAACGCTAGGAGAAACGGTATAAAATGGGAGCTGGGCTCTCCTTTCACCTCACCACTTCCTCAACCTATTACCTCTTACCACTTCTACTTTCATCTCACTACTATCTAACATGGGTTGGTTCAGCGACGATTCTGACCAAGCTAACGCTTACAACGAAGTACCTTCAGCTACGGCGCTTGACGATACGCGTTTTCCTCACCAACATCCCACAGGTTACGAATGCCCCCCACAAGGCTACGCTCTCGCACGAGCTGATCGCCGCCGCTGCTTCGTACGAGGTATTCGCTATTCCAACCATTTTTCTCAGGTCGAATTCTCAACCGTCCCTATATTACTAGGCCGCCAAAGCGTACGAGAACCACGTCGCAGAGAATGGCCAGCCTACCTCTCACGCAAAGGCGAAGGAAATACTGTACGCCGGCTATGCTAGCATTTGAAAAGCTCGTTCTGATAACCTTTTGACAGTGCCGGATTTGCTGGTGCCTTCGTTGATCGTGAGGCAGAGACCAAAGGGGTAGGTTTTTCTCTGGTTTTTCTTTGAGGAACGGACTAGTCATACTTCGCTAGCTTGACTACATCGACAGGGAGAAGGCTAAGCACCATGGTAGGCAATCGATTTGTTGTCTCGCGATTATACGACTTACGCACCGTCACCAGCCAACCAACAGCTCCATGATGCTTCCTACGACGACTATAACTAAATCGTAATTCGAACCGACCCGAAACTGTAACATACCGCTGTTTATCTGAGGAACAATAAGAATGACAATGTGATTTACCATAAATTACAATCCAATGATTATCAGTTTACCATTGATCTCGCCGAGGTACAATCGTTCAATGTTCTAAAAATAAATTGTTCTATATATAGCCACAAATGATGATATCGACGTAGTGCCAAGTTTTCATGAATTGAGACCTATTGAAACATTTCTTTTCTGTCCTTCGACCTCTCAAAATCATATCCCAAAATCACTAGATATCATGGGCTGGTTTTCAAACGATTCAGACCAGGCTGCGGCATACGACCAGGTAAACACCATTTGGCACTGGAGGTTCAAGCCACCGTTTCGGACTGATCTAAATTTCCAAGGTTATTAATGCCCCTCACAAGGCCCAACTCTCACATGAGCTGATTGCTGCAGCTGCTTCCTACGAGGTGCTAGTATTCGTTTGGGTCGTTAATGAATGTTTCCCTTACCTCCTTGTTTCCAGGCCTCCAAGGCTTACGAGAATCATATCAGGGCCAACGGCCAACCTACGTCGCACGCCGAAGCGAAAGAAATTTTGTACATTGACTCTCACCTATTTTTATGGCTCGTTTGACATCATCATGTAGAGCTGGCTTTACTGGCGCTTTCGTGGACCGCTTGGTCGAAACTAAAGGGGTTTGTTGAATATCTCGCTTTCCTCGGAACGTTTCTTGATACCTGTGAACAGCTCGACTACATTGATACTGAAGAGGCCAAGAGACACGGTGAGTCACTTAGAGTTGTCTAGAAAATGACGTTAGCTTGACGAGAATGGGGTACTTTAGCCCGCCGAGAAACTGAGCAGGCATGGAGCAGCGCGGGACAGTATTAAAAACGACGAAGTCACCAAAGAGAGGACTTTACTCAAGTACCGCTTTTATTATTTTGATGTCCTGAATAAATCGCAACACTGATTGAGCTACGTACATTGACTTGGAAAGGTAAACTACTCACCTTTAAGCTTACAAGCCCAGTAAATTTCCGAAGCACGGAAGTTTCACATCTCCAACGAAAAGAACATTGTGAAAAAGTCAGCTGCCCACATCTAAACGAATGACCGTCTGAAAAAAAAGTGTGTCACCGAAGGACAAGCTTCGAGGGAGGCAGAATGGTTGCTTGTTCCACAAGAAACTACTGAACCCGCTAAATAGCTTGCTCTCTGAGAACCGTATCTGTGGCTGGCTTTTCCTTGAATTGTAAATTCAAGGATGTGATAAATCAGTTGAAAGACGTACAGGCTGGCCGCACAAATGTACTGCTGGAAAATCTTTCCTCGCGATATGTAGACAACACATCCTTGATTTCGCGCTTGTTAATTGGCAACTCACGGACGCTGTCATTCGAATAGCAGGTAATGGGCGATACAGAGAACGCCGGCTTCTACGGCGCGAGCATGGGTCTAGATTAGTGAGAAAGGTATGTTTGTGCTTCGGAAACCGGTGCCGTCTGCACACGTTCCATTGTTGGGCGTGACTTGGGCGCGACCTGGAAGCATTCCATGGGTGCCTTGCAGGATTGACATCGGAACGCCAGCGGTCCGACAAATCGACTCGAGAATCTATCTAGCCGCCATGATCATGAGGCTTGAGAGTTCAGCGATGTAGTGAGCTGATGCTCAAAGTTGGCTCAAAGACGTCGGACGGAGTTAATGGGCCTGCCGATGAACCAGCGTTACAAAAAACCACGAGTCGAACCCTCAACGTTCAACGTTCAGCAACTAGGCATCACGAGAAGTCGAGAAAAGTGCGCTTGAGTATCTGAGAGAGAAGCGAGACGATTGGAGAAGTTGGCAGGCACCGATTGGGCAGCGTTTGCATCGCGTACAAACCAGCCCAAACACTGACTTCCCAACTTTCAACGTTTCAACCTTCCCCACCTGCTGGCCGTTGTCCTTCCGATAGAGAACAAATAGGATTGTACGGTGCTTAAATGCTGGGTCTCAACGGCATCAATGCGCTTTACTCAGGAACAACGTTACAGATTGTAAGAACCTGCTGCTTATCTTGGTCTTCCACTAGGAACGGGCTTTCTCCTTAGTTGGGCTATCCAGCAATCATACATGTTCGGGGCCAAAAGTTATCCTATTCTGGGTCTCTTTTGGATAGCATCATAATGGTCAAATCACGCAACATAGTACTGTATACGGGAAAACCGTCCCGGCGACTTGAACGTCGTTTGCATCTGGGCATACCTATGTATCTCACCGCGATCACGTATACGTGGGGTCTATTCACGAAGTTGTCCAGGGGGCGGCGCTGTACGGAAGATTGGATCGAACACTAGGTAATTAGGCGCAACTTGCGACTTCATATGTTCCGAATTTCACACTCACCAGGTAATGCAGGATTCGCAAGGCTACCTATCCATGGGCTTTCAGCCGGCGGTTAAGCAGTAGCGACCATCGAAGTTGCTGCCGTTTAAGCCATGACATCCAGGCTCGCAGTAATTCCGGGATGACGTCCAGTTAATAGGCTGGTGTGGATGTTCTGCGATTCATTCCGTCGAAGGTACACCCAACACGACAACGACAAGTTGGCTGCGGAGCATAACAGATGTACACGTAAAGCAAATCCATGCTCTTTGCCGTCATAAGGATTTATGCAAGAGCCTGGTGATCAACACTATTACCAGCATGCAGAACAGCACCTCACGCCGCTCGAGGCGGCGACCTCGGAATCTTTACCATGCCTCATGCAATTCCAATAATGCTTCTCTGCTGGAAGCCCTGCTCAACAGGCGAATCACGCATGCCCTAGGGAGTCAGCACCTGCGCATGCGTCAACGGCTAAAGAGACTGTTCATCATCCATTTCCGGCCAATTCGAAATTCGCGGGCCCGTTCGACCCTTCTTGAAGACCTGTTCCGCCACTCCTAACAGCCCACACGTACTTAAAGCTTGATAATCAGACGAGGCCATCCGCATTAAATCCACCTCTCTTCCTGTTGATTGCTACGATGCTCTCGCCAAAGGTTTTAACCACTGCTATCATTTTATCTTTCGTCGTTGTGCTTTACCGCCGAGCTCAGCGAAACAAGTCTGGGTTGCCTTTACCTCCCGGGCCCAAGAAATGGCCGCTCATCGGTAGTCTGCTATCGCTGCCTACGAGTTTTGAATGGGAGACTTACGCTCACTGGAGCGAAGTTTATAGTTTGTGTCGACCTTTTTCGTTGAGGTACCCTTTGCTCATTCCAAACCATTTTAGATTCCGATATTTTGCACGTCGACGCAGCGGGCACGTCGATCATTATTGTCAATTCGCATCAAGTTGCTACTGAGCTGTTCGAAAAGAGATCCGCTATCTACTCCAGTCGGTTTGTTGACCCATTCCGTCTTCACCGCTGGCACCGTCTCCTTACAATTCCTTGTCAGAATTTGGTCCACCATGGTCCATGAACTGTGAGTGCCGTACGTATTGCCGAAGCACTGGTTAATGCTCTTATTTTAGAATCGGCTTTGACTGGTTGATCAGTTTCATGGCGTATGGTGAGCAATGGAAAGAGAGAAGAAGTTTGTTTCAACACCACTTCCACCCCCTGGACACTTTCAGCCATCACCCAATCGAGCTAGAATACACGCACAAGATGCTTCGCCGTCTGGCTGACACTCCGGACAAATTCATGGAGCATCTTCGTTAGTGAGTTGCTGTGTTCAACATCTAGCTTCGTCGCTGCTAATCCGCGTTTGACTACAGTATGACGGGCGCAATTACGATCTCGATGGCGTATGGTATCAAAGTCCAGCCTGACAATGATCCTTATATCGAGATAGCCGAGAACGCTCTGATTGCCTTGGCTGTGGGTGCTCAGCCTGGGGCTTTTCTGGTGGACTCTTTTCCTGTCCTCGAGTATGTTCCTGCTTGGTTCCCTGGTGCTGGGTTCAAGTGCAAGGCGCGAATGTGGCGCATTTGGACTAAGAAAATGGTTGAGGCTCCATTTCTTGCAGCCCAGCGTCAAATTGTAAGTTTCCTTCCCTCCTCCCATAGGGGACGAGGCTGAAAGAAATGAATTGGTAGGCGGAAGGAACTGCTACCCCATCGTTCACCTCCATGTGCCTCAATAACCTTGACGAAACCAGAGATAACACTCATGAGCTTCAGGTCATCAGAGACACTGCAGCAAGCCTTTTCGTTGGTGAGTGCCGTGTTCAAACGCCCTTCGATAATCAATATCAAACTCTTCTTCTCAGGCGGAGCGGATACTACTGTAGCGGCGATGAACACCTTCATTCTCGCGATGGTATGTTACCCCGAGGTGCAGGCAAAAGCGCAAGAAGAAATCGACCGTGTGTTGGGTGCTGGCCACCTCCCGAACTTTGCTGACGAACCATCGCTTCCCTATGTTGCTGCTGTGGTGAAGGAGGTACTAAGGCGGGTTTCTTAACTCATCCTTTGCATGCACCGTAGCCCTAATGTTTTTAGTTTGTTAAATGGCAAGCGGTGACGCCTTTAGGTACTCAACCGAACTGCCGCAAGATGCCTAACTGACCAATCTGAAGCCGTTCCTCATTTCCTTTCGGAAGACGATGAGTACAACCGGATACCACCTCCCCGCAGGGTCTGTGGTGGTCGGGAATGCATGGTGGGTGAGATGATACTGTATCGTAACCTTTTTGCTAATTTGTTCTCCCTAGGGCTATTCTGCATGATAAGGAAGAGTATATGGAGCCTTCCGTCTTCAGGCCCGAGCGTTTCTTGAAGGACGGAAAGTTGGATAGCGACGTACACGAACCACTAGCTGCTTTCGGCTTTGGTCGAAGGTTCGTAACCCGTTTAAACTCTTATTCACGCAAATACCAATGTTTCTACAGAGTTTGTCCTGGAAAGCACATAGCCAAATCAACACTTTGGATCACCGTCGCGTCGATTCTGACAATCTTTAAGATTTCGAAAGCCATTGACGCTGATGGGAATGTTATCGAGCCGTCGCAAGAGTATACTTCTGCTCTGATTTTGTGGGTGATTTTGCTTTTTGCCTTGCCGCTTGAGTTGACGTGCGTAGACAATCTAGACATCCTGCCCCGTTCAAATGCACTATCAAGCCGCGTTCGAAGGAGGCGGAGATGCTGATACGTTCCAGCTTGGATTGCTCTGAGGGATTTGATTAGCCTTTTGTATGTGTTACGATGTATACATATTGGCAAAAAGAAAGAGCGGATATTTCTTGGAGAGTTGTTTGGATGTAATGCTGTCCACCCTGAAATCCAAACAATGCCCTTAACATGGTCACGCGACAAACCCTTGATTCACATTTGACGAGCCAGAGGGTTTTCCAGTTCCACCCACAATTCCTTAACAACTGCCCTCCTCAACACTCAACGCCAGGACCTCCTAAGGATGCTCTCCGCTCTTCGCACCATGCGCTTAAACGCGCGACTTGTATCGCCCCTTTCGAGGTCTACAGTGCTCTCGTTGGCATCGCGCTCTGCCCGCGTGTCACCGCGTTTCTTCATGACTTCAACGGCCGTACGGGAACCTGCAGCTACCGAAAAGTCCAAATCAAAGGTTGCCGCGAAGAAAACTCCCGCGAAGAAGAAAAAACCTGCTGCCAAAACGAAGAAAGTTGCTGACAAGGAAGCTGCTACAAAGAAGAGAGCCCTTGTGCAAAAGAAGAGGCTCGCTGAGAAGGCCAAGCAGGCCAAGGCCCTCATTCCCAGGAATAGGATTTGTTCGTGTTTTATACTGTGCACCGAATATAAATGACTGAATTGGTGCTGTAGTCCCTGTCACCAGGGAAATGTTCCCTCCCAAGCAGCTTCCAGGAGCGTTTATTCGCTATATGGTAGCGGAGAATGCCACGAGCCCCAAAATAACCACCGTTAAGGACGGGCAGGCCAGGATTGCTGAACTAGCAGCGAAATGGAGAAGTCTCCCTGAGGAAGAGAAAGCGGTATTTGCCCGTCCATTTCGTTCTTGTGAACGAGCTGACATGTCTGTCTAGACTTATAGAGCTTCCAAGGAGGAATTGGCGGCTCATCGCGCTGCTAAGAAAGAGTGGGAGGATAAGACACCTGCTGATATTCAATGGGCTTTCAAGAACAGGGGTAGGGCTAAAGGGTCGGGTAAAGTTCACATTCGAGTCATCGACGAAAAGAGGAAGTATAATGCGTATATCCTGTGCGTGTCCTTTCTGTGTGTCGTCAAGTACCCGACTCACCCAATGCGCGATTAGCTTCTTCAAACATTATCATGCGACAGAGTATGTGACGTACAAGGATGCCGGTAACGCCATTCAGTTTGGAGCTGAGGTTGCCAAAGCCTGGCATGCCTTGTCAGAAGAAGAACGAGAGGTAAGGCATTTTGGATTGTAAATGCTACTTGGATATTTGACTAAAGCACCCTCCACAGGCCTGGCGTCAGAAGTCGGTTGTTGCTAAAGCTGATTGGGAGGCTCGACATGCCGCTGCCTAATTATGAGGAAACACACCGACAGGCCCTTACTTTACTTTGAAGAGATTGGTTCAACGTTCTTTACAGAAATACCACTTGTACATAATTTGACAGAACTCCCCCCTCTATCTACTCCTGAGTTAAAGGGGCAATGTCATAAATCTCTGCCTGAACTTTGCTGAAAGACAAAGATGAGAGTGAAGAGTCGTCGCGTGACGCGACCTTTCTTTACACTTTCTCGTCACGTCTACAATGCACTCTTCTCTCTTACGCCGCGCACTGGTCAGTTTTCAAGCCGATACCTGTCTCGCTTGCTCTACATCACGCCGGTACGCATCTAAAGGAAGTTGGGAATGGCGTAGGGAGAAGACACCCTGGCGGAATGTGGAATTATGGAACCATGAACCGCGTATGTACCCTCCTCACTCATACAACCAAGTATTAAATATCCAGAAGTACCCAAAGAGCGAAAACGCCCGATAGGGCGACCCAGGAAAGTGCGACTGCCTGATGATCTGAGCATGTTGCCCTCTTTACTTTTATAACCAAGTACTCAATATTTTTGAATTCTTAGTTCCAGTCCCAAAGGAGCCAAAGCCCAAGAAGGGTATGTACTCTCGTCACTTATACGGCTGAGTGTTCAATATGGAAAACAGTAGCTCCAAAGGAGCCAAAACCCAAGGTTGAGCGGAAACGCAAGGAAGAAGTAAAACCGACCAGGCGTAAGCACCTTTTGAATGACCTACCGACCTTGCGCTTCAACTTACGTTTGGACTACCTTAGTAACAAGAAAAGAAATCAAGCTTGCGAAGGAGCGAGGTAAGCATAAGATCCCACGTCCCGAATGTACCACTGGCCTTGGACTTCGGCTCACGTCTATGTAGGCGAGGTTCCAGCTATCTTGCCGCCAACAAGACCACCGACCGCCTTTGCAAACTTTATGATTCAGTTTTACAAAGACTGGCAAGACAGGGAAGGACGTGGTTCGTTTGCTGTCGTTGGCCAGGCGTGGCGTCAGCTTCCTGAAGAGGAGAGAGAGGTACGTACTCCATCTTCAGTGGGAATGAAAAGTGTTGATTGGCGTTTTTTTTTTTGAAGAAATACTATGACGCTACAGAGTGGGAAGAATATCGTAGGAAGATGGATGAGTACTTAAGGGCTACTAGTGGTAACACGGATATGACGAAAAAGACGACACCGTATATTCTGTGAGAGTTTCACTTTCCAGCTCAACGGTTTTTTCTGAATCGAGCTTACTTGTTGATAGATTCCGCGCTGAGAAATTGACAGAAATGGGGCATGATGGGACTCGAGAATCCCTTCAAGCGAAATCGCCCATCATTGCGAAAGCGTGGCAGACGCTATCTTCTGAGGAGAAAGATGTAAGCTTTTCTCAAAACTTGATCGTTAGTGAGAAGCGTTGACGGGCGTTTTGAAGAAATACGGGGACCCGGAAGAGTGGGAAGAGTATCATAGGATGAGGGACCGCTGGACTAGTTCGAAATATAGGACGAATACGCGGACGCCGTATATTATGTGAGTGTTTTGGTATCCCCTTTTGAAGTTAGTTAGCTGAAGTGAGCTAACTAACTTGTTATTAGATTCCGTGGTGAGAAACTGAAGGAAATGGGCCATGATGGATCTCGAGAATCCCTTGTTGAAAAATCGCAGATCCTTGTGAAAAAGTGGAAAAGGCTGTCTGATGCTGAGAGAGCTGTAAGGACTTTCTCCGCTATGGTTCTGTTAAAGAGATGTTAACTGCTTTTGAAGCCGTATGTGAAGGCTGCTTTAGAGCAGCGGGACAGTGTAGAATCATAAGTCGCAGTTCGTGCTTTTGTTATTCACGAATTTTCGCTCCTCTTACGCATCATCTCAGACAATACCCATAATCGCATTGCCGTCACTAGTTTCAATATAAATACACCAAATGGCCCGTAAGATCAGTAGCATGGCGCATCTTTCAACGACACCACACATTCCGTTATCGTCTCCTGAGCCCAAGCACATTGTTTTTCGGTCTCGCTACCCTCATCCGCCAATGGCTTGTGTGGCTGTAAAGTGTGTTCTGACAGCACGACCAACGCCAAGAATAGCGTGTACCACACTCGTTTTGTCTTCTTCCTAGGCAAGGACATGAGGGGACCACCGCCACTTCCTACATAGCCCTCAACTAACGCCTCAGATGGCCCTGGTGGGGACAGGAAGAAAGACTCGAGCAACGGGTCTCCCCAGAGTGCATGTGCGACATTCGGAAGAATGGCTGCGATTGAATGGGTCTTGGTGGCCAAGTGTGTCGGGAGCGACACGTAGATGTCGTCTTCTGACCCGGTTAGCCAGATGAGCGAGGGCACCTCGACGTCGTCGAACAAGAAAAAGGCGATGGCGCGCGAGAGGTATGTGCGGATGTCATTGTAAGGAAGCTCTACGCCCGCTGCTTGGAACCGATGCAGCAGGTCCTCAAGGAGATGCGTGAATGTTTCTTGCCAGCTGTACGACGGATCTTGAGGCTCTGTGAGCGCTGGAATACCGTACCAGTCGTTCTGGACGCCGCTGTGCAGCTGACCTAGGAATTTGCCGATTTGCAGGTCGACGAGGAGGGTGTCGGATGGGCTTAGGAGGCCCGATGCACGCGCTTTGGAGAGGGGGATGATGTCTGTGGAGGCGATGGGGGAGGCGGGGGAGAGGAGGTAGTGGTATGGGAGGAGGCGGAGGGATATGTCGAGGGTTGAGTCGGGGATTGGGATGTCGGTGTGGCTCCGGATGCGGGTGAGGATTTGGTAGACTACTGAGAGGGAGTTGTGGTGGTAGTATGCACTGGTGGTTTCTTCGGTTGTTGGATGTGCGATTGTGAGGAAACAGCAGGAGCTGGGGCCTTGTGTTCCGGAGGTTCCTCCGTTTAGTTGGCCGCTTGATACTTTGAGATCGAGGATGTAGGTTTTGAATCCTGCCGTGTAGCTGTGTGTTGTTCGAAAAGGATAATTTGGACAGTTTGAAAGGCGCACACCTGTATCCTGTGTTCTTGATTTCCGTCAGCAGGGAAACGGTAGATTGTTCATGGCCCCCTAGATGTTTTCGTACGACGCTCTCAGCTTGCTCTTTTGTCAGTGAGAGGTTCTGCTGCACGTCGGTTGACATGATATTCGCGAAATGGTGCGGTGATTAGGTCTAAGTTGTCGGTTCTGAAGTTCTAGATAAGATAACATGGATTCGGTGACAATACATGTAAACATAACTATAGAACATGGAGGGGCGAAATAGTCAACGACCTGGCAAGAATGGTCATAGAGGATGTAGACTCGGCTTCTCTCGCGCAAGGGGACTGCCAGCTTCCTTGAAACGTCGCAACTTGATTCTCCTGCTCGCACCACACAGTTAAGTACGGAGGTGTGACTTGGATTGCTCCTCTCATTCCGTTGTGCCCAAGTTGTGCCTGTAATTCCAAGCCAGGCAAGAATTGACAGTGGTTCAGAAGAAATGGTAGATTTGGAGATCTTGAGAACAGCCTTCAGTATGACACGAACCCCATGAATTTGGCGTCATATTTTGCAGGGGACGTATGTACGAGCCACATCGTCAACCGTACGTGCTCTACACATGCAGATTGGACTCGTCTTGTGTGATCAACCCGAGTCGCAGTCTACAAGACGCTTCCAAATTGTATTCCAGGATATGCTTGAGAATCATGTTTCCATGCTATACGTGTTCTTCTCCAGCTAGCAAATTTGTCAGTCGTTTGAAGCGCAATTCAAAAAGCGGGGCCCGGATGCACCTCAGTTTCCAATTCCTTCCTCACCCTGTATTCCTCGTCGGCTTTGATGACAAGATGATGGTCGTCAAGATCTTCAATGATAAAACTGCTCTTCTCATTCATGGACAATAGGATCTGCTTCACGGCGGGATCACTAGAGTTGTTTTTGAGGCTCAATAACCTGAGTTGGCCATGTAGACGATCACAAACCAGGTGAACAGGATCCCTAGTGGCATCGTTAACAGCATGTTCACGGTAAAGTCGACGTGAAATATACGTGCCTTTGATAGCTCTCATCCAGTCTGGTGGTTACTTGTTGAGTTGTTGTCGTGAGAATCAAAGAGCAAAAGCTCGGCTTATCGGGTAAATTTCTGAATGCTGGGAGCCCGACGTATCCACACATTTCACCGCAGCTCCCTCCACCGTTGTCTCTCCAGTAGAATGCCATTGCCGTCCAAAGTTCATCCAGACCACACGTACGTCCCCACCCCTTGCAACCAGGAAAAGCACTTACTTTTTGTGTTGCTAAATACCCCCTATTTATCGGTACAACACGTCCGATCACTTGCAACGCCAAATGATACTCTAAATTTCATATGCGGAACGCTACACTATCGCCCCCCTTGTCATCAGTACACCACCACCTATCATCCCAGTGAGGCCGGTCTTGGGGGCTACTACTGACGTAAAAGTTGGAACCCGAGAAGGTATGACATCGCCGTCACTTCAAACTCGGGTTTTGGTGCTTATCATCGACCACAGCTGCCGTTAAGAAACCAATGGACATCATCGAGTCCTCGAAGAGGCTGGCTGCGTACACGGCGGTGGACAACCACGTCAAACCCGAACACAAGGTGAGCGAAAATGTCTATCGATTGGTGTTATCACACTCATGGTGGCCCCCATCAGGTCATCGGGATCGGTTCTGGTACGTTCCAAGGCCTTGTAAGGACGTAGACGCCGACTGAAGGGTTTTTAGGCTCAACAGTGCCGTATGTGGTGGAGCGGATTGTTCAGCAAGGTGTAGAGGCGAATAAGGGTCGTGTGTTTATTCCGACTGGTCGGTCATACACGACTCTTTATCTTTTTTTCTCTCACTCATCGCTGTGCCAGGTTTCCAGTCAAAGGAGTTGATAGTCTCATCAGGCTTAGGTCTTGGAGATGTCGATCAATACCCTACGATAGACGTGACGCTGGATGGTGCTGATGAGTCAGTACCCCTTGTATCGAGTCCTCCCTTCTTTTGTTGGTGACCGTTGCACGTAGAGTGGATTCACAACTGAACTGCGTCAAAGGAGGGGGCGCTTGCCATTTACGCGAAAAAGTGTTAGCTGAGGCTGCCAGAACGTTCGTCCCTTGTTTGCTTTTGCATCTATAGCTTGTCTTGACATGATTCCAGCTTCATTCTCGTTGCAGATTACCGAAAAAACGTGCAATACCTGGGAACGAATGTCTGTGCCTGCATGATAATACTCTGTCATCCATTCAACGCCGGCTTTATTTTAGTTCCTTCAAGGGGTACCAATTGAAGTGGTACCATTTGCTTATGCGAAAGTCCTCCAAAATCTGCATCAGGTGCTGGGATCACCGAAGGCTACGTTGAGGATGGCAGTGAAGAAGGGTAAGTGCCTTTCGTCTGACACTGGCAGCTCTCCCGATTGACTACTGCTGCGCCTCATAGCTGGTCCTGTCGTTTCAGACAACGGAAATTTCATCATCGACGCACCATTCGATCGTGAAAAGATGATTGACCCTTTCACTGTAAGCGATTCAAAAGTTCCCGGTTTCGCACTAAAGATGCTAAAAAACATCTGTTCAATAGATCATGGCGCAAATCAAGATGTTAACGGGCGTAGTGGAGGTTGGTTTGTTCTGCCGTATGGCCAAGGCGGCATACTTTGGGAATGAGGTACGATTTGGTCAAATTTTACTTCGTTGGCTTCGGCTGATTTCTACGCAACCAAATAGGACGGCACTGTAACAGTCAGATGGGACGATGGAAAAATAGACCAAGTAGCAGCGCCGGTTTAGATGTAAGTTGTTTTCTTCTACGAGGTTGGGCTTTTGTGTTAGGATGTGGGATACTGAGTCAGCGCTTGCTCATTAAAACCTTCAATAATAACCCTTGTTGCCTGATAAGAAAAGTTACAGTCAATCCAAGTCAGACTCTGTTCGCCTCCCATACACCTTTCTTGTTCTTCTCTGGACCTGAAACTGCGAAGACGGTCCCAGGCCCCAAGAAGGTTGCAAGCGCGTGCCAGTCTGATGATGACGAAACCCCCAGAAATCCACGACTCCTACGATCGACTATCTCATTCCGTCCAATGCTATTAGCCTTGCTTCAGTCCCAGCCATATACGCAATAGTTCCTTCAATACCGCTGAAGCGATCTCTACCAATTCAAATGTGCAGAATCACCCCTCTGCGACATTGTGAGCAAGCCAACGAGACGGTCAAACACGCCCTGCATTGAGGACCAGCGCAACAAATAATTCCGGAGAGCAGTACACCGGGAAATAGATTCTATCACGAACATTCCGAAAATGCTCCCGCACCTCTTTATAGAACAATATAGCGACCTCACGCAAGTGCCCCAATGACTCTCGAAAACCACTTCACCGACAAAACAATGTCGCTCCTCTCTTGTCCATGCTCTTGCTCTGCTGCTCCGCTCTCCCTGGCCCGTTCCCTCCCTCTCCCCTTCTCCTTCCCTTTCCCCATCCTCCCTTTCTTTTCTCCCCTTTTTCTTTTCATTCAGTATCTACCCTTCTTCCTCCATTCACATGTTTATTCACTTCTACATTACGAACATCTATCCACGTTACACAAAACCATCCCATCATACCTTACTACCATATAGATCACGCTAACGGTCACCGCTGCCATACTACCCCCTTGCGCGTCGCATTTGCAGAGTCCGACGCCCCACCCTTTCCGATAGCCAGAACACCGTCTGAGAGCGTACTAGAACCAAGCCAGTGGGCGACTGAGTTGATGCAGACCGTATGCTATGATGTCAGCGTCAGTACTGAGAAAGAAACGGATGCTGATATGATGAGCGATGGTCGAGCGCAAAGCGAACGCGATCTGGTATCCCATAAGTTGGAATTGGTGATGAAAATTGTGGTATTCTTCACCTCTTATCAACCTCTTGTTACTAGTATGGCTGAGAGGAAACTTTAATCTTTGTCAGGAACAAAATCGCGAATGGATCATGCAACTGAGAGAACTGAAAAAGGTTTACTGTAAGCATACTTAGTATTTCTTTGGTATTTCTGGTTCCTTCCACGACGTTTCTTCGTTATGAAACCATCATCCTACTAGCAGAGGGCACAGTCATTTAGAGAACTAAGAAATTCTCTAGTAGTACTAGTACCAGATGACAGTTGGATGACAGCGTCCGAGTTCCTTGAACGGGTATACTAGCAGTATCATAGCATTGCCGCTGCCCAGAATGTGCGTAGCAGTGTTCGGCCAGCACCGCTGCCAGTGAAAACCCTTCCGAAATGTTTCCTATCTAGTTGCTCTCGATGATGCGTGTTCGTGTGCCAGCTGCCAGGTGGCGTCGAGTCAGTTTCACTGTTTGGAGTCACATTTGTGCAGCCTCTAAGCATTAGTTTATTCACAACGGACGCCTCTAGTGGAGGTGTATATCATAGGCAAGGTCATACAACGTAGCAACTAGACAGAAAACCATACAACTTTTCATACTACTTATTTGATTCCGCTTCTTAGGCGATACAAGTTGTCGAACATACCAAAACACGCCCCAGTCACAAAGAGTAGAACTGTTCATAAGCAATGGTCAATGGTTAGCAATAGATTCGAAGGAAGGAAGGAAGCCTTACCCTTACTTGAAACAAGCCGATATGCCTCGCCCATTAGTCACAAGGCTAAGAAGTACTTCAGAGTTGACTGGTCCTTCCCCATATCGTATCCTCATTAATTCCAAGAACCCACTGATCGACCTTCTTAAGCCACCCGTCCAAACCATCGCCTTCAAACTTCTGAATCTCAAAAAGGGGAGCTGTGTCCTCTGGCACCACAAATATAAGTCGCCAGTGGTTGACCTGGATTGAGGGTCGAAGGTTGGCCATTATACATATTTTTTTCAGTGTTTCTTGAATTCGCTGGAGGCCAACCACCATCGCCGTATGGTCTGTGTTGACGGTAACTTGGATTCCGGTCAAAACATCCCCAGGGGTATAGAGGATAGAATCAACTACGGGAAAGTTTCGTTGAGGGACCAGGGGTAGGGATTCTTTCTTAGTGACTGCATCCCGAAGCGACTGGGTGAATGTTGACGAGTAAGAAAAGGTATTCGTAGTGGGCCCTGGATATGTCCACTGGGAGGCTTCAGAACTAGACGAACTCCGGATAGTGAATGTCTCCGGCCCCTTGAGAGCAACGAAGTATTCCAACACCTGCGCCTCGAACATCTCACCGCGAAGGCGTCCCGTACCAGGCGTCTTCTTAAGAATTTTGTAAAATTCGTACGGAGCATCCACTTGACCCTTTTTGTAGATTTTTAGTAACGTTGTCAGAGCCCACGGAGAAACTGCTGATATTTTAGCAGTATCTAGCAGACGCTCATTGTCATCGACTGACGGAAAGAGCTGAAAAACGGAGTGCGATATGGATTTCGTTGAGCGGGTCTTACGCCAAAACTCTTCCAAGTGCATATTTCTTGAGCACTCTTCGATATTTTTTGCGATTCGTGCCGTGACTTCAGTAATACTTGGTGGTGCATGAAAGCAGTCGCGGGGGTTGAAGCCGAAATAACTTGTCAGTTCTTGAAGTCGGGAGTAGCTGAGATCTGGCGGGGCAAGGAACATTCTATAAATGATGTCAGTGTAGTTCCCTGACTTGTAGACTATCACCCACCCCGTCAAGAAAAGCTCCTGAGGGGACCACAATGTGGTTATACGCCTCGACACCCAGTTAGGAGAAATTGGCTTCTCGATCCATTCTTGATAAGCATTGTTTGGTGAACATGTTGCAATAATTTTGACGAAATGATGGTTGAGGAGAAAATGCGCAGGTCGACTTGACGGCCCATCAGCGTCAAAGAAGGCGATGATATACTCATCATCTGGCCAGAAGTTGACAACTTCTACGGATGAGTCGATTAGATAAATGGTGTCGTGCGCTTCGGTTTCGACTGTTTGGAATAGACATCGGGTGCCCGCGAGCATACTTTGTATCAATATATAATAGAGGTAAGCGGTCTTGCCTGTGAGTAGGTGAGAGCTAGAATAAGAAGAAAGACGGGATCCCACCTGTTCCAGGCTGACCGCTAATGACTGCAGAGCCGTTGCCGCCCTCTGGTAGGTCATCCAGCAATCTGGAGAGGACCGTGTAATCTTCCCGGATGAGAAGCGGCTGGGGCATGCGCGGTGGGGGAGACTCGAGATGTAAACTTGAAAGATCCAGATATTCAAGTGGAAATGGAAAGAGGGAGCGAAGCTCTTCATCAACCTCATCGTCATCTTCAAATTCATCGTCATCATGATGGGTGGGTTGTGTAACGCCGTCAGGACCATGATCGGTGACCGGGTGGTTGTTGCTGGATCGGAGGAGAGCAAGCTTGGTAGCTAGGCCATCAATACCAGCCTGATAATTCTTTTCTTTGCGATTCGGATAAAGTTTTGTCATGCTAGCTTGTAAGGTTTCGTAGTCTTGAAGGGTGAGAGTGACGCTGCGGAAGAGTTCCTGATGGAGGTCCCCTCGGTTCCAAATCTTCTTGTGGAGCTCCTGAAGCCAAATAGGAACTGGTGAAAAGTGGGGTAGACAAATAAGCGAGGGCAGGAGGGGGCCGAGCTACAGTTGGCTTGTAATTTACCTTCTGAACTCGTCAGACGAGCTCGTTTCAAAGGCGGCTCTGTAGTGGCAAAAGCAACAATCAGAACCTGCATAGCTATATGCGTAGGCCACAAACACTTACCGGAGTCTTCTTCAAAAGTGAAGATTAGTTGGCATATAGACCATGAGACACATGAAACTCACCTGGTGCTTGGGGCAACTTTATTGCAAATTGAAGTATTTGTTCGTTGACCCCACCTGTAAAGATACCACTTAATTTTGCAGCGATGTTGTCCAATTGAGTAGAGAATGTCCGTATATCTCCCATATTTTTGATGCGTTCGAACAAATTGTTTGACGGTTCGACGGGGATTGACTTGGTTATCTACCATGGGTTGAGCTACAAAGGATTAAGTTGGCTTGCAATGTACCCACTTTGTACAAGGTGATTTGGTAAGGGTCATATTTAGCGATGGCACCATTGGGCAAGGTAGACTTGACATTCGACAAGAGAGCAAGAATCACGTCGTCGAGACGATTTTCTACGAAGAATGGCTGCTTAACCGGGTCGTCAAGGAGGATACACCAAAACTTCTTTCGTTTGGGCATCTTGCATGGGCTACGAGGTGAGTAGCGTAGAGTGGGATTATATTCCGGAGCGGTCCCAATGAGAGACAACCGGTCCCCGATACATGGTGGTAGCGTTTAAATACAACGTGAGGTTGCGTCTCAAGAATGCCCCAAACAATCCCAAACAGGACCCTCTTACTTCGAAGTCAAATTCAAAGCTCACGACATCCTCATTCTACTCGCGTGGCACGATGTAATCAGAGAATTGTTCCGTCTGAGGTACGCATCATACTCAGACCATGTAACAACTTTAATAAACGGAAACGACAACTCCTCACATGTTAACCACTGATAAATGAATATGAATTCACACTATTCGATTTCGCTTCTTTAGCGATACAAGTTGTCGGATGTATCAAAACATGCCCGCAGTCACAAAGAGCAAAGAACTATTCAGAAAACAACGGTCAAAAGATTCGAACAAAAGGGAAGGGAAAGCTCACCCCTAACAATTCAACAGGCCTCGCCCATATGAACTCGGCCGAAAGCAAACCCAATTGCACAGGCCCAGAAAGGAGCCAAGACTAGCCGCTGAGAGCAACAAGTCAGTTCGAAGACTAACACAAAACACAAAACAAGTCAGCCAGATCTTTGCTACGGGAACGTAAGAGGAGGCTCACCCAATTTAAGCAGGACGAAGAGCAAGCGAAGCGAGTTCAGAAATAAGGAGCGAAAGCCAAGCTCCAGACGAAAAGCCGTAGAATGTGGATACGATCACTATGGCTTTCACGCTTTGACTAGTGGTAAGAAGGTCGAATAGTGAGCGACGCGAAAAGGCAAGAAAAAAAGAAAGGAAGACGTACACTGAAACGACGACACACAAGCTCGCAGCCAAGATTACCGTGGTGGGAATCAACAAGGTGAAAGATCCATACTTGTCCGCCAGTAGACCCATCACTATGCGCCCCATCAGACTGGCGATGTGCGTGATTGCCAACTGTCAAAGGAGAGTCAGTACGAAGCTTGAAAGGGGCGGGACAAGCGCACCGCATAAAACGCCAGATGTGGGTTAACATCATGCAGTACCACGTAGTCCTCCATGTACGAAGCGGGGAAGTACATCGTCAGCAGGGCTATGAAAGTTCTGCAAAAACCATCATCATCATCATTAAAGGGAGGGCGATAGGAAGCACGGGAAACTCACGCACCCATGACCAATGCATAATACCGCTCCTTGAAATACATCAACAGGCTCACATCAGGGAGCTTAGGAATGAACAGTTTGGCCGGCATTCCCATGAGGCTGTTGCCTATCACCAGACACGCAAGGACCATGTATGCAGTTATGCGCACTGTTCCGCTGAACCCTTTCGTAGGGAGGAATTTGCTAACCATCATCACCGTCAGCAGGAAAGCGGGGGAGGAACAAAGGAAGGGAAAGGGGGGGCTTACTCTAGCACTGTAGGTGAGGGCATTGAAAAATCATTCGATGGCTCAAAAGGACGGAAAGATCTCACCAAGTGGGAACACAATTGCACCAGCTGAGGCTCCGCTGAGTACGATCCCCGTGATGACGCTCTCCATTTCTTGGAGTGGTGCTTGCACACAATGGCGGTAGGCAAAAAGATCATGCCGAGCCCGAGACCCATGCCTACACCTTGTATTAGGAACAGCTATACATTACAAAAACAAGGTGGTTAGTGGGGATGATATGAACTCGGGTAGGAGAGGGCACTGAGGTGCATGAAACTTTCTGGATCGACAAAGGAGAGCAAGAAGAGCCTGGGGGTAATAGATACATATGAACGAATGATGTTTGCAAGCGTGTGAGATAGGAAAGCCGCACGACATTCCAAAGAACGCAGAGCCAGGGAGCACAACCCAATGGAAATGGTTCGCGTCGACTGCTTTACCCGCTAGGAACGCCAGGAGGAAGAGTAATGCGAATTGAAGACTTTCTATCAATCTATATTGCGCGTGGCATGAGTGGAACAGTGAGAAAGACACGGAGAAAAAGAGACGCACGCAAGCTTGTTTGGCGAATGGAGTTTTGGGAATTCGTTCATGTAGTAATCGCGATACACGCCCCACGTAAAAATGTGCCTGATGAAAACCGTAATTCATAACCAACACAATTCCGACTCTAGAAAAATTGCTCACCCAAATGTGCAGAACTGCATGAGCCACCTACATCCTCCATCGGCCCAAACACACCAAGGAAGGAAGAAAGAAAGAAGGATGTTCGCCCCAACGACAGTCATCCACGCCAACAAATCCTTCTCAGTGTCCTTCTCCGGAACGTTTGTCTGCGCCCCGAAATCAGGATTAGAGCGGGATCAATATTGGATCAGGCCTCGAGCGCGTCTTTGAGTTGAAAAAGGTGGAGGAGATCAATGCCCGGATTGGCGTTCGCTCCTCTCGTCCACTCGCTCCCGTCCCTGCCCTTGCTCGAACTCTTGACCATGACTCTGTTCCCATTGAGCTTGAGCCTGAGCCTGCTGCCCCAAGAACCGCCCATTCGTCGACGTCCGGAACTCAAAGAGCCTAAGGCCAAACTTGTTCTTCCCGGTGGTCGGTTGTTGTTGTGGGGTGAACGGCAGAGCAAGGAGAGTTGATGCGCGTGATATAGGTTCCTCCCGGTCATGCAGACCTGCTGGTGTCTTCAAATCAGACGGTAACCCATTAGCGGCGGCGGGACGGGCGGTATACGGACCGTTCATCGGCCGTGGGTCCCATTGAGGGCTGAAAGTCCCGTACCCATCGGACGTCTTGAGGTCTAAATGCCACTGTTGTTACAATTATCACAATAAGCTACCCGTTTACATCTACTAGTGGACGTTGAAGAAGGTCGTTCGCGGTACGAGGTGCTTCAAGCTGTTGACGCGTTGACGGGGGAGATTTGCATCTTGAGGTAGGCGTTGCGTGTATGAGGATGAGGGTCCCGATTTGGTCCTGAAGGCCTGATGAGCGAACCGTGCCTCTGATCACTCCTGGATCACTCAACGCAATGCCCGTTACGCTGCGCTGTCTTGTCCTCCCCACCGACGATCCAGAATCAAGTTCATTCGTTACTAGAATCGATGGCGACCACCTTGTCAGTGATCTCAAGGAAAGGATCAAAACTAAGATGGCGCCTCAGCTCAACAATGTCGATGCACCAACTCTTCTCCTTTGGAGGTGCACCATTCCAATGGGACAAAAATCATTGAATCTGTTCGACTAGATGGTACCGATGTTCGTATATCCCGCATCAAGGGTGACTGCCTAGTTTCACAGCTATCGATTGCGGGGTCTTATTTACACATCTTGGCCCAAACACCAGGCGGTCTCGCGGTGCATACGTCAACTGATATTCACTCTGCCCTTGAAGAAGACTCCGGTAAGTGATCGTGACTTACGCCTATAAGGTTCTTACTGTTGCTTTTGCCACTCAAGGCCACCTTCGAAACGAGCTCGTTTTACCAGGCCGGAAGGTAGGTTATATCTGACGATTTCTTTCTACTCATAACTAAGTGTTTACGGCCAGCTATCGAGCCTCGACCTCTTCAGACAAGTGAAGGCCACCGTCGAGACGAAATTATGTACCTTCTCTAGGACGCCCTTTGGAAGAAGGACGAAGCTTGGACCAAGATCGCTCGTGTTGTTGAAGGACGTGTACCAAATCCAAGTGCACTTGGGGAGGCCCAAGAATTTGATCTGTATTCACCTGACGAGGTTAAAGTTACGACCATCGATCTCGTCTATCTTTTAAAGTGGACCCCAGACGATGCAATTTGGAGTCCCATTCCTATCTTCCTAGTTCGAGGCGAATACACCGAACTCGAAATTTTTTCGGCGTCACAATCCCAGCACGTTCTCCTTTTAGGGCAACCCGGCATTGGTTCGTCGTACATTTATATAATATTTCATCCCTGATGCAATATTTTCTCTGTAGGAAAGACCGTATACCTGATGTACTCTCTTCTCAGACGACTCATTGCTGGTTTACCCACCATTTTCGCAAAAAGTCCCATCAATCGTTACATATTTCTGGATTCGGGCGTCTACTGGATCCCACATGACTCCTTCGCGATGTCTTGACATCCGGTGTTCACCGATCGCGTGAAGAACATGCTCGTGTTGTTTGATCTCAACGAATAGCAATCAACACCAGAAGAGTTTGGACACTGGAGAATATTGGCGTCGTCATCGCCGCGACCTAAACGATATAAGGAGTGGGTTAAGCAGCTAAATGTTAAACAATGGGTCATGAGTCCATGGTCATGGGATGAATTTTATTTTGCTCGGTAACGTGTTCAGCTTAGTATTGGCTTGACCTTCATATTGACTTCTTGACAAGGGAAACTGCTACCAACAACTATTCATTGAAAGGGTTGTTCGAGGCATTTTGCAAGTACGGGGGGACGGCCAGAAACCTTTACAAAAAAAAACCAGATATCGTAGAGCAGGAAATCCAGACTGCTATCGAATACTCCAATTTGAGTAAACTTTTTTCGGACTCGACCGAATTCCATGAAGAGACGAGCTGTACACTAACCACAATTTATCCCATGGTTGACGAGGCCGGCGTTCTGCAACGCTGGGCATATCGAGGAAGAGTCTCTTCTCCATACATCCTTAATTTGCTTATCACGGGCACCCAATCTAAAATCGATTCCGCCATTGGTGGACTCTAATCCTGGTTCCGAGGCGCAGACAAATGTTGCAAAGAAGGACATTTTGGAGAAGGATTTGTTGGCGTGGATGATTGTCGTTGGGACGTAACGCGTCTTTCGTTGGCGTGGTGGGGCTGATGGGGGATTTAGGTGGCTCATGCAGTTTTGCCCGTTCGGGTAAGCAATTTTAGAGTCGGAATTGTGTTGGTTATATGATGAATTACAGCTTTCATCAGGTGCATCCTTACATGAGCGTAAACCGCGATCATTTACTAGGTGAACACAAAACTCCATTCGCGAAGCAAGCTTGCGTGCGTCTCTTTTTTCCCATGTCCTTCTTTCACTATACTTACTCAGAATGTAGAGTGATAGGAAGTCTCCAATTTGCATCACTCTTCCTTCTGGCGTTCCTAGCGGGCGAAGCAGTCGGCGTATACCATTTCCGTTGGGTTGTACTCCCCAAATCTGCGTTCTTCTGGATGTCGTGCGTTTTTTCTGTCTTACACGCATCACCCATTCGTATTTATATATCACCCAGGTTCTTCTCGGTCTCCTTTGTCGATCCAGTAAGTTGATGCACGTCAGTGCCTTCTCCCCCGTAAGTTCATTACGTCCATCTTGCCCTTGATATATATAGCTGTTCCTGATACAAGGCGTAGGCATAGGCATTGCCTGAGCTCGGCATGATCCTTTTACCTATCACCATCGTGTACAGGCTTGTACCACTTTACGAAACGGAGAGCGTTCATTACGGGGATCAAAGCTCCAGCTAATGCAAATGTATTTCCACTTGGCGAGTTCTTTCCGTCCTTCTAAGCCAATAAGTGGTTTCAATGCCATCACCTGCAATGCTAGAGTATGCCCCCTCGTCTCTCCCCCGCATTCCAGCTGACGATGATTATGGCTAGCAGCTTCCTCTCCACAAAACGGTTCAGCGGAGCAGTACGCATTACCACATGCATGGTCCTTGCGTGTCTGGTCATAGATAGGCAACAGCCTCAAGGGATTGTTCAACCCTAAGCTTCGTCATGCGAGCCTGCTGATGTATTTTAAGAAGCGGTATCATGCTTTGGCTATGTGCGCGTGACTTGTTCTCTCCTCTCTCTCTCCCTTCCCTCTGATGATGGTCCTTACAGAACGTTCACCTACCCGCCGATGATGTACTTCCCTGCTTCGCACATGGAGGGTTACGCTTATGTTGACCCTCATCTGCAGTACGCTTGACCCGTCCCCTTTCAATTGTACAGGTGTACTTGATACTGACTCCTCTTTAACAGTTGGCAATCACGAACATCGCCACCCTGATGGGTCTCCTGGCGGACAAGCACGGATCTTTCACCTTGTTAAACCCCACCATGGTAGTTTTGGCCGCGAGCTTGTGTGCCGGCTTTCTTTCTTTCCATTTTCGCGTCCCTCATCATTCGACGCTCGTACCACCAGTCAAAGCGTCAAAGTCATAGTGATCGCATCCGAATTCTACGGCTTATTATCTGGAGCTTGGCTTTCACTCTTTATTTCTGAGCTCGCTTTGTTTGCTCTTCGTCCTACTGAAATTGGGTGAGCCCCTCACGTTCCTGTAGCAAAATCCCGCTGACTTGTTTGTGTTAGTCTTCGAACTGGTGCTCTCAGTGGCTAGTCTTCGAGCCCAGGACTGTGCAATCGGGTTTGCTTTCGCCCGAGTTCATATGGGCGAGGCCTGTCGGATTGTTTGGGGTGAGCTTTCTTTACTTTTCTATTGCCAATCGTTGACCATTGTTTGTGAATAGTTCCTACCATTTGTGACTGAGGGCATGTTTCAGTACATTTGACAACTTGTATCGCTAAAGAAGCGAATGGTGGAAATCCATTCATTAGTTGCCAAGGAGTGTAATTTTACTATCACTCAGCTCCGTCTAGCTTTTCCGTCTGACAGACATCTGACTCGTGTTTGTGATTGTTTGGGGCGGGTATTCTCGAGACGAAATGACGCAACTCGTAACCCACTCGTAACGTAGCCCATACTGTCTATGCAAGATGGTGAAATCGAAGCGGTTTTGGTGCATCCCTCTGGACGGTGGCTCCAATGAGGTATTCGCTGTTGACATCGGCCTGGACCAGCCGGTTTTTGACCTCAAGGTGATGATCAAAGCCTCGTTGAATCGCATGCGCCAATACGATGCTCAAGATATCCCGTTATATAAGGTGAGCACATTTTAAGCCAATTCAATCCTTTGTAGCTGAACCATGTTAGCTAAACGAGCCAGTCCTTGTCGCTCCCGCAGCTACTCTTTTACAACGCATCAAAGCACAAGGAGAGATTGAGGATATTGCTGTTAAAATGAAGGAACCCTCTGAAAGTTTAGGTGATGTCTTCCCAGGCGGGGTTGCTGATCGAAGGCTTCACATACTTGTGAAGTTCCCTATGAGAACCCAAGCACCAGGCAAGTTTCATCTGTGTCACAGTCTATATGTCAATTGACATTCACTTTGCCCCAGAAGATGAACCTGGTGAGTGTATGTGACTTATGCATATAAGTATTCGGGTTCCGACTGTTGCCTTTGCCACTACAGGGCCGCCGTTTAAACGAGCTCGTTTGACCAGTCCAGACGGTGGGTTACAACATTTCTTCTTCCTAACTGTAGCTTCCTGCCCTTGCTCATTTATCTACCCCCATTTTCCATCAGAGATTCCGGATTGGCTTCAGGAGCTCCACAAGAAGATCTGGAATCGCAAAGACCTCCGTCAAGAACTGTTCCGCAGCGTCACACTCACACTTACAGATTACAACAGGTTGCAAGAGAGCATGACAAAGCTTTATCTGAATGTCCAAGAAGAGGATTGTTGGAATGGTACTGCTGGTGTTGTAACGGCCAGGCTTGCTGCACTCCAATCCAGCAACAACTGCTTGGTCACCGACCATGGCCCTCATCGCATTGTGCAACCAATCAATCATAATGATGATCAAACTGAAGGTGACGATGAGGTTGATGAAGAACTTGGTTCCCTCTTCCCATTTGCACTTGAATACTTGGATCTTTCCAGCTTAAATCTCCAGTCTCCACCACCATGCATGCCTATGCCGCTTCTCATTCGGAAAGAATACCACATCCTCTCCAAGATGCTGAATGACCTGCCACAGGACGGTCGTGGTTCTGCAATCATAACTGGCCAGCCTGGAATAGGTGGGATTCTATCTTTATTTTCATGCTAGATCTCACTTCGGCACAGGTAAGACTGCTTACCTTTATTATCGATTGATACAAAGCATGCTCGCGGGCACCCGATGTTTATTTCAACCCATTCGAAACGAAAAGCATGAGAATACGGTTTATCTAATCGCTGAATCATCGATCGAGGTAGTCAATTCCTGGTCGACCGAAGGTGTTGTAGCCTTCTTTGATGCTGATGGGCCATCACCCCGACCGGCGCAGTTTATTATCGACAATCATTACATTAAAATCATTGGGGCATGCTTACCAAACGTGGCAGATGAAAAATGGACAACAAAGATGGGCAACGGCGCTGTTTTGAACAGGATTGTGACCACTCTGTGGTCACGTCAGGAGCTTTATATAACAGGGTGGGTGATAGCCTGCAAGTCAGGGAACTCCATTGATATGCTTTATAGAATGTTTCTTGCTGTGCCACATTTACCCTACTCCCGCCTCCAAGAATTAACAACATATTTTGGTTTCAACCCTCGCACCTGCTTTAATGCAAGATTGAAACCACATTACTTGCTTGACTACTTGGGGAGCATTGAAAAAAAGATAGACGAGACTGCGAAAAAAACTTCCTTGGAAAGTATTTGGCGTGAAACCTGCTCAAGGAAATCGATCTCGCACTCCATATTTCAGATCTCACCAAAAGATGATCGTCGTATGTTGAGCCAGGTTACAACAGCAGCGATTTCCCCATGGGCTTTGACTACCTTGTTAAAAATCTATGAACATCGTCAAGCGGATGCGTCATTCGAATTCTACAACATGATTAAAGACTTGCCTGATGAGGGGACCATTCGAGGTCAGATTTTTCAGGTGCAATTGTTGAAGCGCCTCAATGCTCTCAAGGGGCGGGAGCGATTCACGATACGGTGTCTGATTGGATCCAACACCTCCCAGTGGATGTATCCTGGTCCCACGGAGAATTCCTTCTCTTATTCGTCAACATTCCCCCACTTGCTCGAGGACGCAGTCACCCAGCAAAAGTCTGTTCACCTGGTCCCGCAAGATCCAGACTTTCCTGCAATTTCTATCCTCTATATTCCAGGGGACGTTTTAACCGTAATCCATGTTACTGTTGAAACAGAGCATCCTGTGGCAGTCGTTGATCTCGAGAGAATCGAATCATGGCTCAAACGAGCTTGTATACTTGCCAACCTTCGACCCTCGATCCTGGGCAACCACTGGCGGCTTATATTTGTGGTGCCGGAGCAAATAGCTTCGACTTTTCATATTCAGAGGTATGAAGGTGACCGTGATTCAAATGAGTGGTTCGAGAAAGTCGACCAGCATGTTCTTGGAATCGAGGAGCATGCGCTATGGGGAAGGTCCAATCAACTCCCAAGTTGTTCTGAGGCCTACGACTAATGAACAAGACCTCCTTCCTTTCATTCAGATCTATCGCCAATCGTTGACTATGAGTAGTTCGTGCTCTGGGTGACTGCGGGCATGTTTGAGTACATTGTATTGCTGAAGAAGCGGAATCGGTTAGGGTGAATTATTTTATTATGACTAGTTGCTATGGTATGACTCGTCTATGATCCATTCGATAGTTCACGCTTCCGTTGTGCAGTTAACAAATGCTAAGAGGCTGGAAAACGGTGATGCGAGACTGACTTGACACCAGCTAGCACGTCAACACGCGTCGTCAAGAGCAGCTAGGTGGGAAACATTCCAAAGGGTCTTCAAGTTCAGCAATGCTCCCGAACATTGAATATACGCTGTCATGTCTTTGACTGCGCCCTGGTCCAAGAACGAAGAAATGTCGTGGATGAAGCCAGAAACAAGTTTCAGTGTTCGGAAATTGGATTCCCTCTGAACTGAATTATGTTAGAAGTGCTGTAGACTCGAGGCTCGCATTGTGCCCAAGCGACTATTGACATGTTGTCGGGTGTTTTTGGCCAGGCCAACGAGTCTTGAATCCTTTTCAGTTCTTTGAGAGGCATAACCAAGAGTCCTTTCGCAGTTTCGTTTCGGTAGTCTATCGGGAACTGATGAATATTGTGGAACCCATCGTTAGTATGGCTGAGAGGAAATGATCTAAAGAACGTCGCCGTAGCGCGTAAAACCAACCGGGCGATTTAGTTGACGCAGAACGTACCTTACAATATTATCAGCATGCCAATGAAACGAAAGAAACGGATGCTGACATGGTGAAGCGCAAGCATACGCAGCCGGTCGTCCCACCAAAGGCCAAGGGCAACAGTTAGAAGAACTTGGGAAAAACGATAGACAGCAGAAACAGGTAGCGGCTATGTTGCCATTGCATAAGAGGGTCATGACGAAAATCAGAAATGTCGGCAGGACCAGATCGAAGGTTAGGACTTGAAAACCTGAGTCCCGACCAAGTCCCGACTCCCGCGATTTGCGTTGTGTCGGTGTCGGTCACGTGTAGGTCGGTATGACGGTGATGAGAGCGGTGAGCTTGAGCCCACCAGTATCGGGACCCTTAAACGGCACTCGTCCGTCCCTCCCGCAAGCAAGAAATACGGAGGTGAGAACTTAAAGGCATGATAGAAATCATGAAATGCTAGCGGCGTTATAGAGTGTTTTGAGTGTGTTCGTTGTGTGTTTTCCACACTCCGACGGTCCGCCGGGCCGTACACTCTATGATGTGGATTTTTGGTTTCGCATTGATGATGCTGAAAACATCTGGTCTCTATCCTGCGACACAGTGTCGATCGTGAACCTCATGCATCATGTGTCGGCATTCTCTTTGAGTGTGATGCTGTTGGCACTTATCCTCCTCCTGATGTTGTAGGACAAACTATACAATAGTAAAGGAGCACAGGTCTCAGGTAGGTAATCAAGTAGGACCTTGGTAAGATCCACTACTAACGTAGCGGGCATTGTCTACGCAAGATGTTCAAAGCAAAGAAGTTTTGGTGCATCCTTTTTGAAAGCGGCCCCGGGCCCAAACAGCCATTCTTTGTTGTAAATGGCCTCGACGACTTGGTTTTTGATCTCTTACGGAATATTAAGTCCACGGCGGCCAATAGTGACGTTGGTAAATATGATGCTCACGAAATCGTTTTGTATAAGGTGAGTACATTTCAAGCCAACTTAAGTTTTTGTAGCTCAACCCATGGTAGTTAACCAAGTCAATCCCCGTCAATCCTTCAAACAATCTGTTCCAACGCATCGAAAATATGGAAGATATTCAGAAATTTTCTATTCGAGTGGACGACATCGCTACAAGATTAAGTGGTGTCTTCCCAGATGGGGTCGACGAGCGGACGCTTCGATTTCTTATAAAGTTGCCCCAAGCACCAGGCGAGTTTCATCTGTCTCACGACCTATATATACCTCAACTGATCTTCAATTTGCCCTGGAAGAAAACTCCTGTGAGTGTTTGTGACTTGTGCATATGAGCATTCAGGTTCCGACTGTTGCTTTTGCCACTACAGGGCCGCCTTTGAAACGAGCTCGTCTTACCAGTTCAAAAGGTAGGCAACAACCCAACTGTAGCTCGATCCCCTCCTGCCCTCGCTCATTTGTCTACCCCCATTTTCCACCAGTTCCTGATTGGCTTCAGGAGCTCCACGAGAAGCTCTGGAATCGCAAAGACCTCTATGAAGAACTGTTCCGCAGCGTCACGCTCACACTTGCAGACTATGAGAAGTTACAAGATAGCATGGCAAAGCTTTATCCGAATCGCAAAGAAAAGGATTACCGGGCTGGTACTGACGGCCTAGCTACCAAGCTTGCTGTGCTCCAATTCAGCAACAAGCACTCGGCGACCGACCATGGCGCTGACCACATTACACAACCCACCCATCATGATGACGATGAAAGTGACGATGACGTTGATGAAGAGTTTTGCTCCCTCTTTCCATTTTCATTTGAGTATCTGGACCTTTCAAGTTTACATCTCCAGTCTCCGCCACCGCGCATGCCCCTGCCCCTTCTCATCCGGGAAGAGTACACATTTCTCTCTAGATTGCTGGATGACCTACCAGAGGGCGGCAACGGCTCTGCAGTCATTAGCGGTCAGCCTGGAACAGGTGGGATCCCGTCTTTCTTCTTATTCTAGCTCTCACCTACTCACAGGCAAGACCGCTTACCTCTATTATATATTGATACAAAGTATGCTCGCGGGCACCCGATGTCTATTCCAAACAGTCGAAACCGAAGCGCACGACACCATTTATCTAATCGACTCATCCGTAGAAGTTGTCAACTTCTGGCCAGATGATGAGTATATCATCGCCTTCTTTGACGCTGATGGGCCGTCAAGTCGACCTGCGCATTTTCTCCTCAACCATCATTTCGTCAAAATTATTGCAACATGTTCACCAAACAATGCTTTTCAAGAATGGATCGAGAAGCCAATTTCTCCTAACTGGGTGTCGAGGCGTATAACCACATTGTGGTCCCCTCAGGAGCTTTTCTTGACGGGGTGAGTGATAGTCTACAAGTCAGGGTACTACACTGACGTCATTTATAGAATGTTTCTTGCCCCGCCAGATCTCAGCTACTCCTGGCTTCGAGAGTCGACAAGATATTTTGGCTTCAACCCCCGCGACTGCTTTCATACCCCACCAAGTATTAATGAAGCCACGGCACGAATCGGAAAAAATATCAAAGAGTGCTCAAACAATATGTGCTTGGAAGAGTTTTGGCGTAAGACCCGCTCAACGAAATCCATATCGCAATCCGTTTTTCAGCTCTTTCCGTCAGTTGATGACGATGAGCGTTTGCTAGATGCTGCTCAAATATCAGCAGTTTCTCCGTGGGCGTTGACAACCTCATTAGAGATCTACGAACGATCCCAAACGGGTGCTTCATTCCAATTCTACCGAATCATTAAAAACACACGTAATGCGGGGACACTTCGTGGTCAGATGTTTCAGGTACAGGTGTTGAAGCACCTCGGTGGTCTCAAGGGGCCGGAGCAATTTACTATCCGGCGTTTGACTGATTCCGATACCTCCCAGTGGATGTATCCTGGTCCTACTGCGAGTTGTTGTTGTCCTTCAGCCGCATTCCCCCAGCTGCTGGAGGGGGCAGTCACTCAGCGAAAGTCTGTACACCTGGTCCCGCAAGAACGAAACTTTTCTGCGCTTCATTCTATCCTCTATACCCCTGGGGATGTTTTGACCGTAATCTATGCTACCGTCGAAACAGAGCGTCCTGTGGGGGTTGTCAGCTTCCAGAGAATACAATCGTGGCTCAAACGAGATTCTATGCTTTCCCACCTTCAACCATCGATCCTGGGAAACCACTGGCGGCTTATATTTGTGGTTCCGGAGCAAATGGCTTCGAGTTTCCGGATTCAGAAGTTTGAAGGCGACGCTGATTCAGATGGGTGGTTCGAGAAAGTCGACCAGTATGTTCTTGGAATCAATGAGGATACGCTATGGGCAAGGACAAGTCAACTCTCAAGTCCTACCGTTTTTAGGGAGTCGGGACTTGTCGGATTTTACTTCTAAAACAGCAATCATTCTGTAAAACATGATACTTTCACGAGAAACATCTCCTGAAGATAATCCCTTGCAATTTATTCAATCCTCACCACATTTTAACTGGCGGGGAATATATGTAAGATAACTTGACAAATAGGATGATTATAATAGATTATAATTATTGGTTCGCACATACCACACGGTTCCCGCAGCGCCAGAGTGAGAACCTTTTGGCCTGTTGGTTAGAATAGGTTCATTCATCAGCATCGAGAATAGCGTTTATTGAGACTCCGCGTCGGCGGCCTCTCAAGCTATTGGGCCACACAGTTTCCCTTACTTGTGAGAAAGGAGCTGAAAGCTGTGGGAAATACACACCTATCCTCCAGGTCGAACCGCTCGTGAAGCCACTCTATAAAATCAAACGGAAAATCCCCCCTCCTCGCCACCACCCACTCTTGATCCTTATATTTCTCCAACCACATCTCAGTGTTCCCATCGAACTCATTGCAGCACGCGTAGAGGAGCGCTCTGAGCTCTATTCCCTGCAGGTGGTGGCGAAAGAGCTGCGCGTCCAATGTTGCCAAGCGGAGCCGGAAGTGTGCGCGAAGCACAGCGTCGGCTGGCGTCTCATCGGCATGGTTCCCACGCGAGTTTTGGAAATCGGACATGAGGAAACGCTCAGAGTCGTCATCGAACCACCCGCCACCGACGGCAGCCAGCCAGGCTGGGCGGAACCCTGCCATCTCCCAGTCAATGATACCTGTGACTGCGCCGGTGGAAGGATCAATGAGGATATTGAAGCTGCTCAGATCGCCGTGCGCAAAGTGGAACCGGTCGTGGTTGGAGGAAGACACCTCTGACTGTTGGGAATTGTTGTAAAATTGTTTGACAACGTCGTAGACTTCGAGGGTCTTTTCGAACACCCAACAGCTGAGTTTCCCACCGGGCCGTGTTGGAGGCGTGCCCAGGAAGGCGAAGGCTTCCATAACACTGCGTTCGGAGTTGAAGGGTCCACACCGCTGGGGATCGACCTGGCGGGGGTAGTCGAGAAAGGTTATGTCATTGATGGGACCGACCATGACAGATTGCCCTTTGAGGGTAGTAGGAGTGAGCCTCGGGGAAAAGAGTGGGGTAAAGAGCGGATAGCGAAGGGAGTTGTGGCAGAGGCTTTCATCGCTCCTGTCTCCAGAGTACGGAGAGATACTGCCACACTCGGCCGAGGTGATGTTAAACAAAGAAAACATGATCTTCGCCAGATCGGTAGCAGTACGGCGCTTTTGTTCATATGTGAGTTGTTCAAAACCATCGGCCAGACAAAGACCCGGCATGTATTCCATGAGAATCCACTCGGCTCTCACAGGGTTTTCCGGTGTGCTGCAATAAAGGTAAACCTTTGGAACAGGGATAGATGTGCGCGCTACAACGGGGTGAGCATCGCAATAACACAACAACGACCAGGGGTAATGACCTCGTACCAGCTCCATCGCCGCCACCTCGGCCTCTGTTTTCACCGATTCACGAACAGGGAGGATAATGCGGGCAATAACTTGCATGCCGTTCTCTAGCGTGAATAAAAACACGCGTGCGTAAGAGCCGTTATCCATACAAGCGTGGTGACCGACTGAAGTTCGGAAATGGGATGAGATTATGATTTCGATGGCCTTTATATCGACGTTGGCGGCTTGCCATAGTTTTTCAGCTTCGGACGTCCTTTCGCAGCAGCTGCAGGAGCTCATGAGATTAAACTTTTGAAACCTAACCCTAAATTCGGGCTCCCTTCACCTTTGAATGGCACCAGCACCAAGAAAAAGAACAAGGAAGCGGAAGAGAAGAGCAGCTGTTTCCAGCTCTGAATCAGACTCTTCTTCAGACTCACCCTCCAGCAACGAGTCCGCACATCCACCGACATCGCTACACAAACCTATTATCTCTTCAAGTTCATCATCGGATTCAGACTCGGATTCGGATTCATCAGACTCTTCTTCCTCCAGTTCCGATGCATCCCTCAGAGCCGCAAAGACGAAAACACAATTGAATGTTGCTGGAGCGTCAGCGCCGAAAAATCTGAGGCACTTGTCGTCCTCGCCGTCACCCCCACCAGCGGACCTACCTTCTTTCCTACCCGTACCAGGAAACTCAAATAATGGAGATCGGGAATTGAAGGAACAGGAAATGAAAGATCGCTTCCGGCAATTCTGGATGGCCTCGGTCTCTGATGCTTTCAAAGATGATTTGGAGGAGATTAGAAAGGTGCGTTTTTTTCCAATATTCTTCCCTTTCGCTTTTTTCCAAGGCGACTGACCACTTTTTTTGAACGGTAGGAGCACGACTTTGGCGCGACGCGCTTGGGGCTGTTAATCGATGCATTGGCTGGTGGTACGGAGGTCTTCAAGCCGGGAGGGGAGATGGAGGTTGTTCTTGAGTGAAATTGGCATGGGTCGGCCTCTTGGGTTTGGTGCTTGGAGTGCGGTTTGAGAAGAGGACTGATGATTTTCCAGTATAAAAGTGCACGCTCTGTCTTGCGCTTCTTTGCTGTTGCTGGGTGTTGAAACGTTGACTCAACGTTTCGTGGCGTCAGGGAAGGCATGGACTCGGACACTTCCAGAATATTTGCTTAGTGCAAAGTCGCGACAAAACTTTTCTGTAGAATTTGTTGGTTGTACTTTTGTATTGTGGGTTAGTCGAGAATGTTGCTCAAGGCTCCTACCTCGAATAAAAGCAAGAACGGGCCAGGACGGACACGCGCCGAGGTTACATACCGTGCACAGCCCCCAACATTGGTAAAGATGGTGGGCAGTGGAATGTGTAATCAATGCCCTGGTTGGCATCCACCACGATGATTATGCCCTGGCTGGCATCCTCGACCTCGACACTCCCTAACATCTTCAATAATAACAACTCAAAGGCCTCTAATACTAATAACACCGACTCAGCATGTCCGCTCAGCGCCACGATAGCTAATCACGTCAACGCCGTTCGTTCAGCAATCAGCTCTCGATTCCCGCACAACGAGTCGCCCAGGACAGCAGGGCTGTCCAGACAACCACATACGACCAAAGAGGCACGGTTCGCTCATCGTGACCCTCGGAACGAGAAGACGCACGACGCCTACCTGGATGCACATACCTGGACCCCGAACCTTCCCCGCCAACAGCTAGAAGCACCTCGTACAGCGAACGACCTTCTTCACCGTCCACAACAACAATGGCATTTAGACCTCAAGACGTCAGATGGGTACGGGACTTTCAGCCCTCAATGGGACCCACGGCCGATGAAGGGTCCTTATACCGCTCGTCCTGCAGCTGCTAATGGGTTCCCGTCTGATTTGAAGACACCAGCAGACCTCAGGACGCCAGGGGGAACTTACATCACGCGCATCAACTCTCCTCGCTCTGCCGTTCTCCCCACTCAGCAGGTACAACAACTGAGTGGGAAGAAAAAGTTTGGTCTTGGGTTCTTTGAGTTTCGGACGCCGACGAGTGGGCGGTTCTTGGGGCAACAGGCTCAGGCTCAGGCGCAAGCTCCAGCTCAATGGGAACAACAGACTCATGGTCAGGAGTGGGAGCAAGGGCAGGGACGGGAGCAGCGGGTGGATGAGAGGAGTAAACGCCGTTATGGGATGTATTCGCCTCAGACGCCGCGCGAGAACCAGTTTGCGCAGTATGAAGTGCGCACGGCTAATGGCGGGTGGGCTGTTCCTCCTCCCGCTAGGAGCGAGGACTTGGAGAAGGGGCAACGGAAGGATGTGGATGAAAGATGGATTCGGCCTGGGGTGTACGTTTTTCCTTCTTGTTGTTTGACTTTTTTTGTTTTGTTGAGAGGAGATTGCAGTTGGCTGGCCCAATCCCGGGCATGGGTCTCCTCCACCTTTTTCAACTCAAAGACACGCTCGAGACCTAATCCGATATTGATCCCGCCCGTGGTGGACTCTAATCCCGATTTCGAGGCACAGACAAACGTTCCGAGGAAGGACACAATGGAGAAGGATTTGTTGGCGTGGATGACTGTCGTTGGGGCGTACGTCTCTTTTCTTTTTTTTCTTCTTCCTTTGGTGTGTTGAGGCTGATGGGGGATGTAGGTGGATCATGCAGTTCTGCACATTTGGGTAAGCAGTTTTTTCAAGAGTCGGGATTGTGTTGGTTATGAATTCGGTTTTCAACAGGTACATCTTTACGTGGGGCGTCTATCGCGATTACTACATGAACGAGTTTCCAAAGCTCCATTCCCCAAACAAGCTTGCGTGCGTCTCTTTTTCTCCGTCTTTCTTTCACTGTGCTTAGCGTTATATAGATTGATAGGAAGTCTTCAATTCGCATTTCCCTTCCTTCTGGCGTTCCTAGCGGGCAAAGCAGTCGACGCGAACCATTTCCATTGGGTTGTACTGCCCGGATCTGCGTTCTTCGGGATGTCGTGCGTCTTTTCTGTCTTACACGCAAAACATATTCGTATTTATATATCACCCAGGCTCTTCTTGCTCTCCTTTGTCGATCCAGAAAGTTTCATGCACGTCAGTGCCCTCTCCTACACGAGCTCATTTCGTACCTACTAACCATCTTGTTTTTGAAATATATAGCTGTTCTTGATACAAGGCGTAGGCATGGGTCTCGGGCTCGGCATGATCTTTTTGCCTACCGCCATCGTGTGCATGCACCACTTCAAGAAACGGAGAGCGTTCATTACTGGGATCGTACTCAGTGGAGCTTCAGCTGGTGCAATTGTATTCCCTCTTGGTGAGTTCTTTCTGTCCTTTTAAGCCATCGAATGGTTCTGATGCCCTCTCCTACAGTGCTAGAGTAAGCCCCCCTGTTCCTCCTCCGCGTTGCGGCTGACAAGGACGATGGTTAGCAAATTCCTCCCTACAAAAGGGTTCAGTGGAGCAGTGCGCATTACTGCATACATGGTCCTTGCGTGTCTGGTGATAGGCAACAGCCTCATGGGAATGCCGGCCAAACTGTTCATCCCTAAGCTCCCTCAAGTGAGCCTGTTGGTGTATTTCAAGGAACGGCATTATGCGTTGGCTATGGGCGCGTGAGTTTTTCGTGCTTCCTGTCTCTTCTCTCTGATGATGATGATGGTTTTTGCAGAACGTTCATTGCCCTGCTGACGATGTACTTCCCCGCTTCGTACATGGAGGATTACGCGGTACTGCATGATGTTAACCCACATCTGGCGTTTTATGCGGTACGCTTGTCCCGTCCCCTTCAAAGCGTACAGGGGTGACTCTTCTTCCACAGTTGGCAATCACGCACATCGCCAGCCTGATGGGGCGCATAGTGATGGGTCTCCTAGCGGACAAGTATGGATCTTTCACCTTGTTGATCCCCACCACGGTAGTCTTGGCTGCGAGCTTGTGTACCGTCGTTTCAGTGTACGTCTTCCTTTTCTTTTTATTCTTGCCATTTTGCGTCGCTCACTATTACCACCAGTCAAAGCGTGAAGGCCATAGTGATCGTATCCATATTCTACGGCTTTTCATCTGGAGCTTGGCTTTCGCTTCTTATCTGTGGGCTCGCTTCGCTCGCTCTTCGTCCTACTGAAATCGGGTAAGCCCCCTCCTACCTACGACCCCGTAGCCAAAATCCCGCTGACTTCTTTTGTGTTTCGTGATAGCCTTCGAACTGGCTTGGTGCTTTCAGTGGCCAGTCTTGGAGCCCTGCTTTCTGGGCCTGTGCAATTGGGTCTGCTTTCACCCGAGTACATATGGGCGAGGCCTGTTGGATTGTTTGGGGTGAGCTTTTCCTTCCTTCCGTTTTGTTCGAATCTTTTGACCGTTGTTGACTTTTGTGATTAGTTCTTACTGTTTGTGACTGCGGGCATGTTTTGGTATATTCGACAGCTTGTATCGCTAAAGAAGCGGAATCGAATAGTGTGAATTCAGGTATTTGGTCAACATGTGAGGGTTTTTTATTTGGCACCCGCCTGGCTGTTCCGTGGTATGAATGACTATGATGAGCAAATGTCGGCGACTCTCTGGCGCTCGACATTATGCTAAAACAATTCTCTGATTACATCGTGTTGTCATCGTGGCCAAATCGTGGCCATGGTAAAGACTTTGTGTCCTTGTCGTGTTTGGCATTGTATGGGGTCACGGGTGTGTATTGTTGAGACTGTTGAACAACGCGACTTGCAACATCACCTCGTAGGCCATACATATCGCTGTCTACGCAAGATGGCGCGTTTTTGGTGCCTCCTCGACAACGACGCCATTGGGCCATTCGCTGTTGACATTGGCCTGGACGAGATGGTTGTTGACCTCCAGAAATTGATCAGATCCTCGAAGAACCGTTTGCGTCAATACGATGTTGAAGATATCGCAGTGTATAAGGTCAGTACATTTCAATCCAATTCAATCCTTTGTATCTCATCCCATGGTAGTTAGAGGAGCCAATTCCCCTCGTTCCCTTTACCGATCTACGCCAACGCATAGAAAATAAAGAAGAAATTGAGACTTTTCCCCCTGAAAGTTTAAGTGATATCTTTCCAGACAGGGTCGCCGATCGAACACTTCACTTTCTTGTGAAGTTGAGAACCCAAGCACCAGGCGAGTTTCCTCTCCTAAAGTATTGTTGATGATACTCAATCAACAATACAGCAGGATTACTTGGTAAGTAATTAAATGTCCCATGCTAATCGATTGTCTCTTCCTATAATTCAAAACTGCCCAATTAGCCCCAACCGCAATTTCTGTCTCTTCGTCAGCGGGTTCCATTCTATCCAACGCCGGTAAGCAAATATCAATCAGACCAACGAAAATTGCTCATAAATTGGCTTAGATAATTACCTCACACTTTACTGTTGGGTTTTGAATAAATCCGTCAACCCTTTCCCCATTGATATCGGAAAGAGTAAGGGCCTGGGTCACCTGAGAACTATGATCAAGAAGGACAATGAACATCAGTTTGCTGCCATCGACGCTGACACGCTCGCGATATGGAAGGTGGGCAAATCTTCCCTGTGCGCGTCAAAGACATCTAAATTTCGGGAAGTTGTCTCCACCCATTCTTGTTGCGGAAATCAGCACGAAGCTCAAAGACGTTCAAAGCCCGCAGCAGATCCCGGGCTGCGTCAAGTTAGATGGTGTTGACGAACTGTCGGAACATTTCTCCTCGGCCCCTCGCAAGCATCTCCATATCATTGTGGAAGCCCCCACACGTATGTCCTTTTCCATGTCACAGACAATGACGTTTCCCTGATCTGACTACAGAGAATCGCGGGATGAAACGACGACGCGGCGAATTGGACGATCTCACAGCGGAAAAATCTCGTCTTTTCAAAATGGCAAAACAAGCACCGTCCTCTTTGTCTGAGCCCTCTACCTTTCAAACTGCAGCACAAGATGTTGTCGCCTGCAATCGTCCCTTCGATTGGGATACGATTCCCATCACTTTACTCCAGGAAGAGTTTGGACTTTTTATGGATGACCGTAAAGTCCTTCCATCGCCGAAGTCGCAGGAACTTCTCCAAGCTCTCACGGTGGCCGCGTGCAAGTGGCACGAGAATGAGACCCAGCGAAGGTCCGAAATTCAAAAAGTATTCAACGACGTAGCTGGTTTCTATCTATCAGCCGAGTTCATCGATGGCACAGAATACAAAACACATGGAAACTCAACAGTCAATATTATGCCTGCCGTCATCCGGAAATGTAACAACGATGCCGAATGCGCACTCCGGGAAGCCACTGGGTTATATGTGCAGTTTCTCGTTAAGGTGTTGGATAGACGTGGCATGGGCAACCGCTTTCCTTGCATTCTTCTCATTGATACTGGTAAGATTGTTCATTGCATAACTACCACCCAGTGCCTCATGTCACGCAAAAGGATCGTATTTTGGGCTTTACGGCTGCCTGTGGACTGGGGAGCGTCTACACGTTGAACCTTTAACGTCGTTTTACGATTTACAAACACATTGGACGGATGAAAGCGGCAGGCAAGCCATTGCCGGAAGTCTGAACGCCTTTCTAAATGCCATTCCCCGCCTTGAGGCCCATTATACCAGACTGGCATCCATTGCACTCATCGCCTTGCCAGATCCCTCTCCACTGAACCGTGTGTATCCGTACAAAACAAGCTACGACGACGAGAATGGCCAGCGTATTAACTTTTCATATCGGTCCCGAGTTGATGATAAACTGGTCTTTGTGGCCGAACCCGACAAGTCTACTGACAAAGATATAGGTACCTTATGCATCAAGTTTACTAGGCGATATTCGGAGGATGCCCATCGCTTCCTTGCACAACTAGGCTATGCACCACGACTTCGAGCGGTTGTGCGACTCCCTGGTGGGTGGAACATGGTCGTCATGGACTACTCAAATTATAAGCAACTCTATGAATCAATGCCCCAAATGTCGAAAGAACAGCAATATGCAATAACGGCCAAAGTTATAGAGGTCGTTCAAAAGTTGCATGATGCCGGGTTCGTCCATGGCGATCTCCAATCTTCCAATGTTCTCGTCGACTGTGGAATGTCAACAAGCAAAGATGACATCAAGATTCATCTCATTGATTTCGACTGGGCAGGTCGTCAAGGAGAAGTCGTATACCCAATGGGTGTCAACACAGTGACAGTTCGGAGGCCAGAAGGTGCTTTAGATGGAAAACCCATCTTGGTAGAGCATGACTTGGTCATGGTTAATTCTTTCCCCAAACACGAAATTGCTCTACTCCATGCATATGTCCATACATTCGGCAACTTGTATCGCTGAAGAAGCAAAATCGAATAGTGGGAATTCATTTATGAGCCGTCAACATGTGAAAAGTTGTAAGGTTTTCTTTCTGTCTAGTTGCTCAGTCGTGAAAGAACTGCTGCGTATATGCGGTATAATGAGTACCTCGTCTATGATCTAACCATTAGTTCTGCTTGAGGCGTCCGTTGTGCAATGAACAAATGTTGAGATGCTGGAAAACTGAGATGCGAGACTGCCTCGACACCACCAGCTAGCACGCCAACACGCATCATCGAGAGCAGCTAGTTAGAAAACACGTTAAATAAGTTTTCGACGATACTGACCAAACACTACGCACATTGTGGGCGGCATTTGAGTGAGAATATAGCCCTCCAAAGAAAGACGCCGTCATGTCTTTGCCTGAGTTTGTCTCTAAATGACTGCGTCCTCCAGGATGATGGTCCAAGAACGAGGAAACATCGTGGATGAAGCCAGAAACAAGTATCAGTGTTCGAGATTTGGATTCTCTCTGGACTGAACGACGTTAGCTGCGAGGTACTTCAGTTCATGATTGACTGGAAGCTCACATGTCTCCCAAGTGACTACTGGCAGGTTCTCAGATGTTTCTGGCCAGGCCAACGAGTCTTGAATTTTTTTGAGCTTTTTCAGTTGCATGGCCAAGGCTCCTTTCGCAATTTCATTCCTTGGGAAGACGCGGAGATGACTAGCCAGGCCAAGCATACCACAAAGTGCGATGAACCACTTAGTTGGATCGTATTGGTACCAATGGAACGCGTTCCGGTAGTCCATTGGGAACTGGTGATGAAAATTGTGGTATCCTTCACCCATCGTTAGTATGGCTGAAAGAAAATGGTCTCGAGGTGAATGAACGTCGTCGTAGGGCGCAGAACCAAGCCAATGAGCGACCGAGTTGATGCAGAACGTGCTCTATGGTGTCAAAATCAGTATGTCGATAAAACTGGGAAAGAAACGTATGCTGACATGGTGAGCGATGGTCAAACGCAAAGCGAACGCGAAGCATATGCCACCCAACCAGTCGTCCCACATAAAGCCAGGGATAACAGCTGGGAGAACAATCCCAAAGATAGCCAGCAGAACAAAGTAGTGACGATGTTGCCACTGGATAAGAGGGTCATGACGAAGATCAGAAATGTCGGCAGGACCAGATCGAAGGTTAGACTTGAAAACCATCCAACCGATATGGGTCCATAACAAGCCGCGATTTGAGTTGTAAGGGTCGAGGTCGGTGTCGGTATGACGGTGATGAGAGCGGTGGGCTCGAGCCCACCAGTAGCAGGACCCTTGAACTGCACTAGTTCCGCCGGCAAGTAAGAAACATTGAAGTGGGAAAGAGGCATTATAAGAACGATGAGACCAGAGTCGATGATATCCTATGTACGTCAGTTTTGCGATAATGCCGGCGGCAAGATAACAATTGTACCTGCGGTGATGCCTAGAAAACATAATGGCATATCCCGTCAGAACCCCACACAAAGCTCCATGTGCAATTTCTCACCCAACATGGAAAATACATAGTATCCCACAGAGAACGTCACAGTTTCTCGGTAACAGGGCGCCCTCAACAGGCCATAGCAAGCGACAGCAGGTGTCAAGGTGAGGACCGCGACGTTGAACCAGCGTATTCCGTTGGTTTCAGGAAATTTCTGGGTAAGACCTTTCTTGAACATTGATCTTTCGAAGCACAGCAAAGATAACCGATTGTTTATAGGAAGGAAGTGGGGCGATAATAAGCTGCACCTCTTTCGCAGTCCTCGTGTAGCCGTAAGGTGCGGGACGACGAGTATTCGAAGTCCCACGTGCAAGAAATGTCGATGTAAATTTTAAGATCCTCCAGGACCCCTAGATTCCCGTAGATTCTGGGGTCAAGAACAGCCTTCAAGTATATAGAAGGATATCTCCCCCAAACGTGTAAGGGTCCGCTTACTTTTGCCCCTTCAATTGTGGTGAACCGAGCCGTCGGACGCCGAAAGGACCGCCTGGCCTGGTCAGGCAGCGTGAAGCGGCTTTCGAACCATCCGCATGCTTGTTCCGATGGGCATCGGAGAAGGAGGCAGTTGGGGGTGTTATGAGATAGTTTACCCGGGTCACCTAAAACTCGTGTCAATATCAAACCAAAAACACAACGAAGATTGCGTATGATCGCGTACCAAGTTAACAACAAAAGTCTGAAGACTGAGTCAATCCTTCGAAACTACTGCTTCCAGGAGGCTCGTTACAGCAATTGCAAAGCCCATTCTTCCTTTTCATCAAGATGCCGTGGTAACGCGCTTTGGAATTACCTACGACCAGTCACCAATCGCTCGCCATCTAGATTACTGTCCGGTTATTGAAATTGGGCTCCTGGTGAGGCGAAATATTGAGTCAAGGGGGTGCTTCAAGGTGGGTGACACGGTGCATGTAGTTTAGATTTGGTCCAAAAAGTCTGGCGGAACTCGAAAATGCGTTCCTCCGTTCAACGACTCAGAAGTTCGAGACACAGTCAGAATCCCACAGCAATTGTTGATGGACGGGCATGCTTTGTCAGTTTTGGAGAAAGCAAACTCGTCTGGGTACTGGCCGCCTTTCAAACGCAATCAGAGTAGCGGAGAAGAACATGGCAAATACGAAATTAACACGGCCTTGCTCTTGTACCACTTGATTGCCGAGTCTCAAAAACTTGGTGGTACTCTTCTGGATCAGTTCTGGCTTCAGCTCGGAAAATGTCATCCTATGATCAAGGAGAATAGTACGTAAACATAGCCCCGTCCAAAATCTCGCTCATCATCGACGTAGTTGACTACCTACGGACGGACCCTCAGAGCGTCCCGTTCAGTGGTTCATCCAAGGTCCTTTTTTCAGGCGTAGATATAGACAAAGCCGACTTTGAACCAGTGTTGGAGATGGCTTCGGAATACATCATCCGCCTAGGAATCGTGTGTATGTATTTCCTTTGACTTCTCAAGGAGTTAATTATTCACGCCATGATAGTTATGAATCCTGGTGGGCGCGAATCCGGATCCAGCTCGCCGCAGTCTGGCATTGATTTTGTAGACGAGAAGACGGATGAACTCTTGCGCCAGGTCTGCCAGGAGGGCAAGTTTGGTAAACGAAAGCAAGCAGCTCTCAAAGCCCTGGCATGGTTTTGCGTCATACAGTCTTGCCGAAGTTCTGATGATGTTCTCGTCCAGGTTTTCAGACGCGATGGTGATGTGTGTCCCTTCACCGGCGTCAAATTCAGAATGCGTTCCACTGACTACAACGACTTCTCTTCCAATATGGCTTATATCATTCCCAGTGCAATTCAGAATAAGGTTGATGTCAATTTCTCTTATCTATAATGGCTCCTTGGCTTACCCCAGTCCTACAGCCTGACATCATGGATTATATCGCGTTGTTCGCTGGGCCCAAAGCCAGGGATCTTGTCCAGGAATCTTTAAATGGAGTAGGAAATGCGCTCAACTTAGAGCTCAATGCGCACATGACGTATTGCGAACTGCACTGGGGCATTGAAGCCCAGGACCATAATGGAGAGGTGTGGACATCGAAACCCAATATACCGGTCCTAATGTGATTTAATGATCATTCTCAGGTCAAATACATCTACCGGAGAATTCCCTTTACACTTGACAGTGGCCCGGCTATGAACAAGTTGCTGGACGGTGACCAGATTTTCTTTGGAAAAGGCAAAAATGGACAAAAATTCGGAGGAGGTCCTCTGCCGCTTCTTTGCAACATACGGCTGGCAGTGGCTCGCGTCCTGAAATTAAGTGGCGCAGCGAGCGTCATTGTGCAGATAAAGGAAGCTGCTGATGATATTGACACCCCTCGGTACCTTCTCCCTCCCAGTGACTTTCTTGAAATCTTGGATGCGAAGCTGCGGCTCGTGTGGTAATAATCACCTGGCGTTCTCCTTGCCTCTTCTTACTGGTTCTTGGGTTCTAACAAGCAGCGGCCGTGAAATGGAAAAAGACGCTTCTTGTTCACCACGATTCCAGGGAGACAAACGAGTCTTTGATGACCTCCTTCACAAGCTCTCTCTTTAGGATTGTCCCTTTGTAGGCACAATCTCTGGCTTCTCGGGACACTCGATTTTCCGAGAGGATGGTGGTGCAAGCATGGTAGACGAGGTTTACCCCTCGCTCAGTGGCCTGTTCCCCGGCGGGGATCATGATGTGCTGGACACTTCCTTATGGGGCCACCGTCGACTACTCAACAAATTTTGTATTTTATCTTCTTTATGTTATGAAAGTAATTTCCCAGGTTGCAAACGGCGCAATGCAGGCCTCAAGTCGCCTAACACACCAACGTATCTCGAGGTCTTAAGAAACGGTGGCGCAAAGGTCAATGCTGAACTTGTGAGGCTTACTTCTACGACCCGTCAGCGGGAAGATTGACGTGTACGTTCTATCCAAGGCCGCCACGATTGTTTGTGTTCAACTTGTGTTCAACCTCCTCCTTCCTACTACCATTCAGTTTACAAAACAACCGGCTCCGATCTGGATCCGGCACCTTATTGCGCAACCTAAGGACAATTCAAAGGGTATCTACTCAATATGTGTACCAACGGTGTAGACTTTGGTACAAACAAAGTTCCTCAAGTATCCTATTGTTGACAACGATGGAGAATCGGTAAGTCAGATGGATGATTCTCAGGTTCTTCTCGTTCTTTGAATATCTCCACTTTTCAGCTTGTTCGCAATGCGAGGGTCGCCTCGACACGCTGAGGGGCGACGAAGGTGCAAAGGGCCACGTCGTCGATGCCCTGGGGTGGTATAAATACAAGTAGACGCTTCATAGCACCGTATCGTGTCCTTCTGCTCGTACAGAGCTCCACAATGTATAAGTAGTAAAAAGAAAGAATACATCACGCTGAAACCGAGGGTTTCTCATCGTCCCATCCGCCTACGCCTAGTTTTCCTCGCTGCCGCCAAAGTTTATCGGGGGATAACTTGTGGAAAGTAATTTCATTGGACACCTTTCCACCCAATGAAGGATGGCCTGTATCAAACAAGGCAGATTCGGACTGCGCCAACGAAGCTGACTGGACCGCCAGAGCAGCAAATGACTGCGTTGATTCGTGATATCTATGTAGAAAGAGCTGGGTGCTCAGCGACAATTTAGCAGGTCGAGAAAGCACGCACAACCTAGCTGAAATTCAGTAAACATAATAAAAAACCATACGTGCGTGAAGATATTTACCGGTAAGCCTCTTTATTTGAGCAATCGTCCGCTTGTATTTGGTCAAGGGCATGCCTCTTGAAGGCGGCTTTAACCCAGTGAAGGACATCAAATACGTGATGTTCTTTTGGACTAAAAGAAGAGAGAGAGGTTCATCAAAGGTAGTGGAAGTAGACGTAGCTCCCTCACCGCCATGGACGGAAACGGGGAAACAGGCTGAAGGTTCCATCCTGCGATATCAAAGGGTGAAAGATGTCTGTTACAAACTGAACAGTAGGTGGGCGCTCAGGATAGTTAGGAGGAAAGGTAAGATTGAATTTGAGGATGGCATCAGCGTAATACCCTGTCATGACAGAAGATGAGAATGCCACTGATAAAAGCTCAGTATAAAAAACGCACCTTGATGAACAAAGAATACAGCGTCCCACAGGAACAGACTCGCCGTCGACGGGACGACATACATTCCCATAGGACAATGTCCAGCATGCCTTAGGGATGCATATTCAAGAGATATTGCAGTACGTGCTATCACGCTTTCTGGAGGATTTGTCGCTGTCATGATGGTAAAGTCATAGATCGCCGTTGGGGAGGCGGAACACGTCGAGGAGACGAAAAGGGCGTGTGGCACGCGGCAAGGGAACTTGATTGTGACTTGATCAATTATTTTTTCACAGATACGACTCTACATGGTCAAGCCAACTGACTACGAAATTGGGCCCTCGCGAATCGTATCGGGGCGCTATCCGCCTCCAGGGACGAACACCTACGCCGATGCCATACGCGAACGACGCGGCGCACGCGGGATCACCGCACTCGATGGCAACTTGCTTCACTTTCCTGCCATGGCTGGCGGGTACAACACCTTATTGGGTGCCATTAGGGATAAAGGCTCATTGAGCGTCGACATCCGAGAGCTTATGGTACGTGAACGCGGATGACGATGGGAACCGGTGGCTTTTGATGCCTAGTGCAGATCCTACGCGTTGCTGCTTTGAACAACGCAGCCTTCGAGTGGATCCAGCATGAAGCCGTTGGTCGAAAAGGTGGACTGACCAATGGGCAGCTGTACATCATCCGCGATGTTGATACGCCGTTACCACTCATGGAGGGCATACTCACTCCCCTCCAAGCCGCTGCAGTCGCGTTTACGGATGCAATCACCAAAGACGTGTCAGTGCCGAAGCAGACGTCCACAGAGCTCATGAATCAGCTACGGCGTTCGTTAAAGGAAGCCGATGCAGCAACGGAGGAAGAAGAATTGAAGGCAAAGACGGAGGATTTGTACGTGGAAGCGACGATGGTGGTCGCTGCGTATAATATGGTATCGAGGTTCTTAGTGGCCACCGATGTAGGCGGTCTTTCTGATTTGGAGGTTCCGTGGCCTGTCGATGTTGAGGAAGTGGGTACTTGTTCTCCTCTTTTTCTGCCCCGTGGCCATCTCGTCATGGTTTTTCTTTTCTTTCTCAATCCAAGATCAAAATTCTGAACTGACTGCTTTGCCTTTCCGCCTCCCTTTCTTACAACCCGGATGTCTATTTCAACCGAATTTTCTTACTCAAACTCCGGAAACTCGCCCCCCCCCCTTGCGCTCCCCTTTATTGTCTCCAACCGTCTTTTATCCCGCGTCTCTTCCAATAGCAATTGATACCCACCCCATCATACCCCTCCCTTCCTTTTTCCAACTCTAACTCAACCCATTCTCCTGCATCTGGAACGAGCACCACACAAACCCACAACCTCCACATCCGTACCATAACAACCTCACCTACCGCCCCATGGCTCGTCTTTGCCAACTCCCTCCTCACAGACAAGGAGATGTGGAATTTGGTGCTACCATTCTTCCTCGATGGAGGGTTTACCGCTCTGCCCGACGATGGACCTTGTCAGCAGAACAGAACAGGTTATAATATACTCTTACACTCCCAACGCGGACATGGGTTATCCGAGTTGCCCTCTCAACGTCCTCTCGATGGGGGGGAAGACGAAAGACGAACAACCATTCCGCTTCTAGCAGCTGACATTCATCACCTTATATCAACCATTATCGGTGGTCGAGCTCAAAGCGAGGATGGCCAATCTCATTCCCCAGAAGTTCACATCATTGGCGTCTCCCAAGGTGGCGCAGCTGCACTTGCTTATTACGCCCTTTACGGCTCCTCTGCCACTGAAGGAGTAAAAGTGAAGAGCATCGTTGCATGCGATACCGCGCCACGGACGCCACCAGGAAACGAAGTGGCATGGGAGAACCGAATAAGCATAGCCCTGGGTTATCCTGTCGAGGGGGAAGGAGACATGTACGCTCGAAAGGTCGGCATGCCCAAGCTTGCAAAGGTCACGCTACGCAGGTGGTTCCCTGCTGGCTCGGGTCTTCCTTCAGGAGGTGGGAGTCCGTTCTTGGAAGCGAGAGAAGCATGGTTGGGGGATATGGTTTCCCGTACGCCAGTAGCAGGGTTCGTAGCGGGTGCACGCGCATTAGGGTCATACGACATCGCCCTGCCTCCTCCTCCCTCTCCTCTTCCTCCCTCCCCTCTTCACGCAGAAGCTCCAGTAAAAGAATCGGAATCGGACGTCACCCGCGTGTTGCTCCTTGCAGGCTCTCTCGACGGAGCCGGGAAAGTTGGCAAGGAACTCAAGGCTTTCGCAGAGCATTGGGCTGATAAAGCTAGGCAGGAGGTGGTGGAATATGCTGAAGTTGAGATGGCGGGGCACTTGCCGATGGTTGATATGCCTGAGAGGTTTTGTAAGGTATTGGGGGCGTGGTTGGTGGGGGAGGGTGGCTTGGGAGAGTAAAATTTCCTGGGGAATGGAACTCTAAGTGTACAGTACATGCCAATATTTTCATGTAGGGGGCCATTAGGATACCAGGTCCATGATAATAAAGAAAGTCCTGATCAAATGTGTGGTATGAAACTCGATGAAACTTGATCAAAACTTCGACCGTAACCTCCGCACAAACTCTCGTCAACTCTTTGGACCTTGAAGCTTGAAGCTTGAAGTTTTATGACGGAAAATACAGCCCTTTTTTGGCGTTTGTGGTGCTACGAACATCCAAGGACGGGCCACACTCACCGTAGGGGCAGGTGGACGACCCGTGATAAGGTGATTAGAACCCGAATTCTTGTTTAATTCTTGTGCGAAATTGAGGCTGTCACCGCAGCCCGATTCCTGCTAGGCCCCCGATTATTCTCCGAGTCATAAAGGATGGCCAAACGCCGGGGATCCTCGAGAACCCGACAGCCCACTTCAAAATCGGGTTTCCTGTCGACGAAAAACATGATTTCATCTGTTCCTGTGTTCGTCGCGGTGGTGGGGTGCGCTTTATACACCTATGCGAAAGGTGGCGGAACGAAAGCTTCATTTGTACTGCCACCACAATCAGTGGTATGAGCCCAATTTTGTTTTTGATGTGAATCGTCATACTAAACCCTTTCCCCCAGTTCATTGATCCTCAATCATACGCTGTCCTCGGTGCAAATGGCTCTTTCCGTGAATCGTCGTTCTCCGAATTCTTCAACCCGACCTCCACAAGTTCTCCGTTTTTCCAGATCTTTAATGAGGCTTTCTTGACGATACTTGGATCTAACCCATCTATCCACGAAATTGCATCCAGCGATACGTTCGCATTTGCGCATGAAGCACCGATATACGTCTCGGAAACTGACGAGGTTTTCTTTGCGAGCAATGGAGGTGGGAGTTTAGGGCACAGCGATATCAACCACAACAACGAAGTTGGTAAAATTAGTATGAAGGATGTCGAGGTCGCCCTGGCGGCAAATTCTTCTGAGATCAACGTTTCTGTGACAGAGGTCGGTGTGCACCCCTTCAACTCTAGCGGAACCTGACTGTCATCTCAGCTTGTCCTCCCAGACACGGTTCAAATGACAAATGGAGGCACAGGACCCTACAAATCCAATTTGCTTCTTGCAACATCCGGACGCGGCGACCTTCCGCCCTCACTTGTACTCGTCAACCCCAAATCTCCAAACAACGCCACCGTGCTGGTAGACAACTTCTTCGGACGTCAGTTTAATTCCGTGAATGATGTCAAGGTACACCCCAGTGGAAGCGTGTTTTTCACGGACCCGGAGTGCGTTTTCATTCAGCATCCAGACCCATCAGTCTGAGATCGTAACTAATTTGAAGCGTGTAATTATAGCTACGGATATCTCAGCCATTTCCGACCTCTGCCACTACTTCCAAGCCAAGTATACCGCTTCGACCCTGCGACGGGCACTGTGCGCGTGATTGCGACTGACTTTGACAAGCCTAATGGGATTGCCTTTTCTGCGGACGGCAAGACAGCCTATATGTAGGTCATTCATCCCATGATCACTGTTATACTTAGCTTACCTTCCGATCGTGTTTAGAGCGGACTCTGGCGCTGCGGGCGGGTTCCTTGGGAACAACCAGACGCATCCTGCCACTCTGTAAGTCCGCCCAAACAGCTCCAACAACTCACCTCATCTGACTCTCTTCACAGATTCGGTTTCGACGTCTACCCAACCACACAAGCATTCACCAACCGCCGCGTATTCGCATATATAGATGCGGGTATTCCAGACGGCATCCAAGTTGATCCTCAAGGGAATGTTTATGCTGGATGCGGCGACGGTGTCCACGTATGGAACGATAAGGGAACATTGCTTGGAAAGTTTTTCATTGGAACGACATCATCCAACGTGGTCTTTGCTGGAGATGGAAGACTGGTTATCCTGGCGGACACAAAAATTTTCGTTGCGAAGATCGCAGCGAAGTCGCCCTCACTGCACTGACTGCGCTGAACATTTTTTTTTTCGAAATTTGCCGGCCTTTTGGATGTCATAGACTCATGGAACACTGGAATGAACACTCTGTACATACTTGAACTGCATACTTTATTTCGTTTCGACGGTGACTCCTCTCGGATTATTCCGAGCTAAGCACTACATCAATGATCAACGCGCTTACTAGCCAACTTGTAGCCAACTGCTCCAAACTTCAATTGCAATCGCAACCTACTATTCCAGAAAGACACTTCGTTTCCAATGCCAAAACGGCTACGAACATTCAATGGCCTAGATGGTGAGAAAGTGTCTGCTCTGTTTTCGGATTCTCTGCGGGATATCAAGAACGGGAACCCTGGACACTGCCCTGTATGTTTGGGTGGATGTCTCAGGGCTTTCTGCCATTCTAGTAGCCTTGGCTCGTACATTTCTCCGGAGAACATCGCCATTCTTCGAGAGCATCACCATACTTTGCTGGACAGCTGTATGTTATTTTTGACCCTGGAACGTCCACTCGACGAAATCAACGGTTTCGGCGGCAACTCTTCAAGTTGGATTGCATGTCGTTGTGATTTCAACAACCCTTTAATTCGGGAATTACACATGGATACACCTCCCATGCCACCCATCGATTTCTTCGTCGACAGGTTGGTCTGTATCGTTTACTCGTGCCTTCAACCACTCGGAGAGAAGGGAAGCCCTAGCGTGCACAAGGTTGAAAGGAATCGAGAAAAGGCTGCTCTGAGCGGCAAATATGTTCTTTGGCCAACCAGGCCACACGATCTTTTACCATTTGAGCCTGGTTCATCGATACGCGCCCTTGGAAATTGGATGACGCGTTTTCCAACTCCTCTTATGATCGGTCTCTTGGCATCTATGTTGAATATCTGTAAACGAAGTATGCTGCCAGCACTCATTGACTCCGCCGTCATTCCAGAAATAGTCATTCAGATGTCGCAGGCCCCATTCAAGGTCTGGTCTGAGAATCGCCAGCAACCACTCAAAATGCGAATTCAAATCGCCACCGCTTGCCTTGCTGATGCCGGACATTGTGCTGCATTCTTCCACCGACTTCTATCCACCACAGATCAGCACGAATTGGCCAAGTTCTGTTCCGGTCGTGTTGACTCCATATTTCGTGCGGTTCAAATGTCCCTTGACAATGTATCAAATCTTGCAAGTCAAGTAAATACCCCAGATGCCACGGGTGATGCCCCCTGGATCGAAACGTGTTATTTGTCCATTGGCTCTTCTATTCACAATCACCTGGCGCTATCATTCAGCGGCTATGACTCAAGAATAATCCATGCCTCGTTGTCGCGCCTGAAGGAACGACATGATGTTAAGGCATGCTCCTTAATTCAGACTCCAAGTGAAGAAATATCCTTCTGACGGAGTCTCCTTAGTATATGGCCTATGAACTGCTGATGTTGCTGGCCCATCACGAGCGGTGTTTTTCTCCAGGGTGCCGAGAAACCTATTTTGGCGCTGCGCGCAAATTTTCATTTTGTGGCAGGTGCGCCCGTGTGCCATTTTGCTCGAAGGAATGTTTAGCAAGGGCGTGGAACTACCCCAAAATCCCCCATAAACTCGTTTGCGAGAAGCTGAAGCTGATCGGCACAACCATGAAAATACCTTCGCGACCAGAGCCACAAGACCGTCCCGAATTTGAAAGCAGACTTCAAAAGGCAGGGATCGCAGACTCGGTATTGGCTGATGTCGTTTCTCATTTGGGCAAACTCGTCAGGGAAACTTCTACTGCCTTTGATCGGTATGATGCTACTTTTTCAAACATTCATTAAATTCAATTCGGTCAGATATTAAAGAACAACTTTGGCCACGAATCACTTAGTCGGATAGCCTCATCAGCCAACCCCTTTTCATTGTAAATTTTGAGAAGAATCGATTTCGTCACAGCTTCACATCCGGATAGCCATCAGCTAAGTTGCAATTATGGTTTAGATTTGAGATAAAAAATATATGTTCAGCGTAAGTTGAACTAGACAGATTTGACTTAAACTGAGTCGACTTGGAATGATGTCCGTTCAAGGTACATAGATACAGCAACTTCGCTTTTCTAAAGTTTTCTAAGCCCTGGCGGTCGGTGCCCATTTCTGAGAGGCCACGAATTCAGCTCCTCTGGGACAGGACCTTGGCCTCTACTGGTTCCAGGCGAAATTGTGCGAATATCATTCTTTCTCAGGTTCAATATCGTACAATATAATGATGATCTAGGACAATTAGAAATACACATTACAGAGCATGAAAAAAAATAGAGGCCTCAAGATCAAATGCCAAAGAGGGCAATGAATACTTCGAGAATTGATCCCGTGAGGGCTTGTGGTCAAGCAACGCCTTTAATAAACGTTCAAGCTTGATCACTTCTTTATGTAAGGGACAGAGTTCCTTCATAGTCTTTCCTTGGACTTCGCAGCCATCTGAACAAATGGAATCAGCGTCACGGCCAGGAAATGTATTGGGTCAACATACCAAGTTGAGCGCAGACCCAGCCTTGAACCATTCAATCTGGCCCTCATTGAACGAATGGGCCAAAGAAAATTCCTAAAAATCAACACCACATCAGAACCCATCCACATCGTTTTTTTAAAAAAGAAAACCAACCTCCTTGGTCCCATCCTCATGCTTAGCAACAAGCGTCAAATTCTTGCCCGGCGCAAAGCTCTCCAACCCCAGGATATCCACCCTATCCGAAGGTCGGATCTTATCATAGTCCGCGGGGTCTGCGAACGTAAGCGCAAGCATACCCTGCTTCTTCAAGTTCGTCTCATGAATACGCGCAAACGAGCAGACGATGATGGCGAGGCCACCGAGGTAGCGCGGTTCGAGGGCAGCGTGTTCGCGGGACGAGCCTTCGCCGTAGTTGGAGTCGCCGATGACGACCCATTTTATGCCTTTGTCGCGGTAGTATGCGGCTGTTTGGGGGACGCCTTCGTATTCGCCTGTGATTTGGTTTTTGACCTTGTTAGCCTCGTTGTTCTCGGCGTTGATAGCGCCAATGAGGCAGTTTTCTGGATGGAGTCAGTGTTAGGTTTCTGGAGAGGTGGTGGATGGCGTACGTGAGATGTTCTGGAGATGACCACGGTACTTCAACCAGGGTCCACCAGCACTAATGTGATCAGTTGCTGCACGGTCACAATAAGTAAACGCCAGGAGTAAAACGACCAAGATGATGACTTACTGCACTTGCCCTTGACCTTAATCAGGATAGGAAGATCAGTAGGCGTCTTTCCATCCCAAGCCTCGAAAGGCTGGAGCAGTTGGAGACGGTCGCTCTTGGGATCAACAGCGACGTTGACAGCAGCGCGGTCTCCAGGGGGAGGCTGGAAAGTCTCTTCTCCAGGATCGTAGCCACGGGGAGGCAGCTCATTGCCGGTAGGGTCAGAGAATCGGAAGGGTTTGCCGTCAGAGCCAACGAGGGAGTCAGTGAGCGGGTTGAAGGAGAGCCGACCGGCAAAGGACATAGCAGTCACGATATCGGGAGATGTGACGAAGGCGTGGGTGGCTGGGTTAGCGTCGTTACGTCCAGTGAAGTTACGGTTATAAGAAGTAATGACTATAGCGAACATCAGTTGGAGTTCTCGTGAGTAATTATGGGAGATACGAACTGGTGTTAGGTTCGCCCATCTTGACGTCTTTCCTATCCCATTGACCAATGCAAGGGCCGCAAGCGTTAGCGAGGACAACTCCACCGACACTCTCGAAAGCTTCGATTTGACCATCTCGTGCAATAGTAGCGCGCACCTGCTCCGAGCCAGGGGTAATTGTGAATTTGCTCTTGAGATCGATACCGTGCTCAGCAGCCTGTTTGACGATGGACGCAGAGCGAGACATATCCTCATACGACGAGTTGGTGCAGGAACCAATGAGCCCAACCCTGATCTCTTCTGGCCAGTTGTTTTTCTTGGCCACTTCCGCGAATTTGGAGATGGGAGTGGCGAGATCCGGGGTGAAGGGTCCGTTAATATGGGGCTCAAGTTCTGAAAGGTTGATATTGACAATTTGGTCGTATTCCGCACCCTCGTCAGCCTTCAAATTGTGAGCAAACCGTTTAGCATATTTGGCAATGTCCTCGCGCTTGGTAGCCTTAAGATAGTCGACCATGCGATGATTGAATGGGAACACGGAGGTAGTTGCACCAATTTCAGCGCCCATGTTGCAGATTGTAGCCATACCCGTGCAAGAGAGAGACTCAATACCAGAGCCTTTATATTCCACGATAGCGCCAGTTCCGCCCTTGACAGTGAGAATGCCTGCGACCTTGAGAATAACGTCTTTTGGGGTTGTCCATCCGCTGATTTTGCCGGTCAAGTTGACTCCGATTACTTTTGGGCATTTGAGTTCCCAAGGAAGGTCGGCCATGACGTCAACAGCGTCCGCACCACCAACACCACAAGCAACCATCCCCAGACCTCCAGCGTTGGGAGTGTGCGAGTCAGTGCCGATCATAAGACCACCAGGGAACGCGTAGTTTTCGAGGATAATTTGATGGATGATGCCAGAGCCCGGTTTCCAGAAACCAAGACCGTACTAATAGCAAAGGGAGTTGAGTAGAATCTATTGAAGCGTAAATGTTATATCTTGAGACTCACTTTAGCAGTAGCAGTCGCCAAAAAGTCGTAAACCTCCTTGTTAATTGAGATTGCGCGAGCTAGATCCTTTTCCCCGCCAACTTGGGCTTGGATCAAGTGGTCGCAGTGGACGGTGGTCGGAACAGCAGCGGTATCCATACCCGCTGACATAAATTGGAGAAGGGCCATCTGTGGTGTTGGTTTAGCATATAGAAGTTGTACCAATAGAAATGTTTTACCTGCGCGGTCGCATCCTGGCAAGCAACTCGCTGCAACAGAGTTGCTTGAATAAACAAGACAATAGTAGAAACGTGGGACGTACGTCTGGTCTAAGCTTCAGGTAGCTCACCCCCCGTTCAATGTCCTGCCCATGAGGGTCATCAAGATGACCGTACACAATCTTCTCAGACAGTGTCAGAGGACGGTCGAGCCTGCAACCGCCAAACATTAATCCTCGGCTAAATAGTTAGGGCAAGACCCGAACCTCTTGCGGATGACGGCCAGGTTATCCTCAATACGCTGGTAGTTGATGAACGCGCCTTTTTCAAATAGCGACATGGGGACTTTGGTGTCTCCAATGCGTGGAGCAGCGGTGGCCATGCCTGCGGCCAACCGCTGCAGTGCACGGACTGCATTTGCGGTTCTGGAAGAGAGGTTGAGCATCGTCAACGACGACTATGAGGCGAGTCTCAGCAGAGGATAAGAATAACGAGGAAAGGTTTCAAGGATCCGGCATTTTATGGGAACGGAGGCAGACGGAGGCTGTTAGATTTAGCCAATCAGAAACCCTGCTTTATCCCACCACACAGTTGACATTCCGCTCGGCTTTGATTATCTCCTTTGCAGCCAACGCCGTCTTTGACGTATGGGTCAACGTTCTCCAGCTCAATGACAGTCAATGGCTATCGCGGCTTCGCTTTATCGGCCAACGCCACATGTTAGGAACTTGGAAGGGGAACACGCCACCTTGATACATAGTGCACATGAGCTATGACTTCACTCACTGCCTTGAATCATCAGTATGACTCCTCCCCAACAATCATCCACGTTCCTCGCATCCAAAGCTGGAGTTCTGGACCTATCTGTATGCCATACGACTTTCATGATCATGCGGATCCTGGAACTTTGTCGACAATCAGCCAATCAGGGTTACCCAATCATCTTCAATCACCTCCAGGCGTTGCTGTCAACATGCAGGCACAACTGTTTCCAGAACATAGATATACGGCGGCTGATACTTACCTAGCCCTATTACGACAGGTCCCGTTAGCAAGATTCACAAATATCACCGGAGCCAGTGTTCTTCTTGTCGCATTTCAGTTGCCCAGTGGTTTCTCTTCCCCAGCTTGAACGAGTCCCTCGAACGTTTGATTGCCCATACTTTGTGAAGCTAGAGAAGGTGGAACGACCGTTGAAAGTAAACAAGTGCCCCTCGGATTATACGTCTTCATGCACTTCCGCGATCATTTTCTCTTGTCGGTAGTATACATGTAACATCACAACTCTTTCTCTACAATCGTCCTTGTCTCTTGCATGAGGTCCTCGATATCCTGTACTAACGAGAGACCCATATCTGCCTTTTCCATCTTCCTGGTCTGAAGCTCAGATGCCTTCGCAGCGTAGGTAATCGCAAAAAAAATTCTCGACGGTGATCATCTTCTGTAGAGTCGGTGTTTTCTGTCCCTGGACCCTTATACCAAGGGATAGGATTTCAATGGGCAGTTTTTTTACAACCAACAAATAGCACGACTCTAAAAACTTGCTATAAAATCTTACACTCTTCGCTGATTGGACTGATATTTTTCTAGTCTGAACATACAGCATATATAGAGTTACTTATACATATGGACATTAGTTATAAAATTAGCCGAAAGCCGTAGCGCGCCTGCGGGCGCGCTACTTGGTTATAAGAGGGACAAGAAAGCATAATGATGAGTCACACTACTACTAGCCGAGACTCAGCAGGAACGCACCAGGCCAAATTTTTTTGGGGAATATTTGGACTCCCAGGCCGTCTCGGACGTCTACATGTGAAACCATCTGTGATGTCACGAGGACAGACCAGATAACCAGTCTTAGTCCACTTTATGAAGCCTCCGCTCCATTACTCAAAAGACCCTACATCGTAGATTAGAATTTAGAGGTGCTGCAATCACAACTCGGCTAGTTTTACCTGCATGCGACCTGCCTAGGAAAATAAAACGATGATGGTGACGTTGAAGTACATGGCGTGGAGGATCATTTCCTGAAAGATTTACGAGATTGGAGATCAATGGCTGATGCGTAGTAACACTAACAGGACTTACTGATGTTTGCTGCAGCTTGACGATATCACCGCGAATACCCGCCAAATTATCGTCCAATAGAAACTGAATTTTTTCTTCCTGGCGTACATGATATACTGGTTGAGTGTTGGTAGGGAACGACGCACACGCATCCCACGATAGTTTGTGTTAGGTATACTATGACAGATGAAGGTGCCGTCATTGATAATAAAATTGCTCGCGTTACAAAAGAAACCTGGATTTTCTTCGTGAATGTTACAGCCGTTTGCATAATTCCGTGAACACCAAAAATTCTTTTTCTGGGCGTGACGTGACTAGTCACGTGACTAAGCACAGCTTTCCCTTGCTCTTTTCAGAAGTTCAGACGGTCCTGCCGCCTGCGCCTCGTTCTTTCGCGTCTCGACCGGCGAAAATGTATAAAAAATATCCCTCCTCAATTATGGAAGGCATACTGGTCCTTTTGTCAAAGGATTAGTTATATTTTGCCATGTTCTCAGCCTTTGTGCATGACTTTTCAAACAAGCCTGATAAAACAGTGGGCCAGGTCTTTATTTAACCCCTCTCCAATGCACTAAGCCACCATAAGTATGTAGCTCCAGATCTTCAGGTAGTGAAGGTGTCATGAATGTAACTCTTCACTTCATTTTGAGCCATTGGCACAGTTATCAGAACGCAGGAAAATGTCTTTTTTGGGCAGGTAAGTCACGTCACGCCCAAAAAAAGAATTTTCGGTGTTCACGGAATTATGCAAACGGCTGTAACACATATAATCGCTTAAAAGCAGCAGAAAGATCACCTCCAGGAGGCAAGATGTAGCTTCCAGCTGACCGAGCCATAGAAAAAAATTTCTGCAGAATCTGTGGTAAACCATAGAGGCAACACCCAGTGATAACTTGGACGTACTTTGAACAGCTCCACAAATTTGTCGAGCTGATCACTCAGCGACTTTTCGACGTTGTGATCCATCGGACGGCCCTTCTGGGACAGGTGTGTCAAATTCGATCGGAGAAGCCTAGTAAACGAAGTTGGCGTTGACAACCCATTAGTTCACCATTAAACAGGGACATACGACGTGTAGGCCTCCACATATTCCACCAGAATTGTGTTCATCCTCAGCGCTGTAGTTGGTGAGAGACATTGTGCTTCTGCCAAAATCCATCTCGACAATTCGATCGTTGGGAGTAGGATATCTTCTCCATCAACGTCTCTCTATCAAAAAGTTTAACCTGGAAAACCAGTCGCCAACTACAGACCGAAATCATACCTTTATAAATTGCTCGATCTCTCCATTGAGATCGTGTATTGTTTGTATCAAAGATTCAAAATGAGAGGCCGTTTGCTCGGGATCAGCAGGAGGCCTGCGGCGGGCAGGCCTCCCGATCAAAGACATAGCAATGGGCCTCGGGGAACGCCCCAAAGACTCACAACGATGACGAGCCAATGATGGCAGCCTTTGAATTGGATTTGCGTTGTAGAGGTTATAAACTGGGGGAATCAGCTGTCAAAGAACGAGCACAAGGAGAAAGAACTTGAAATACTGATAGGCGCCTTTTTGTGTTCATCGCCTTGGCACGAGGCGATGCTGGCGTTTGCAGCTTCATAGCAGGTGGCTATGCGCATTTGGATTGCCCATACTTGGTGGAGCTAGAGAAGGTGGAGCGGGCAAGGTTGAATGTGAACAAGTCCTCTTCATGCACTTGACCAATTCTCTTGTCAGTAGTATACATCACAGCTCTTTCCCCACAATCGTCCTTGTCTCTCGCATGAGGTCCTCAATATCCTGTACTAATGAGAGACCCATCTCTGCCTTTTCCACCTTCCTAGTCAGAAGCTTAGAGGCCCTCTCCTGCGATTTCTTCGCATCGGCGTGATAACTATCTTCATCTGCCATTTCAGCCTTCGCAACGTAATTGCAAGACGGAAAACTCACCTAAAAGTATATCATCGTCCTTGCTAGTTGGCGCTATATTTGCAAGGGTCGCGGAACGCAAAAAGGTTTCTAGCTCGTGACCTCGATTGCAGTTTAGTTTTCCTATGGCGGCGAAGCGGAACAACGTTGCGCAACTCACATTTTCTGATGAGCCTTTCAACCTCTTTCACAACGAACAACGTCTTCTGAAAATCCATTCAAAACATCTAGATTATGCAAAGTTGACAGACTCACAAAGTTTCCCCGCATGCCAACGGTTTCCCTTACGGAGAGCGCAAACTGTTCACAGTGATCATCCTCTGCAGCGGGAAGTGCACAAATCAAGCCCATCAGTTGGTCGACGAGTCCGTCCTTCTTCGCACCCTTCTCCTCGAGTGAAGACCTGATAATATGTGACGTAGTTTCCATGAAAGTGGAAATCTGGAGAGTTGTTAGCATCCATCACGCGTTACCTCAAGGTACTTACAACACGAATATGGTGCTCCGAGACAAAGGTCAGGGCGTTAGATTTATCCAGTTGCAGTTGAATCTGTTGCACTTTCGCTTTCTGGGTTGCCCATGAGTCAATAAGGTGCCAAAGGAAGGTAATCAATAACTTACATTTCCCTCTTCTATATATTGGAGGTCTGTCTTCGTTATCACTGGCTGACTAGCCAACTGGCTTCGATAACGCGTCTTCCGCTTTGCTCGTGTACGAGCCACTGCACCTAGGTCCTCTCTATTATTTTGCATTGGAATCTGCGCAAGTCAAAGGGAGGAGTCCTACATCGTAGCATCGGCATCGGATCCTGGCTGGCGTTTTGAAACGGCTTCCTTCAGCCGATGAACAAGTTCTGTCTCTGCTTGACGGTTGTTCCGGTCTTGAATTAACCGTGAAAGTCGGATGTGATACGCCTGCCAGTTCTAGGGCAACCGTAAACCACTAACCACTGCAAAAACGCGTGATTACCTACTGCAAGGGTCTCCCTGGTATGGCTTGTCCGTGTGCGAGTAATATTAAGGCGGAAACCATCAGAAAGTGGAGCATTTGTAGTTGGCAGGTTTGCCGTTTGCCGCACAGGCGACTTAGAGTCCTGCATAGCTGTCCTAACGGTCTAAGTGTGAATTCATCGCTCAGGCCAATACCAGAAACGTACCTCAGATCGACGAGCAGCCTTCCCAGCTCTTCAAACCTTTTGACCCTCAAGGACTCCCGCTTCTCCAAAACTTGCAACATCATTAAAATCTTTCTCTTCCTCTGTAAATCCGCTTGTTTCGCTTCAACACTGTGTTCTATCCCCCAAACTTTAGTATCACTCAGCAAACGCAGAGGGTTTCAACACACGAGAGACCTCGATCAACGCCATCTTCTCGTCTACCTGTCTCCTACATACCTCTGTCGTCTTCCGAGCAGCAGAGAGCACAGACGCCGCCTTATCCGCTACAGAACGCAGCGCGTCGTCCGGGCGTCTGATGTTTGACTTCTTCCGTTCTTCCCGCATACTTGGCGAACCAAAAGTTACTTTCATTGTTCAAGACGCGAAGCGATTGAAACCACGCGTACTTACCTGTGGATCTGCCCCCTTAAACGAGCAACCCCTTGCCTTCCCTTCATGTGCTCGTTGATAAACAGAAGAATATCGGCGAACGGCCCAGTAAAGACGCTCGAAAACTCTTCCTGGCTCAGATGTGGCGCACCAAGAGCTTGTAGCGATGACTGTATGCGAGCAGCGCGGTCGTCCTGTATCTCTGGGCCCGTTGATGGCGTTGGGCTTTCGGTAAATTGTCGGTTCCTTCGTTTCTCAGACTTGGACTTGGGTATCCTCGACTTCATCTCCTTCAAAGGCGGATATCCGATGCACGAGCTTAGAGCCAAGAGAGCTAGGGGCAAAAGGTGTATACGTCATGTGATCTATCTCCGTGCTTGGTACACCAGTGTTCAAACCAGTTCAATGACTTTAGGAAATTGACAAAAGCACAGCATACTCTCGTTCTTCTCTCTTGTCGAACAAGTTGCACGTTCCATAAAGTGTTTCCCTTCATTCCCTACTCCCCGCGAAACGTCAAGGCAAAACAAGATGACCGAATACGCGTCATTTCACCTCATTGCTGCACACATGGTCGATCTTTGCCCAAATTCGGCCTTCCCAACACAAAAAAGAGGCCAACGAAACACGCCCTTCAAGTTCGGTGGCTGTGAATGTCACTCAGATGTCATACTTTGAAAGGCCGAATCCCCATATTCGACTACCTTGTCCAAAAATCGAAATATATACTGTGGCGCAACACGCGCTTCCATAGGATTCAATGACGCTGGCGCTCGAGGTGTGTCCGGAGGTACTTAAGGTTCCCCGGATCAGTGCATACTGATTAATCGCCTCTCCACTTCGCCCTCATCGCTTGCCGTCTCTTGTTTCTACCTTGAGGCTCCAAAGGACAAGAGAAACTGCAAGCCCGTTATTGAAATGACAGACTTTGAGATAGTGTGGCGCTTCATATCTTCATCCACTATCCTAGTTCCACGAAATGCTGCGAGGCCTCCAATACAACTCTTTCCCTCCAGTGAAATTGGAGTGCATGGCTTTTTTCCGACAACACTGGGCCCATTCATCGGTGCAGTCTTTGTGAGTCGACAATTCTTCCGAATCACAAGAAACTAATTTGCCCCACCAAGTTCGAAACATTCCTTTACGGTTCGTATGGTACTCCCCATTCTTTGACCGACTTTCCTGACTACAAGTTCTCTTTTAGGGATCTACTTCATCTTATTTTTCATCTGCGCATACCTCTTGCTCCGGAAGAAAAGACCGCTTCGTTGGGTCTTGCTTGCGTCCGCGATCATCATGTTCTTTCTCGCGACCGCAGATATCATCTACACCTATCATCTGGTGTTTAATAAGCTCCTTGCTAATAAATTGACCTTCGCGGAGCTCTTCCCGAAATACATGTTGTTTGTGACGAACAAGTACGTTGTAATCTTGCTCAAATTAGATACTTACTCAACAAATTTTATTTTGGTCAGTGCACTCGCAGACTCGTTGCTGGTAAGGATTTAAAGATAATTCAAAGACGAGAACCTCAACCTAGTTTTTTATTCAAGTTGTATCGCTGCTATGTTGTCTGGGGGTTCAACAAATATATCATCATTGCTCCCGCAATTTTGCTCATCGCTGGAACAGGTCTGCCACTCCTCCAGTCCTCTCCCCCGAAATAGTGGCTTACGATTTTTTTCTTTTCTAGTTTGCGGTTATATTTTTGAAGGAGCCTCGTCAATTCTTTTTAATCATGCTTGGATTTACCTATCTATGACATTTACCCTGAATGTCATTACGACGGGCCTGACAGGTGCGTTTCAAATATCTAGACGATACCATGCGGCGTCCTCATTTCCATCAAGCTGGGAGGATCTGGTACCTCTCGCAGAAGGCAGAACTAATCCTTGGAGAAGGCCTTCTTCGACGATACAACACATCCATCGCCATTCTGTATGTCCGACTCCTACGATTTCTGCGAAATGCCCCTCTTATATCTTGATAGGATAGAATCAGGAGTAATGTACTCCGTCTACATCACTCTTGATTTAGCGTTTCAGAAAAATGCAACAGCTCATGTACAGAGAGAATATCTTTATGTCGGTGTAATTTTTGCTAATCAAGAATATCCAGGCGATCCTCGACTGTGGATTTATCCAAATAGTTGTAAGTAATTACTTGGAAAACTCTATGTACCTCGACCGCTGATTTTATTGCAATTGCAGGGTATCATGCCAACTCTAATCATTGTCCAAGTCGGTCTCGGGGGTGCGGTTAACGATTTCGAGGCAAACGAAGCTCTCTCTCGCGTCGAAGCAAACAAGATTGCTCATCGTTCGCACCTCGAGGGCGTTCATTCGGTCCGGGGATCAAATCAATCATTCCCTGAAGATGTTCCCTGCTCGCCCATGCGCTCCCCGCATTGTATCTACGGCTCTAACGATACTTTCTTATCCGGTCCAGGTTGATATGGACGCGAAAGGAAATTCGAAAAGAATTGCGACGCACCCTTGCGACAGCGATATTGCGAGTTCGCCAGATTATACTCGGTATCAGTGCATCCCACATAGACCGGGACTGGCATTCCATAGGACATCGCGCCGATCGGAAAAACCTCAGCGCCCGAGGTAACCGAATGCGAACGAGGCGCATGATGTCACCACCTAGATTGAATTATATAGTCTATACATGCTGCAGGCCACATGGTCCCAATTATACTCAGACCCTTGCGACGCCCTTCTTTGCGACAATACGGCTTCTAATCAAAACCCCAAGCAGTGCGGCAACAAAAAGCAATGTCTACACAGAAAATCAAGACATTTCTGAGTATTGCATGAGAGAGCGGGTACTTACGCTTGAAAACGCAATAGGTCGAATCCACAAGTAAGCGCGAGAAAGGAGAGCGCCTTGCGTTGGTGCGGCGAAGAGGCAACCTAAACTTGCAATCGCCAATACAAGACCCGTGCGGGCACTAAATTCGAATTGTAAGGAAGAGAAACGGCGCAAGTTCCAGTATCAACACGTACCCAATTTCACTCGGAGACTGAGCGAGCGATCCGAGTGCTGTTAGTGATAATGATAACCCTAATAATATCTAATTAGAACCGTGATAATTCTTTTTTAGAAAAAAAACGCGACAAACATGCCCCTGAAAAGAAACCATACACCATCGCCACAACAACCAGGGTAGCTTTATCATGCCTGGAAATATCTAGTAACTAAAGGGGGAAAAAAAGGACGAGGAAAGATATGACGAACACTCCCAAAACAGCCCAAATCGTACCACCCGCGATGACAGTGGTTGGAATCAATAAATTCCATGCACCATAGGTATCCGCGAAAAAGTTTCCAAGAATGCGGCCTACGCAGCTGCATGCATTCAAGATGGCCAACTATGACCAAAATTTGAATATTAGCTGTTGAAGGGACCCAGGAGGAGATCACTAACCGAATAGAAGGCAAGGTTCCCGTCGACTTCATGTAGGACTGCGTATAGTTGCAAGTACACAACTGTTAGTTGATTATTTCAATTATTATTCCCTTTGTGAAGCGTAGAGGCTGTTACACTTGGACGCACCTGGGAAAAACATCCCATACATCATGAGGAAAAATCTATGGAGAAATTCAAAACAGTCCGATTCTTGGAGGCCGCTGACACCTACACAAAAATGGTCATAAGATATTCCGGCTCTTTGAGAAAGGTCGCAATCATGGGAGAGGACGGCTTCCGTATGTTAGCGGGAAGTGGTTTCCTCATGAGCAAGTTTCCAATCGTCAAACAGCCAAGGACGATGTACGCTGTATATCGCACGGCATTCGCATATCCCTTTGAGACGAGGAGGTGACTAAAATTCGGACCCGTTTTCAGTAGATTGAACAGAATTAGAAAGCCCTTAATACTTGAGCACTGCATCAAATGTTAGTTGGCGATTGTAAAGCAGTAATGAAGGTGGGATCAACTGATGGGAAAAACTAAACCGCCTGCTGAACTTCCACTGACGACAATACCCGTCGCAAGGGCTTTACGCCTCTTAAAGTGATGCGCACAAATTGAGGTCGTTGGGACGAACACAAGCCCGATTCCGATACCCATCCCCAGACCTTGACTCAAAATGATCTACGAAAAACATGAGTATATTTTGCAAAGTTCCTTCCCAGCAACTTCACTTGAAAATATTGATCAGGTTGCACCAGAGACACCATGAAAAGGCTGCAACGATATGATCAGTCAGAAGAGTTTTATCGAAGCCAGTTAAAATTCGTACGAAGTTGTGAAAATTACGGAGCCCGAGAAAATTAGGTGGTGAAAATAGCCCGCGTCAAACAGCTTCCCAGAAACTAGCCCGAGAGCAAGCGGCATCATGAGCTGAATGCTTCCGATCCACCTGGACTGATAATTAGTATGGGTGCAAATACGGCGAAGAGGAACCAACGCAATGCTACTCGGCGAATGGTTCTTCAAGAAAATCCGTGTGTAGTAATCTAAATTATTCGTGAATTGTTGGATTCACCGACGCGAAATCATTAGGGAAACTCACCTTGATATACTCCATAAGAATAAACGTAACTAAAATTTATGTTAGCGAAATAAAATAATCAAGACCCTTAAACCTCACCCGAATGTGCTGAACTGTATCATCCAACTTTTTGGCAAATGTGAAGATCAAAGACGTTTGCTCAAAGTAAAACGAGAAATATCTTACGCTCCGGCAATAGTCATCCAAGCTCGGAGACCTCCTTCTTGCACTGGCAACATCACAGACATATTTTTTGGGTGGAAGTCATTGGTTACGCAATTAATCTTGACCCCAAGTTCTGCTTTTGACTCCGTGCCAACGACGACATGTTTAGGCCATCTTCGAGGGTAAGAGCGGGGAATTAGTTTCAAGAGACGCTGCACTGGACAGGAAGGCTTACGTGTCTGAATCAAACGATTGTTTGGCCTTTCCACTTTCCCCCACGGCTAATGGGAGGAGGGAGATATTGTCGACTCTGGCTACAGTGGATTGCGCATCCATGTCGGAAGCTAGTGCACTTGCGGTGGAGTATCGAACGCTATGATGTCTTTATACGTTCAGAGTCAATGCTTTACATCATGAGAAAGCTGGTTTGGGGAGTCAACCTGGAAGAGAAATTGATCACTGCTCCTTACCACTAAAGAAGCCTGGCGTACGCAGTGAGTGCATGTGTGCTGCTAATATTAACGCCACTCCACGGTGACTCGTCGGTGAGGGTTCCTCCGACATATATGCTATCTTAATTACGTTGTCATTTCAGCGACCTTAGCTTCCCTTCAGCTCCAAAACCCACCGTCCCGCAGAGAAGAGTACGAAGCCAAGTTGGAAGCGTCTCGGTATTATAGGTAGCAGTCTTCTGTCGGAGGCAGTATACTGTGTTTGCCAAGTCGAAATCATTTAGTCGGTTGAGAGGGCGACCGACGAGGAAGAAGGAAGATAACAGAAGATAACTTACGAGGTGTGAAATGGTAGTCTCTCGTAGACAGACTTCGATATTATGTGAAGTCGTACCTTGGTTCACGATAATATTATGGCAACAGGGAGTGGTCAGCTTCGTTTTCGCGGCAAACACCGTTGTTTGTCCACCTGCCGAGTTGCGTGCCGGACATAACTATTACAAAATACCATTTTCCCACAATAATTACCTTACTTGAGCTCGTAAAATGTTGAGCACTAACAGTTCTGAGAGTGCGTCGAAGATGGTAAGTACACAATCTCCTGTCTATTTGCTTTTTAAATTTGTTTGTTATCTTTATGTTATGATACTTCTGCTATGTAAATTGTTCTACCAACACTGTCCAGCTTTCAGCCAGTCACATTATGCTGTTCAAAAAATTAGTCAAAATTCAAAGTTCTTTTTCAGCCACTGTGCAAAGTTGAAGAATGGTGAAACAAACTTCAGCAGTTAAGATTGAAGAAAGTAATTTGATTCTCTTCACCACAAATCTGCAGCACTCCTCATGCTGAAGAAAACAATAAAAAAAGCTAACTTTCAACTAAAATGCCTTTAGTATCATTGAAATTCTGTGGGGTAAGTTATTGTAAGTCCTGTGATAATTACAAGTACTCAGAAGGGAATAAATCTTCTAGTACATTTTCAAATCACTGCTTTTCCCAGGTGTTATACTTTGAATGAGGTATTTTTTATTTACTCTGTGAATATGGAGGGTAAAGACATGACTGTAATGGAGAAGTAGCATTAGCAAGAAAGGACAGTAGCTCATCAATTAATTCCTGGAATACAAGAAAATATGTAGAGTGAATTCTAGTCAGAGATTGAAATATACATACCCATAGTCCTTAAATTTGAGTTGCAGTAAGGATATTCAAAAGATTTTCTCAGCTACCTTGCCACCAGTTTGAAAATTTTCAAAGTCTGCAGATGGAACCATGAGATGAAAAAAATTTCAATGCATTTTTTACTAATCCTTTGACCTGGATTGAACCTCATAGATTGCAACAGGCTGAGAGCTGGGTAACATCAGTAAAACAATTCAGAAGGTTAAGTACCATGATACAGAGCTGACAAACAAATTTCCAAACTAAATAGACAGGAAATGGTGTACCCATCATCACTGATGCACTCTCAGAACTGTTGTTTTCAGTGGATGCTTCACATTTACAAGCCACAAGTAAGGTAATTATCGTGGGAAAACAGTATTTTGTAATAATTATGCGCGGCAGCAACTCGGCAAGTGGACAAATAACGGTGTTTGCCGAGAAAACGAAGCTGACCACTCCCTGTTGCCATATAATATGAAGTAGGGAACTGGCAGTGCATGCGGCGCTGTAGCGGAAGCGTGACGTTTGTGACTGGTAGGTTACAGACGCTCGGTTTCGATACACTAGACCGTTTGAACGACTGAATTCACTGAGTCCTAAGTAAATACATCAGGCCTTTTTATAATAGATAGGAGGGGTGGTTATGTAATGAGGGTCGCAAGGGACTCGTGGAAAAGGCAATGTAAGGACAGTGATTGGCTAACATAGAGGAAGGTACGAGCTAAGGGGTATGTACGCGTAATCGAAAGGAGACGCGTAAGCTAAAAAGGACGCATCAGCCGTTGAACGTTGAGGACGCGTAAGCGCAAACTGGAAAGGGGGAATGAGTCCGCTGGATAAGATAAGATAAATGAGTGTTACGTAGTGACATCTGTCACAGGCGCCAATGCGGGGTAATATTCCGTCACGACCACGTGACTCATACGATATGACAAAATTTCGTCGGCGTTGTATGCGCCATTGGAGGCGTACCTTCAACTCCAAGACCCAGCACCGTATCGCAGGGCAGAGTACGATGCCGAGTTGGAAGCGTCTCAGTACGGGGTATCTTCAATTTCTATAATGTTGTCACCTCACACCATTATGTAACGCCCAATTTTTGCCTTCTCATGACCACTCTCAAACAGGTTTAGCGCAAGTCTACAGTTGATATTTATTTGTGGCTCGATACCAAGGCGATGAACACGAGGCGGCGTATCAGGTCTACTTCCCCGAGTTCTTTCTACTCGTACTCGTTCTTTGACAGCTAAATCCACCCCAGCTTATAACCTCTACCACAACTCTACAACAACACAAATCCAACTCGAAGGCCGCCATCATTGGCTCGGCATCGTTGTGAGTCTTTGGGGCGTTCCCTGAGGCGCACTGTTACTTTGCTATGTCTTTGACTGGGCGGCCCCGAGCCCGCCAGATACCTGCGGCTGAGTCTGAGCGAACGGACTCTTATTTTAAATCCTTATTACAAGCAATACATGATCTCACTGGAGAGATCGAACAATTTAGAAAGGTATTGTTTCAGTCTGTAGTTGGCGACTGGTTTCCAGATTAAACTTTCCCTTGATAGAGAGACGACGACAGAGAAGATATTCTACTTTTAACAATCGAATTGTCGAAATGGATTTTGGCAGAAGCAAAATCTCGGCCACCAAATACAGCGCTCATGATGAACACATTTTTGGTGATCTCTGTGGAGGCCTACGCGTCGTATGTCTCTGTTTAACGGCGAACTATTGGGTTGTCATACCAACTTTCTTTACTAGGCTTCTGCGATCGATTTTGGCACACCTGACCCAGAAGGGCCGTCCGATGGATCACAAGGTTGAAAAGGCGCTGAAGGATCAGCTCGACAACTTTGTAGAGCTATTCAAAGTACATATTAAGTTATTAATGGTTGTTGCTTCTATGGTTGACCACATTCTATACAGGAAAATTTTTCTATGGCTCGGTCAACCGGAAGCTACGTTCTGCCTTCTGAAGGTGATTTTTCTGCTTCATTTATGTACCCAATTATGTGCATTAACATTCACGAAGAGAATCCAAGTTTCTTTTGTAATGCGAGCAATTTTACTATCAATGGCGGCACCTTCATCGGTCATATACCTGGCACAGACCACCGTGGGGTGCGTGTATGTCGTTCCCTACGTGTGTTATACCAACCATTAACCCGGTATATCATGCACACTAGGCAGAATTTTTTCAATCTGCATCGGACGATAATTCGGCAGTCATTCGCGGTGATATCGTCAGGCTGCAAGTAAGTCCTGTTACGGCATCAGTCATTGATTTCATGTACATATCGTACACTTTTTAGGAAATGATCCTCCGCGCCATGAACTTCAACATCGCCATCATCGTTTTATTTTCTGAGAGGAGGGTGGGGGCGGGGGCAGTCTCATCAAGCTGTCTACAGTGATTTGCCCGTGTCCCTCTCCGTCAGGGCGGTCTTACCAGACGGCTGTGATGACTGCCCTTTCCCCTCGGCAGATACACCTCTCTGAGAGGGGTGGGTGTGTGGGGAGTGTCATTAGCTGTCTATGATGACTTCCCGTTCCCCTCTCCTTCAGATTACATTTACCTCTAGAAGGGTGGGGGTGGGGGAAGTGTCATTAGACTGTCTATGATGACTTCCCGTTCCCCTCTCCTTACATACCTCGAATTCAAATACTCACATAATGCGTTGCCTGCCTTTTTTCTGATTAATGGCTCTAACAAATGTACAATGGGCGTTGTGAGAGCACGAAGATTGTTTGAACCATGATCGCGGTGTGCGAAAGGCCGACAACATCCTCTTGAAGAACACAAAATGGACAAGATGTTTGCGTAAGAGAAGCAAAAGTGTCGTTTGAATCACTATATTATCGAAATGGCCCGATAAGTATTACATAACGCCCTTCCGATCCATACCATAAATCCTCGCCGAGCTCAAAATCTAAACCAGACAAAATCTTCAACCAAGAAATACCCCCCGAGAAAAAAAGGGAAATAAGTACACCAAGAAAGCGCTTTGCCACCCCAAAACTACTCTCCACAGAATCTCAAAGCGCGTTGCAACCCGCGGCCGTATACAAATCACAGCGCTTGAACCTCCCAAAACCTTCCCATAACCCCCAACCCATCAAGACGCATTACAACCCGCATACAAATCACCCCCCGACCCAACCATCTCATCAACATCTACAGGCCAACCCTCATCAATCTCCGCCAGCAACAAAAGAGAAAGAGAAAGATAGACAGCACGCACAAGCAAAAAACGTATCAAGCGGCACCATATCCAACACCCCCATAGGCGTCGACGTCCTCATCGGCTGACCGCCCCATAAAACGCGGATATAATAGGAACGGGCGTGGTTTTGTTTCAAGTAGAGTTCAAAGACGATCTGTGAGTGGAGTGAGCTCGAGATAAAAAGGGAAAAAATGGGGAGGTAAGTTACCTCGCTGCCCATCCCAGGCCAAACCATATTCGCTACTTGTAAAAAACCAAGCAGGGGCGCGATAGATCCATCGTGTGCAATCTTCCCATATTCAACACCCACGTCAGTTTTCCATCACAACCCCACAGACGAAAACGTACATTATGCACATATTTCATCTGAGATGAACCGTTGACTTTGGCTTGGAGGTGTCCCTTCAACTCCAAAACCCACGCACCGTACCGGAGGGCAGCGTACGAAGCTGAATTGGGTGCGTCTCGGTAGAGGTAGGAGTATTCCCAGTTTCCGAGGCGGTATACTGTGTTTGCCTGGTTAATTCGATTTAGCAAGCTGATCATGAGAGGGGGAGAAACGGGGAAGACGGAAGAAAACGTACGAGGTCTTGAGACACACATTCCGACGTGGCGTTCACATTGCATGGGAGCGACTTCCCATGACACTGCTTGGCGCTCATATTGTCGTAGTAGCTAAGTACCCACACACGGCATCAGCCTCAAAGAAAACGGAAACGAAAAAATAAGAATCACGTACTGATCAAAACTAACATGCCACCCCGCCCCATCTCCCACCTCAACCCCCGATATCCTATCCAACTGCGCATATACAGGTTTCGCCAGCTCCAAATGGTCTTTCCATGCCTGCCCATTCGCTCCGGTCGTATAATCTGCTTTTATAGAAGAGGCTTTGGGGCAGGAGTAGGTAGGCTCGAGGGAATCAAAGGCCGACGATTGGATGAGCGCCGCTGCGTTGGTTGTGAAAGGAAAAAGACCGCGAATGAGCCCTGATGCGACCTGGGATGTTATCACGTTGTTTGTTACGCCTTGGTATGTGAGCAGCGTCAGTTGGAGTGGAGGGAAGGAGGAAGGGGGAGTACGCACGAATTTGAACCTTCTTCGGATCGAGCTGCGGACTGAGCCCTAATTGGAACGCATATACTTGTCGTAGGTCCCGTCCGTGCGTTATAGCGTCTTCGAGGCCCTCTCCGGTAATTTGCGGGAACTGGCACGAGCTGCCCGCGAACCCTGGGCCAACGGTGGACGTCCATGGATTGATGGGGTTCGTGCTTGCTTGCCACTGATCATGACAGAAAAGTATCATTTATACCCATTCTTGGGTTTGATGAGAAGGTAAGTACCTGGACCTGTGTTATTTCGGATCCACGACCTCTCTGGCTTTGATTGATTGAGTATGGGTTTAGCTGGGGAAATGGAATGGAGGAGACGTACGTTCTGACACCATACATAGGCCCTTCACCGTCACACGACCAACTCACTGATTCCTCGAAGAAAGTGTTGGAAGCGTAGGGGGTACGTTTATGGTGCCTCTGTATAACTTCTACGTATTCCAATGTATATTCCCTCCCTGGATATCTAGAAAAAATTACATAAAAACGTAAAGTTGGAGGAGGAGAAGAACCCACTCACTTATATTCCCTCGGCCTGACATGAGGCATATTACACCAATTATACGTTCCATACTCCTTGTTAGGGGTATCGGACGAAGTGTATATCCCAGGCGCCCCAGTGCCAGTGAGCGCAAAGGTCAGGTTGTTGGTGTTACTTGCGTTAGGGGGGTAGTGTACCACTGCAGCGGATGTACGACATGCATATACCGCGAAGATGAGGGAGGCGGCAATGAACATGGGGACGATGGCGCTGAGTCCGGTGGGGAGTCAGGTGGGTATATGGGCACTGGTATACTTATGCTAGTACCATGTCAACAGCCGACGAGCTTCTCCATGCTAAACTTGAAGAACGTGTGTCCTTCAAAGAGTATCACGCGGTCCAGCGCGAATAGTTGATGAAATAAGTAGGGCATGTTTTCATCGACAAATGAGACGCGTTCGGACTGTGTATGTTTTGATGTTTTGCATATGAGTTCAGACGATGACAACTTGAACACACAACGATGACCTCGATTGTTTTATGTACATTTGCATGCATGACAAGTGTAAGGAATTTAGTCCGATTCATCAGGACCAAACTTCACAACCGCCTCAAAAAGCTGAAACCCAACACTAACCTCACCACTACACAACGCCGGAAAAACCTCCATAACCTGCATCTCCAACCTCTCTTTCAACCCCTCAAAAAACGCTCTCCCTCGATCATCATACCCCTCATCAACCCCCGTATGAAAACAAAGATCAATCCCACAAATCTCCGGCATGCAGCGCTTTTCCTTGGGACCCGCTATCAACGCGTCGATATCCTGCAAGAGGGGTATGAGACTCTCAACGAGGGGCGCTCCGAATTCTTTTCGGATTTCAGTGGGTTGGAGACGGATGCCGATGCTTGCTTCCAGGAGCTCGGGGAATGATGTGGTTCGTAGGAGTTGATGGATTGCGGGCAGGTCCACGTCGATCGTCATCTGGCATAATTGGGAAAAAGTGTCGATTTGGATGGTATTGGCATCAGGCGAAACTGATCGCGAAAAAGTCAATGTTTGAACAAATGAGATGAAAAAACGTGACGTACGATAGGGATAAGAATCCGGAGGGAACATCTCAAAGCTTTCTAGCGTTTCTTTGGCTATACGAGCGATAGCCCAACCCGTATTGATATCATTCATATCGTCCGGGTCCACATTTAGGCGTTCCAATTTCGTAAAGTCGAATTTTGCGCGTTCAAAAAGGAATAACAATGTACCTTCGCAAAAACCATAACTAAACTCTTTCAAAGAACGCTGAGGGGCTTGTTGAGGTGGAGGTTCGGAAGTTGGCTCGAGGTCCAACGTAACCTCGCAAACGTTCAGGTGATAGAGCTGTACGGGCTCCGTGACGAAACGCCACGGTACATTCTCGACACTTGACAAGTACAGCTTTTTCAGCGTGGGTCGAGCACGCGCACGGAAGCAGGATCTCTTCAATTCTTCATCGAATTCGGCCCAGTCTATCATCAGACGGAGACTACCAACCATGGAAAAGGTTATCAGCTGACTTAACGAGTCAAGCAAGCGAGATAATTCCGGTTTGTTGATGAACCATAGTAGCTCTGAACCCGAATTGGGCGCGTTGCCAAACTTGAATTCGCGTACGTATGTCGAGAGTATGGGGTTGTTGAAAAAGAGTGTGTCGAGGTTCTGCAGACGAGTGATCACCTCACCTTCGTTTGAGGCTGGAGTATGGAGGAGGAATTCAATGGAATAGAACAGGCGGGCGCGGCACAATGGTAACACGGCTCTGCAGGTGACCGACATGTTTGAGAGTGTGGCGTGATCATCGTCTTTGTAAAGACTCCGAGTGACTTCGAAGAGGATGTCCAAAGGCGTGGGATTCGAGGACATGTTCATGGAGAGAAGTGGGGGTAGTGTCAGAGTAGCGGTTGCCACTTGCTTCGTATGTTTAAGAACGTCACTAGGCGATGTGATTTTCGGATGGACGGCTGTGTTTATAACCATCAACATTCATCACTGCCTGCTCATTGGCAAGGTGAATTCGTTTTCCGTCTGAAACAATGGGGGGGAGAGACCTTGAAAACGACGGCACCAATGCCCGGTAATAGGTGTTCCGTTTTTTTCCCCGTTGTTTTGAAGAGCTCCGAGTTTGTTGGCTGTGTCGGAGGTATGAATTCCAGCCAGCGGCGATGGTGAGCGTGAGGTTTTTGCGGTGGTCACGGTGGTGAAGATGAGGAGAAACTCGGGGACGGAGAGGGAAATATGGACAGCCGCGGAGTTCGTCAAGGCATATAGTTGTCACGCGTCCCATTCGATGGATTCTATTATGTAGCTTGCCATTCTGCGAAGTTGAGAGTGTGAGGGGAGGGCATCGATCGCTATTTCAAGAGCTGGTTGCGTGATGGTGATGGTATGAGCTAGAGTGGACATTGAGTGGACAATTGATGACCTCAACGGCTTCAAGTCAACAGCAATCCCGTTTCTTCGCACGAGTCCATCATGTTCGCGAACTCATTCACTAAACAATGGTGCAACAATCATATAACGACCAAGTTCACATGCATTTCGATTCCATAGCGGCAAAGCCATACTTGTCCCCTCTTATCCCGGAGCGGTCCCAATGAAGAACAGCCAGTTCCCGATACACAGTCGTAGCGTCTAAATTGTGACAGATCGCAGACCGACTACTGATGGACGTCGACCACGATACCTCGCTTCCATCGCTCAAACTCTATAAAAAAGAAGCCATGCCCGAGAGACAAGCTCCTCGCGCCTCTTTACCACCACACCAGTCAGTGCTAATTTTTGAAGAAGAATGGCGACCACAAGTTTCAAGGAGCGTCTTAAAAACGTCTCCCTCATCTTCGCGTATGTATTTCATGCCTTGTCGTGTATCACCAACTAAGCGATTTATAGTTGCGGTACTGCTCTATTCTCAGACGGTATGTATCTCGTCTAGTATTTTATTCATCCTAATTACTTGATTCCAGGATACGCTAATGGTGTGATTGGAAGTGGTGCGTTCCATGTCCAATGCTTGCTGCTTCTTATCCACCTTTCTCCAGTGAATACACGTCAGTCCCAGCTCCCACGATTCCCATTTATGTTTGGTTGACAACCCCGTTCTGATAGTGTTAAGCCGCATATACGGGGCAGATGAGCTCGCGCACCACAACTACAGCCGCATCTTGACTAGCGTCGCTTTTGCCGGAACGATCGTGGGCATGCTGACCTTTGGTGAGTAATTTCAACCTTTCTTGCCTTGCCTGCCCTCATCATTGCCTAGGTTATCTTTCGGATAAGATTGGAAGAAAATTCGGGATGGTATGTTGCTTTCCATCGCCACAGACTATGTCATTTACCCCAAGTTTTTGAAAGATGGCAGCCACCGGCATCGTCGCTCTATTTTCCCTCCTATCATCTGCTTCTGCTGGTGCTCACGACAGTACAGGTGGACTTCTCAGTATGCTTAGTGCCATGCGGTGTGTATGACGGTCACAGGCAGATCGAACAATTGCAATTTACATGTCGAGTCAGTTTCCTTTTAGGAATCGGTATCGGTGCGGAATACCCTTGCGGCTCCGTTTCTGCTTCGGAGCAATCGGAGGAAAAGGGTATTCAGAAGGACGCTCAGCATCGGTGGTTTGCTCTCGCTACGAGTACGATCGTTAGAATCACTTTTTTACTCGTCTGTAACATTGACCCATCACAGATGCGATGATTGATTTCGGCTTCGTCATCTCAGCATTCGTGCCTCTAGTCCTATTTTGGATGTAGGTGTTTTTTTCTCTCCATAATTCAACATTTTCAAACAAACGTCTGACTTGATCCAGCTTTGGCGAACACCACCTTCGCGCTGTCTGGCGGCTTTCTTTGGGATTGGGGGTTGTCCCCGCACTGGCTGTGTTCATCTGGCGTTTGTCCATGGAAGAGCCTACCCGGTACCAGAAGGATTCCATGCAACATGCGAAAATACCATATAGGCTTGTCTTTAAGCGCTACGGGGGCTCGTTGGCTGCTATTTCGGCTACGTGGTTTCTTTATGATATCATCTCGTATGCATGTTTCGTTATTATGCATGAATCGATTTTTAACCCTCTTTTCTTTAGGTATCCTGTACGTATGATTTGGGTGTTACATTCGAATTACACTCTAATCCGCTTGATAGTTTGGGATATACTCCTCCATCATCGTTGATCGGTAAGCCGAATCACCTATCCTTCTATCCTGGCCCTTCTCATCTCTTTTGTCAGCGTCACCGGCGGATCATCTGCTTTATCTGTAGTCTTCGGCTGGAACGTCATCATCTAGCAAGTCGTCGTTCACCATGCCTTCGACCGCCATGCTAAAATTCACTTGCAGTCTGTTCTATATGCCTGGTACGATTGGAGGTGCATTTATCGTTGACTATCTCGGCCCAAAATGGACCATGGTACTCAAAATTCATTGAGATATTCGAGTAAACCTTTTGATTTGGAACATGAGATCACTGGTCTCCTTTTTCAAGCGTTCATTGGGTTTATCATGAGTGGACTCTATAAACAGTATGTATGAACAGCTTTTATCTCCTGCGCAAGCTAATTAATCGGCCTTCAGATTGACGGAGCATATTGCTGCTTTTGCTGTTGCGTACCCGCCTAGCTATCATACCCACTTACTAAATATATAAGCGTCATTTTGCAGGTTGTGTATGGCGTCTTCCTCAGTTTCGGAGAACTGGGTCCTGGTAATTGCCTGGGATTGCTGGCTAGCAAGAGTAGCCCCACTGCTGTGCGAGGGCAATTTTATGGCATTGCGGCGGCCATTGGGAAGGTTGGAGCGTTTATTGGAATATGGAGTGAGCTAGATGCTCTTTTTTTTTTTCGAACTCGGCTTAACCCTCTGCAGTCTTCTCCCCTATCATTCAAGGTAACGTCGGACAACTGTGCTGGAACGTACGTGGCCACTGAACACATAAGAAAATAGATTTCGGAGGAGCTAATACTGATAGAGGAAATACCGGCCCTTTCTGGATTGGGAGTGGTGCGTCATGATCATTGCGTCCTTGGTGGGTTCCTCATTAATTATTAAGTATTTGAACAGGTTTCGCTGTCCTTAGCGCTCTTATTACGTTGTTTTTCATCCGACCTCTTTCGCATGATGGAATGGTCGAGGAAGACCGTGCGGTAATCCTTTTTTCTTCTTTTCAATTACATAGGTGTTTTTCAGTCCTGACTGACTGGCCACTTGTAGTTCCGCGAATACCTGGAGGCGAACGGTTATGATACGAGCACGATGGGGTTGAAGCCCACAGATGCAGATTTTTCGGGTTCGGTTGATGAGAAGGATTTGGATGGTGATGCGAAGATTGTTGGTGGTGTAGCGGCATAAATAAATGAGCTACAAACGAGGTATCATGACCAACCACAAATGTGGTAGTGGAATAAAGAAAAGAAATTGTCATTAGGCATCAGTTTCATTGGAAGACGTTATTAGCTATTCATGATCATCCGCCACTGTATTTATACGAAGCAGAGGGCGAATAAAGCCTGCGCGGCAAATATCCCAAGGCTCACGGGTACTGAGACGAAACTGTATTTCAAGCAGTGAGCAAAGAAGCAGCATATTGAAATTTCTTTACGCACCTTAACGACTTGACAGCAGAGCTCTGTACAATTGAAGACGCTGAGGGGCTTGAAGCTTCTGTGGTAGGTTCAGTCAACGATTTTCTGGGGATGGAATACTAAGGACAGAAACATACTGGTACTCCCCGCACCATTGCTACCCCCGGCACTAGTGGCGCCTAGAGTGGGATAAGTTGTAGCGGTGCTTGCCTGGGTTGGAGCCTGGCCGCTAAGGATAGTCGATCCGGGAACATCACCGGTGACTGGTGCACGGCAAACGAATCCGGCCTGAGAGCTGACGAGACACTGAGTACCAGTTGGGCAACACCAATACCCTGGGTCGTTTGGGACGTAACCGGGGATATTGGGTTGGTAGTCGGTACATAGGACCCATGAAGGATCAGCGCACTGTACCGAATGGAATATTCAGAAATTTATGCGAATTTTTGGATATAGATGCTTACTTGGGGATTTAGGAAGAGTTGGGTGGTGCAGTCTGTATCTGAACAATGGAATAGTGCGATGATAATTGATAAAGAGCAGGTGTGGAGGCTAGTAGTACTCACTGGTCGGGCAACACGTTCCATCGCTGTTATGAAAACAGAATTGACCAGAAGGACAGCATATTTCTTGAGCGATGCCGCCGCCACAGTCCACTTGACCTGTTGAACACTTCGGCGCGCGACTCGCGAATCCACCGGCGGTGCTGGTGTTCGTCTGGCGCATGACGATTCCGGGGACCATCATGTCGGTTCCGAGTGCTTCACAGGCAGTGAACACGGTAGCGAGAGCAACGAGCAACGTAAGATGGTTCATGGCTGAATTGATAACGGGGACAGTCGGCGACAAAACGCGTGTCTTCTTGCATACTTTTTGTAGTGGTTGGCTATTTTTAGCAATCACTAAATTTGACGTCGAGGAACGGTTGCCAATGCCAAGGATATGTATATCATAGCCAAAATAGGTGTCAGATCCACGATCGGCCGCCATGGGACCCTGTGCACTCTCTTGGCATCCCCATGTCGGCGACCAATTAGACCCATTGAGATCAGTGCGGCGGCACCGTGCACGGTGGTGTGTTCGCATTTCAAATTTTCGAGTGCGTTGTTCTGCAATAATATGATTTATCGAGAGGATGGGGACCCAATGAAGGTCTGGTGCAATTATCATGTGTCCCATCTATACAGCCTTACATCCATTTCGGTTCCATAGCGGCGCATAGCTGCTAACGAAGCTCGAGGTTGCATTTGAATTTCACGCTCCCTCAGAGTCACCAATGTTCTTCCACCTCGAGCTCGGTGCCCTTTTCCTCTCCCTCTCCCCTCTATCATCCCTCGCAGCACTGCCCGGTGACCACCCTTCCCAAACAGCCCTTTCCCAAGCCGCCCTGTCCGATATCCTACTCAGGGGCTTACCCATCCTCGGCGCGTCATTTCAAGTTTTCCTTCCCCCCCATCAAACTCATTCATGATCAATTCTATGTAGGACCCGACGATGGCTGCTCGAAAACACTCAACACATGCGATTGGATGGCCAAGATCCCCGACGACACACCACTAGTCCGGATGAACCTCCCCGGGACACACGATACCTCTACATGCATGTCCTTCCCTCCCTCCCCTCTCTAACCTTCTTCCTACATAGCTTACCTAACTTCGTGTACAGGGAACTACTCAGCTACAACACAAGCCTCGCTCACTCGGTACACGGGCCCGTAAGCCTCGCTCCCTGTTTCTGTTTCCGTTATGTATGTAACTCACCCCCGTTGGGCAGCCTCCCGTCCGCAGACATCTTCCGATGTCAAGAACGCTCGCTTCTCCAATCGTTGAACGACGGTATACGCGTGTTTGATCTTCGTTTCGCTTATAATCCTGGGAATGATACTATTGGGTTTTATCATTGTAAGCCCTTCCTTCCCCTCCTCTTCCTACTCTGGACTTACATGTGTATGAGCTGCGGCGCTGTTGGCACCCACCACAACCATGACCGACGTCTTTTTCGGGTTATATCAATGGTTGAATAAACACCCTACCGAGGCCGTATTAGTGTCGATTAACCATGAAGGCGGGACTGGCACTCCCTACGACGCGAAGATCCAGGAGATGGTGTATGATCTCATCAACAGCGATATCGGGAAGAGGTATTGGGTTCAGACGAGTGGCAGTGTACGTTCTCTTTCCTCTTCTTTCTGTGTGGTGCTTAATGATAAACGATAGCTAGGAACTCTGGGACAAGCTCGAGGAAAACTAGCCCTCCTCCAGCGGTTCACATTCGACCTCTTACCCGCATACAAGACCAACCGGATCGGTATCCAGCTTGACCCGGGGCATTGGACGGATAACGGGAAGAGTATTGAGTTGGTGTATAATGTTGATAAGGGCTTGACTGCGTTTATCGAGGTTCGTTTCCCCCCCCCCTTCCTTCCTCTTTATTGAAACTGACGTCTTCCCGGTAGGACTACTACGCCTCCTCCCTCCCACTGACATCTACACCCTCCCAATTCATCGAAGATAAATTCAACGTGACGACGGCCCACCTTGGTAATGCGACGCTGTTTAATCACGATCAGCTGTATATCTCGTTTGCGAGCGCTGCTGCGATTGTTGGGGGGGTGGGTATGACGCCTAGGGTAAGTTGTGGGCTTTTGTCTTCTGTTTTGGTTCTGGGGTTCTTCTTACGTCTCTCGTTTCTTCTCCCCTCTTGTTTTTCAAGTTTCCTAGTTCTGCTCCTCCGACTTCACGTTTACTTTGAGACTGAATTCCTCCTGCTCTCTTGGTCTCCCTTCTCCCCTCTTCGTTCCTCTCTCTCTCTCTCGAATCCCCTCTATTCTCCATTGGGTTTTCATGGTTTTCGATTTTTGATTCTTTGGTATTTCTTTGTTGGGATTTCTTTCCTCTTCCCGCTTCCCCTCGTATATTTTTTCTTTCACCTTGCCTTTTGCCTTTTCTCTCCATCCCTCGATTTTTTCTGTCCTTTCCTCACGATCTTTCCTTTTTGGTTCTCTCCTTCTCTCTCATCGTCTTCTCCCCTCTTGAATTCCTGCAACCCTCTTGAACTTCTTCACCCCTCCTTTCCTCCCCTGATTTCTTCGTCCTTCCTCCTTTTGTCAGCGTACTGAACATAAACCCACAGATATTTGCCCTTGGGAACGGCACCGACACTCCAGGGATGAACCAGAAGTTGCTACCGTGGTTAAAGGCGAGGAAGGGAAGCAGGTTTGGCGTCATTAGTGAGTCCTTTGATTTTTTCTTGTACTTTCGAGCGTCTTTGCAATTCGGAGCATTCTTCCCGCTGTTTTTCCTGCGCTCTTGACTGTCGTGCTGTTTTTACCTTTTGCTTGGAACTGCGCTGACTCAATGAACAGTGCTCGACTTTTACGATGCCGTTCCGGGGCTTGTGGAGGCTGTGATTGGCCTTTGACAGACAGACGGAAGGCGCTAGACACATACATACAATTGTGTAAGGTAGGGAGGGGTTGTGGTTTTGGAATTATACCTGCCTCGGGCCCGTCTGGGAGTTTATTCTGTCTTACGTGAACAAGCCCTGAGGTCAACTTGGACGGATTCGATTGGGCAACGACCTAGGGACAGGCGCCAACCGTAAACTCGTACAGACCTTACTTGCGATGAAGCTGCCTTTTGTCTCTATATCTATCAGTGGGTTTTGCCCCGTGAATGAAGAAAGATCAATAAACGCGAGCAGAATGACATAGAGTCAATATTGTTTTTAGCCAACACAACTTCGAGCTTAAATCTAGACTACGCTGCCATTGGAAATTTACATCCTCCTCAGAAATCTACATATGCATTCGAAAGTGAACATTGGACGACAACCCTGCTTTCGTAGAGAGTTGGGAAGAGCCCCAGAAGCTGCTGTTGAAATCGTTCAAACAAGCCTTTGATATCGTCATCAGGCCCCGGCGTACGGCGAAAACCTGTGCAGAAATAAAACTGGATGGTACGAAGACATGGCATGGCAGTTAATAAACGATCATCGACCTCCATCACAAGCCTAGTGTCGATAGCGAGGGTTTCATGAGCTTCCTTCTGATATTCTTCGGATCGGAGGTGGATTGTGATACCAGCATTTTCGAGTTTGGGAAACGTTACGTTTTTCAACAGCCGACAGAAATCAGCGAACTCAACGGCGATGTGCAAGTTGCGTAACTCGGAAAAAGTGCCGATCTCACGGATTACATCCAGAGGAAGGGGAACTGATACCAATGAGAGTAAATTGAAGTTAAGAAGAAAAATGCGGAGAAACAGCCACTCACTGCATGGATCTATCTCTGGCGAAGGAATCACCAATCTGCGAAGGGATCCCTTTGCCAGGGCGGCTATGGACCAGGCTACCATGAGTTCGTCGGCGCTCCCCGAGATGATTTCAAAGCGTTGTAACGTAGAGAGGTCAAATCTACAGCTCGGCTGAGAAATTTGCTGCAAAAGTAATCGCGGTGTCCCATCGCATGATTGATAAATCAGAGTCTTTAAATCCCGGCGGGGTTGAGGCTCTGAGCGGGCAAACGGAGCTGGGTCACCAACGACCATCTGAGCGTCGACGAGGTACAACCAAGCAATCTGTACTGCCTCAGTGATGAAAGCCGTTGGCAAATTCATGATACCAGCCACCTCTAGATTTTCTAGCGTCGGACGGGCGGATGCACGAATGCAAGCCATCTTCATTTCCTCGTCGAATTCGTCCCAGTCCATATTCGGGTATGGACCGGTAATAAGAAAGATCTTCAACTGGGTGAGCGAGTTGAGAACGCGAGCTAATGGTCCGCCTGTGAACCATAGCACCTTTGACTCGATGTTACCGAATTCGAATATGCGCACGTATGTCGGGAGCATGGGATTGCTAGTAAAGAGGTCGTCGAGCCTCCGCAGCCTGGAAAGCTCAAGCTCGAAATCCTCGTCAGCACCTGGTAGGAATTGAATCGAATAAAACAGGCGCGCGCGGGAAAGCGGTGCAACGGCTCGGCAGGTAAGCGACATGCTTGCTAAGGTGTTGTAGTCTTCAACCTCCCCAAGCCTCTGGACGATCTCGTAGATGACGTCCAAGGGAATGGAAACCGAGATTGCCATGTTTATCGAAGAGAGTGGGGGCAAGAGTCACGGCCAGTCGTTCCGGAATCGAAGGTTAAAGTGATTTTCGGAAAAGTTGTCACTGCAGTGTCCTCATTTTTATTGAGAATTTCGACGCTTGAGAGCCACTGCTCTTTGTCAGGGTGTCAGCTTTCTTCTAAAGGGGACATAAGAACGGTCTCCAGGAACTTGCAACTTACATTGTCCGAGTAGCAACGAAGACGCCGCGATTCTTCTGAAAATTTTTTGCTCCAGTTGCCTTGTTCCCTAAGGTGAAGAAGGACCTTGTAGTTTCTGGTCGCAAGAAGTAATCGCCCCTATTCAGATTCTTCATTCCTTGCTTCATTCGCTTCAACTTGCGCGGTTTGATCACAACGGCTCGTCACGTCACAGTCACCAGACTCTGCCCGCGAAAGCAAAGGAAAACATGAACATCCCTCTAGCGTAAGTCCAGCCCTGCTGGCGTGTTCATAACTGCACATTGGAATCGGAAGGCTTGCTCAAAGCTCGTTCAGTACAATATGGTGAAATTTCATACATATGCCCTTTTCTTCGCTACTTCTCTTCGACGCTGATAACATTTCACCTAAGGGGTACATCATACGATAACATCGCCTCGAATATCTTTCGTTGCAGAAGAAAATCATCAAGGTCAACTGTTGGATAGGTCCTCGCTTAGATGTTTCATCATTTTTGCTCTCGTCTCTCAATAAGCCTGATTTTGCATCTCTAGAGAGAACGAAGGACAACCAATTCATGGACATGTCAACTCGATATCGGTACTATGGTAGCACTCGCTCAGAAGCTATCCCGTGCTTTTCCAATATTGTTTTTATCGTTTTGCTCAGCCGTCATTTTGTAGAAAGAGCAATGGTAACCGTTTACAAATCCTAATTTTGTTTGCTGCATGGCAAGAGAATTATGGCTGCGTCGTGTTACAGAGTTCGAAGTTGTCAAGGTCGGTGTGAGTGGCTCTTTCTTCATCTTAGAATTCTATGCTAATTTAATGACACAGGTGGAGATGGCGAGGACACTCTTTCAACGCGTCTCTGGCTGAAAATAGAAGAGAAACATCTGTAACGTCAATTAATCTGAATTCGTCTTTCAAAGCGGAGTGATTCCGCGCGGGGCAAGTTGAAAAGAACAAATTTGTTCATCAAGAACGGTGATAAGCATGACAAACGAGTATAGGCGACGGTCGAGGATGGGAACAAGTATCGTAAAGCAACGGTCAATGGACGGTAGTAACGGATAACATAACGTAAGTGAGATGTGTCGTAGGACTCGTCGACAATCTAACTGAAGTACTAGATGGACGCAAGCCAGTAGCCGAGGGATGCGATGACAATGAGCTTAGCTCAAGCCGAAAAGGCGTGTGAAACCTTGATTCAGTCGGTCCACAATGGTCGGTTGGGATATCTTCTTACGTGCCGCATCCGCTGCAACCTCAAGGACCCTGAGCTTCTCCTTGAGCTGGGCCAAGCTCGCTTCCATCTGGTCGATGCTCATTTGATCTGATGTGTTTCTGATGCCTTCCAGGTGCGTCTCGAGGAGCTTCACCGACTTCTTGACTTGACCAGAGAAGCTTCCGGAGAGCGAAAGCTCGGAATACTTCGCAGCGAGACGACCTATTTGCTCAGTTGCTTCTGCCATCTCCTTTCCAGTGCTCTCGATGACCTTGCGAACATCAGCGATTGAAACTGTGGCCGTCTGGAGCATTTTGTTGGCCTCATCGTGGCGCCTTTTTGCGTCAGCGTCGATATAATCATGAGTTTCTGACTTCTCATACCAGACGGAGTTGTAATGATGGTGCTCCGTGATCGAGTGGTGACATTTCCGGCAAGTGCTACGGGAAAATGCCTCGCATCCACCTAATTTTGCGGGGTCAAGGGTGAAGCCGACGCTGCAATTGATATGGCAGTTGGAGTAGCATTGTGGATGGCCGCAGAGAGTACTGTGCCTAGGTTTGTCTTCGAACACCCAAGTCTTCTTGTTGATGACGCTCTTGAAATTTGCTGTCCCATTAACAGTCTGTGAACATTTTGAATGGTGAGTGCACTACTGTAAGGGCATGTAATTCGACTTACCAACTTGATCCCGTCTGATTGCTTGATCAACCGATCTAGGTTGGCCCTCTTTTCCGACAGCTGTGTCATCCTTGCAAGAGTGCTGCTAATATTGCGTTCGATCTCAATCGACTGATTGTAGAGCGACATTATCTCTTTCGTTGCTTGAGGCTCAAGACCATCAAGCCAATTAAAAATCTTAACCAGCATTTTCAATGTCGCTTGATGGCCTGTGTTTACCGCGGCTTCCAATTCATCTAAAATGTCCTGATCGTTTTCGTCGATCTCGCCCTCCGCCTCAGCCTTGGCACGAATCTTCAAGTAGTTCTTCTGCATTGCGAGCGGGTTATCGACCAAAAAACGTTTGGCGCCTCGCAACTCAACGGGCAACGTGTCAACCTCAAAGTTCCAGGAGAGAGGGCTCGAGACATTGGTGAACAAAATTCCGATGTTTTGGGCAAGAGTCCGAGGGAAGATGGAAGAAAGTGTAGTGATGGCGTAGTCAGTGGCAACACCAAGGCGTGGGTTGGTGCCGTTGGCTAGAATGATCACCGCCGTCACCTCTGGGATATTGTCGCGAATAGCGGTGGTGATGCTCTGTTTGTGTTCCTTGTCCTTCTGAAGACCCCGTGTATCGGCAAGGCCAGGGGTGTCGAGCACGGTGACGTCAACGCCATTCAAGCTTGCGAACCTATAGACCTTGGCGGTGTTGGTTTGGCTGTGCTTTTGCGCTCCACCGCACTCGTTGGTCACGTCGTACGGTTCCAAGTCGTAATCGTCTGGTGACCTGCCTGCCAGGATGTTGACGAGCAGAGAAAGGAAACTTGTCTTGCCAGTGCCAGTCTCGCCTTTTCTCCATCACGACAATGAGATGTCTGGTTTGCAGAATACGAACAGCGAAACTTACCGACTAGCATAATGGTAAGATTTGTGCTTTTCTTGGTTGTTATGATGTTTCCTTTCCCCAAAGATGAGACGGTGCTAGATGGAATGCGAGGTCAGTCCGCATTTATGGAGCACTCGGATAGCACGCTTACTTCGCACCAGGAGGGGCAGTCGCTTTTTTGACGGGCGTCGTAGCCCCTCCGATAATCTTGGTGTTCTGAGGCTTTCCATAGGTAATATAAATATCGCTGAGGTATGTCGAAATTGAGCTGGGCTGAAGTCATGGAAAGGAAGGTGCCTACGGCGCTGGAATTGGAGCTAACCCGATGGCCGTTGTCATCATGGTCAAGGTATATTCAAAAAAGTGGGAAAGGTGAGGAGCCTACGAGCACAGGGCGAGGCTAATTTATATGCATTTCTAGTTATCACAAAAGACGGCCATGCGCTAGACGCATGCTGAGGATTCCTGGAAAGCTCACTTCCCTTTTCCGCCTCAAGTGGTGAAGTGGTTTCCACGCTTTTGGGGCTCTGTGAATGCCACAAAATTGTGCCGTTATTCATCTAAGTATTGGGATCTGATCGCCAATCCAGATCCCAAATATGAGGCATGGATGGGCGTCGGCCTCAAAATAAGAGAAATCTATCGTGTCCCAGCCAATGAAGAACTGAGGCGACGAGCAAAAAAGGACCTAGTCCTTACTAATTTTCTGTGGATTCAGTCATCCCAGATGGGAACGGAGGGTTGAATACGCTATCATCTTCAAGCACGCACTTCAATTATCGGCGCCTGCAATTTGACTAAGTTACCCAAGTGAACGGGGTCAATTGGCGTCTGGGCGACTCTTGAGGCCTTGAGGATCGATGATCAAGGGCGCTTATCATGGCCAAAGATCAGGGATCGCACTAACCACTGATCGCCAAATCTACTGGACGAGCTTAGTGATGAGAACGACTGTCTTAACGGAAGTTCTACCGAGGCTGGAATCGAGACTAGACGCGGTAACAGTGAGATTCCCTTTGAAGCATGTACTTGCCACATTTTGCCTTAATACTGTAGTTCATTCACATGATCGACGCTGCCTCACCTTTTGCTCGCTTTTAGATGTAGTGCTAGTTCCATTCGTTTTATACCTCGGCTCAAATTTGGCTACCTCGCTGGTGGTTCTATGGTGTTCTGACAGCAAAAAATCAAGTATTCTCCAGTGACAAACATATCATAAATTACATATATACAAATCGTGCGTGGGATGCAGAGAGTGGCAGAAATTACTGTACTATAACGATCATCGTAAAAATTGTCGAAAGCACATGCACAATACAAGGAGGATTAGCAAGCCCAGAACTACGACCGCACGCCAGTCATGATTCTCTCGATTTCTAGTTGTACGCGAACGCGGGCTGCTTTGCCTTCAGGAGACTCGCTTCCGATGAAGTTGCCACCTTCTAAGCTGGCGGTAACACCCTCATATACTAGGGCGAGAAGTTTAACCCACTGGTAGCCCCAAATATCTCTGGCATCGGATCCAAGGACATCAAGCGCAGCTTTAAGAAAAACGGTCAGTGAAGATTGAGGTAAGGGGAACAGAAACACCGACTGTAGATGAGCTGTGGCGCTATCGCTGTCTCCAGAAGCCCCCTCTCCCCTATCAGCCTAGCAAACCATATCCAATACCTTGGCAGCTGAAACATCGGCTTCAAAGGCTGCTGACGCGGAGGTATCTTCAGAATATGGAAGTAAACTCTCATAATCCCCGACACGCGATTTCCATACTCTGCTGGCGATTCCAAGTCATCAGAGTTCTCGCTCTTCCTATATCCCATCACCTTGGACCTGTTTTCCCATGGCTTCCCATCGATGTCTACGGCTGGAACGACGGCGGGTATAGGCCAGCTTCCTACGCGTTGTACGAGCTTGGCGAAGAATATCTCGGGGAAGTGGTCCAGAGTGTCGAGGAGGTTGAATGCCACTTTTGCAAGGGGCATTGCACTCCGTTTTTCGGCAGTGACTTCAGTCTCGGCTTGTAAAAGAATGGCTTTGGCGAGAGAGGAGAGGAGGGCAGCGTATACTGCTGGATGGTGGGCTGGACCATTGGAGGGCCGGATAATCTCGACGAGTTGGTTAGACTGCGAGGACCAGTTGTGAGAAATATGTGAATTCGGTCAGAAACGATCAACTTACAATGCGGGTTATGGCCCCCTCATCGTTTGTTAGCTGTCCGATTTTGGGTGTGATCTGCCGACGCCCTTTGCCCCACTCGGCCTTGAGCTCTGGATTGCTCTTGACAAACTTCATCGCTTTTCCTTTGAGATGCTATGTTGATGTCAGGAAGAGTAGAGCCTGCAAATCCAAACTGACGTACAACAAGGTTATCTCGGGCTTTGTTCCAATCATGCTCGGCCGTTGTCATCCCCATTGCGTTTCGCTGTTCTTGTTCGGCCTTGAGCCTCTCCGTTTTCTCTTTTTCCTCAGTTATTCGGGCACGTTCCTCTTCCTCCTCCTTTTTCTTTTTATCATCTACCAGCCTCTGCGCCTCTTCTGCTTCCTTTCTCTTTCGTTCCTCTTCCTCTTTCTTCTTCTCTTCCTCTAAGCGCCTCTTCAACTCCGCCTCTTTCGCTAAACGCTCCTCTTCTTCTCTGGCTTTCTTCTCCTTTTCCAAACGCGCCTTCACTTTGTCCTCTTCCATCTTAATGACGGATTCGACCCGCTGCCATAGTAACTTATCGCGCGCCTTCATGTCCTCTCTCAACTTAGTCTCAGCAGCCTGTTGCTGAAGTCTGAGCGCATTGAGTTTCCCTTGCACCTCAGCTAATTGTTGCTCATGGTGAGCGGCGATTCGCTTGGCCTCAGCCGCGCGTATTCGATCCTGTTCGTCATGCAGCCGTGTTTGTGACATCGCTTGCTCCTTTCGTGCGGTGCGCTGAAGTAGGAGTCGCGTTAAATTAGACGCAATGCCACCTTAAATGTCATACACGTACAAAAGCGTCTTTACGCGTCTGCTTCTCCCATTCTTCATAAGGGTCATAATGTCGTGTACGCAATCGTATAGCAGCTACTGTGTCCTCGATCTGTCGCTGTTCTGTGGGATCTCGGATAACGTGCTTTGGTCGTCTTATGAGCCAATCAGAAAACGTTCCATTTTAACAAGTGTAAGAGCCTCACAACGCCAGGGGTGGATCTTCATCGGAGGAGTATGCTGAACTAGATGACGAGGTATCCTCTGTGGAATCTGTTTCCGATTCTGACTCCGAGTAAGAATCATACTCGTCAGAATCGTCTTGCAGACCGAATGAGCAAGAATTTCGTCGTCTCCTGTAACACATTCAATATTTATCTTCAGAATTTCGCCAAAAACCACTCACCCTCGCACTGGCGACGGCGAAAGAGACCTCGGAGCGCTGAATCGCATCCTCGAAAGTTGAAGACTTTCTTAACTAGCACTTTGCGAACGTAGCGTTATTTGACGCGTAAATCCGTCCGCTGAAGCAAAGGGTGTCCTTGTGGAATGTGGAAGTTTTGACAGAGAAAAGGAGAACAATTCGAGGAGGAAATGGGGACGACTTGAACTTGTGGCCTTGAGGCACGTTGTGACAGACTGTCACACAATTTTGGTCAATCGGCTCTCACTCTACGACTACAAGGAAATCTTATTCCAAAATGAACATTCGTCTCGCAAGGGTAAGCCCGGTACTACTCGCACCTTGATAAATTTTCACTAGAAATGAGAGGCTTGCTCACACTTCATTCAGTATAGGTCGAGGATCTTATGGGAATGCAGTCAACGAACTTGCAGAATCTCCCGGAGAACTACATGATGAAGTTTTGTTCGCACTGCCCTCTTCCTCTTTCCCTTTTCGACGCTGATTGAATTCACACAAGGGATATACCATGCTATGACATGGCCGCAAATATCTTTCGTTGCAGAAGATCATAAGGGTCGAATTGTTGGATACGTCCTTGCTAAGATGTTTGACCGTTGTTATTCTTGTTTATGGGCAGCTTTGACGTCTTTCTTTTCAGAGATGAGCCAGAGGAGGAAGGAGAACCGATTCATGGGCATGTCAACTCGATATCGGTACTACGATCATATAGACGGCTGGGGCTCGCAAAGAAGCTAATGCTTCTATCTCGTGCGTTTCCAATAGCTGTTACCCCTACGCTAAACCGTCAGTCCTGTAGAAGAAGCAATGGCTAACATTTACAAAGCCTCATTTTGTTCGCTACATGTACGAAAATCTAACAAAGCTGCAATAGCTTTGTATCGCGACACGTTAGGATTTGAAGTTGCCAAGGTTGAGGATAAATATTGTGAGCGGCTCCCTCGTTATTTCCGTCAACGCTAACTTTAAGATACAGATGGAGACGGCGAAGACGCTCTTTCAATGCGTCTCTCGCTCAAAGATTCATAGGAACGATGAACATGTGTAGCATCAATCAATTTAGATTCTCCTTCAAACACAGAATAAATCTCGAACAAAACAAATATGTTTTGGCACACCACTCAGAGAAACACATTGGCAAATGCTGCATCGTGGTACCCTTTTGAAAGACTACGGCGCAAATCGTAGGGAGCAAATGGTTCATCAAGACTAGCTTCAAGCAATGACCCAAATGACAACAAAAATGAAGGGAAAGCGTACAGGCGAAGGACAAGGACAAGGAATGAATATCACGATACCAGAAGCAAGCAAGAAATATGAACATCCTGGTATTGTGGCTACACGCTTACTGGGACATGTCAGTAATCGAGAAGTTACAAAGACGATTGACTTGTACTCACGGGGAGGCAGGATGACTCAGTTAATCCGCGCTAGTTGGGTGATACACCTTCTTACGCGCCGCTTCCGCCGCATCCTCAAGCAGGCGGAGCTTCTTCTTGAGCACATTCAAGCTCTCTTCTATCCGTTTGGCGCTCTCTGGGTCCGATCTGTTTCTAATGCTTTCCAGGTGTGTCTCAATGAGCCTCACCGACTTCCCGACTTGACCAGAGAAGGATCCAGAAAGCGAAAGCTCGGAATACTGCTCAGCGAGACGGCCGATTTGCGCAGTTGCCTCTTCGATATTCTCATTGCAGGTGTCGATGGTCTTCAGGACTTCGGCGATTGTAGTCGTCTCGTCGATACAATTTATCTTTTCCAACTTCTCATACCAAGCTTTCTTGCCTTGGAGATGGTGCTTCATCGAGTGGCTGCACTCTATGCAAGTACCACCATAATAGGCCAATTTGCGACATTTAATCAATTTCCAACGTCCAAGGAGGGTAAAGCCGCCCGAACATTTCTCCTGGCAGTTGGTGTAGCAAAGTGAAAATTGGCAGGTAGTGTTGTACGTATCCGTGTCCTGGAGAGTCCAAGTTCCCTTTTGAATGACCTTCTTGAAATTAGCCGCTCCAGAATCAGTCTACAAACGCAGGTGAGTGCACAGCTGTCAGGACTTCTGAGTGACTTACTAACTCGGTCCCATTGGAATCCTCGACTAATTTATCAAGCACATCTTTCGCTTCGGCGAGTTGCGTCATGCGGGCCAACGTGTTGGTAATTTTGTACTCGATCTCTATTGATGCATCGTAGAGCGACGTTATGTCGTTTGTTGCTTGCGGCTGAAGACCATCAATCCAATTAAAAATCTTAACCAACATCTTCAACGTCGTTTGATGGCCTGCGCTGACTTCGGCCTCTGCAATGTCCTCATCGTCCTCGTCGGTATCGCCCTCCGCCTCAGCCTTTGCATTTTTCAAGTAACTCTTCCGCCTCGCGAGCGGGTTATCCATTAAAAAACGTTTGGCGCCTCGCAACTGAAGGGGCAGTGTGTTAACCTCAAAGTTCAAGAAGCGATGGTTGGAGATGTTAGTGAACAAAATTCCGATGTTTTCGGCAAGAGTCCAAGGGAAGATGGAACAAAGTGTAGTGATGGCATAGTCAGTGGCAACACCAAGGCGTGGGCTGGTGCCATTGGCTAGAATGATCACCGCCGTCAACTCCGGAATATTTTCCCGAATAGCGGTGGTGATGCTCTCTTTGTGTTCTTTGTCCTTCTGAATACCCCATGTGTCGGCCAGGCCAGGGTGTCGAGCACGGTCACGCATACATTATTCAAGCTCGTGAATTCATAGACCTTGGCGGTCTTCGTTTGGCTGTGATTTTGCCCTCCACCGTACTCATTGGTGACATCATATGGTTCCAGGTTGTATTTGCTTGGTGATTTGCCTGCTAGTACGTTGACAAGGAGAGATAGGAAACTTGTCTTGCCAGTTCCGGTCTCGCCTTTTCATTGCAACAATAAGTGGATTGAAGGATCTGACCATGAAAAGCGGGACGCACCAACGAGGATAATGGTAAAATTCTTCTTCCTCGTCATGACATTCCCTGCCGCCAGAGATGATGCGGTGCTGTGCCATGGAATACGAGGTCAGTGGCATCTACTGAGTAGCCAAATGGTACGCTTACACCCGAGGGGGCTCTTCTGACTTGACAGGCGGTAAAGCCTCCATGGTGTACGGAAATGACGTATGAACAAGACTGGCAAAATGTGTCGAAATGAGGAGCAGCTCAGTTGTCGGAACAAAATTACCCACGGTAAGGAATTATGGTGGATCTTTAGAGGTGAGGATTGTTCTTACGAGGACAGCGCCCAGGACCGCAATTTCGTCCCCTCGTGAGTCTCATTTATGCATTCCTAGCGGTCACAAATGACCACCACGAGCGAGGCGCATGCTGGGGTAGCCCGGGAAGTTCACTACGTTTCTTCTTCTGCCCACAAGCAATTGGTCCCGGTGTTTCCAGGGGTTGACCATAAAACAGTCAGGAATCGAGATATGACTATGACATACCAATGTCAGATCCCAAACGTGAAGCAAGGTGCAACCCCGGCTCCAAACGAAGAGGATCAAGTCTCCTAGATCGTGAGCGTATGCCAGGGCGCATACCAACCCTCTGTGAAGGAATAAGTATACACTGAGAAGTGCGCGGATAAGGGTGTCAAAGATGCTATTGTCCGTCTGCGATTCACAAGTCCTTCACGCTTGTGGGTAAGTAGTACCATCGATTAGAGTCTCCGATATCAATCACTTAACGAGCGCTTACCAACTGCCAGAAATGAATAATCCCTGATCGCGAGGCGCCTGATTAGTCGTTCCTCCCCCACAATGTTTGAGTACTTCTCACTGCGTTTTGCCTTGAGGACGGCCGTTTATGGCAGTGATGGCATGATGCAGTCACACGATTGACCAGAAGCTTTTGCAGGGCTTTTGCCTCGCGTCTTGCTCACACACGCCAGCACTACATGCGGTATACGCAATGGCTACTTCGCCGTTCAGGGCCGGTGTTGGTTTTTTTTGGACTATGTATGTCTTCTTTATTCAATGATGTCGTTTTGGATGCCGCAAATTGGCCTTCATTTCAAGGTTGTCTGCTTTTAAGCGCTTGACAGGGTATACTCCCGCCCAGTTGACTTCTGATCGATTTTCGCGATCTTCATTACTCGCAAGGTTCAAAGATCTAGATGGGCTATAAGTACTTGAACCACGATCCAGCTTTCTTCAGGTGACACACTCAACTGAAGATGAGCTCTTCTCTGAGTCGACGGCTTGCGTTGACCGTTTGCATCGGAATATAAAAAGATCGTTTATTTTTCGCCGAACCCGGACCTGTCGTGACAGTTGTTCTGTTGCATCCGTTCGTTGAAACCGCGACACTCAACCAACAACCAGGCGCCGCAGTCTCATACTATTGCAATGCTGTGAGGCGGTTACCATGTAGATATCGGTGAGGACTTTAAAAACCGACACACCGTCGTGGGATATGCCTTTCTGCCAAAACGCAGACGTCGCCTCAAGATCTTAGCGACCAAGACGTCTATAGAATGCTTTCCTGAACGTCAGCAGAATTGAGAACAGAGAACTTTCTCCATGGTGCGGAATGTGTCAGGAAAGTCTTGATGGCAGCTCAGATCGTGTATGGAGGTAGCGTTCGGTGCGGAATGGTTCACGCGGGTGGGCGTCATCCTTTTGTCTGTGCACATTATTCAAGATCTGAGATTTAAGAAGATCCTTTTTAGACGACTCTCTTACAAAGTGCGATGAAGGTCTTGGCATCCCCACCATCCTTGCCGCACCGAAATTATGTCCTTCGACGAGCAACCCCTCATCTGAAGCTTTGCAGGCGTGATGAACGACCTCCTTTCGGATTTGCTAGCAGGGCTGGACTTACCCTCGCTAGACAATGTTCATGATTTCGCGGGCAGCGATCGCGAGTCTGCAAGTCCGAATCGGAAAATTACATAGGTGACCACTGTAATGTGACGAGTCCACGGTCGAAACTGTGATCAAGCCGCAAGTTGAAGAGAATGCAGAATCTGAATGGGGGCGTTGTGGACTACTTCTGGCGACCAAAAACGCAGGATCGAAACCCAGTGTCGTCTCTGACAGGTATAGAGGCAAAAGGAGGCAATTCAGTGTCAGTGCACTTGAAGAAAGAGCCCGCCATTCTGGCAGACAGTGGTCGCAAGAAAAATTACTTCAATAAGCAGCTTCATCGTAAGTAACGCCTGTATGTGTTAACGTTTGAGGTTGGCGTCCGTAATGCCATTTTTTCCTAGGTCACTGTATATATGTTTTTAGCACCTTCCGTCTGTCAAAGGCCAATAACAGCCTCCACGAGCCCCGGAACGGCATCGTAGAAGTCGAGCACTGTTCAATGTGTCAGCTTAGTATTGATTGAAGTGTAATAAAACGCAGAAAGGACATTTAAAAAACACAGCGAGAAGAAAGCTGACAAGGGCTTTTTAATAGGCAAGAAGGACGTTCGAAAGTTCAAGAAAGAAGTAAAGACTTACTAATGATGCCAAACCTGCTGCCCTTCCTCGCCTTTAACCACGGTAGCAACTTCTGGTTCATCCCTGGAGTGTCAGTGCCGTTCCCAATGGCAAACATCTTTGGGTTTATGTCAGTATGCTGACAAAAGGAGGAGGGAGGAAGAAATCAGGTAGGAAAATAGAGGAGAAGAATTCGAGAGAGGAGGAGAGGATGAAAGAGGAGGAGAAGAACCAAGAGGGGAGAAAGAAGACCGAGAAAGAAGGGAACATAAAAAATCGAGAGACAGAGAGAAAACGCAAAATCAGAGAGAGGACGCATGGAAGAGGGAAGAAATCAAGGAAGGAAGGAAAGGTAAAACAGTACGTAGGGAAAGGCACATGAAGACGGGAGAGGGGAGAGTAAAAAAACGAGGGAATTTGAAGAAAAGAGGGGAGAAGAAACGAGGGAGGAAGAAGAATCAAGAAAGAAAAAACAACAAGAGGGAGGAAGAACCACGAAACCAAGACAGAAGCAAATGCAAAAGAAATCGAAGCAAAAGCCACAACCCACCCTAGGCGTCATATCCACCTTAACCACACCTGTTACAATCGCAGCAGCGCTCGCAAACGAGATATACAACTGATCCAGATTGAACAGGTTCGCATTACCAAGGTGGGCCGTCGTTACGCCGAATTTATCTTCAATGAACTGGGAGGGTGTGGATGTGAGTGGGAGGGAGGAGTCGTAGTAGTCCTACCAGGAAGAGGTTAGTTTCAGATGGCATGGAGTACCAGTCCCGCTTTCATGGTTGATCGACACCAGTACCGCTTCGGTAGGGTGTTTGTTTAACCATTGATACAACCCAAAAAAGAAGTCGATCATAGTTGTGGTGGGTGCCAACAGTGCTGCAGCTTCATACACGTGTAAGTCCAGAGTAGGGAGAAGAGGGGAAGAAGGGCTTACAGTGGTAAAACCCAATGGTATCATTACCAGGATTATAAGCGAAGCGGAGGTCGAACACGCGTATACCGTCGTTAAGAGATTGAAGGAGCGAGCGTTCTTGGCATCGGAAGAGGTAGGCGGGTGGGAGGCTGCCCGGGGGTGAGTTACATAACAGAAACGGGGAGCGAGGGAGAAGGCTTACGGGCCCGTATAATGAGTGAAAGAGGCTTGTGTTGTGGCTGAGTAGTTCCCTAGTAGCGAGGTTAACTACGTGGGAGGAAGGCAGAGAGGGGAGAAAGGGACAGGTAGAGGTATCGTGTGTCCCTGGAAGGTTCATCCGGACCAATGGAGTGTTGTCGGGGATCTTGGCCATCCAGTCGCATGTTTCAAGTGTTTTCGAGCATCCATTGTCGGGTCCTACGTAGGATTTATGAGATAAGGTAAGGGGAGAATTGAAAGCGACGAACCGAGGATGGGTAAGCCCCGGAGTAGGATGTCGGATAAGGCGGCTTGGGATAGGACTGTTTGAGAACGGTGGTCGTAGGAAGGAAGTCCTGCGAGGGAAGCTAGTGGGGAGAGAGCTAGGAAGAGTGCGCAGAGGCGGAGGTGGAAGAGTATTGTGTGAGGGACTCTTGAAATACATTGCTTGAAATACTTCAGCAACCTCGAGCTTCGTTAGCTATTCGGTTTGATAGCGGTGAAATGGATGTGATGCATGTGAACTTGGTCGTAATTGATACATGCATGATGGTTGCATTGCGGTGAATTTTTGATTGAGAGGATCCAATGGCCGTTCTCGCCAAATAGGCTGGCCAAATTCGCGTAGATGAGCAGGCCTTTGATGAGCTGGTGGGGAAGATGAACCAGAGGATTAGCGCGGATGAGGATCTGAGGTCTTCATGAGGACGAAGATGTCTGGCATGGTTGTTTGAATGAGGTAACATCTTCAATCTACCTGAGAAATTACATACATCGGACTGATAGTTAGAAGATAATTTTATCAGTACATGACCACTGTCTTAATGGTAGAACGAACCATAGTAGGGACCTCCAAATGATATATCTCACCGCTTCACAATCTTTGTTCCATCCTGGTGGAATAGCGTGGGAAGTAAGCTGTACGCCAAGCGGCAGTCTCTTTACCTACGACCTTCAACTCAGCCAACTTCCACTAAACCTCTTTTTCGACCGACAAGCTTTAATCAACCTCTACAACATCTCGTCACTATGCCAGAGTCAAAATTACCCTCCGATAGTTATCCCAAATCAGATGTGCCTTCCGTCCAAGAACTAGGATCTCATATCATGGGAGCTCGTGTTCGTATCACGAATTAGGGAGATATCTTTTGTGGTTGTTAACAATACTTTTACAGACTCCAGGTGGGGAAAGTAACCATGCCGAAGCCAGTGCACAGGAGAGCCCTCAACTAGTACGTCCTTTACAACATGCAGTGCATCGCGATAGGCTAATGAAGAGCAGGTCACGGATATCGGCCCAGCTGGACACACAACAGACATTGATAGGAACGTCATCGCTACCGATGTAAGCAAATGACGTTGTCTCACTTCCCGAGATTGTGATTATAATGACCTATACTGCAGGAGTTTATTAATGATGGCGAGAATGATGTGTCTGAAATGATCAATCTTGCTGTCTCGCTCATGGCAGAATGCAAGGCAGGGTTATCGCTTTCAGAGCTAAACGACGTGGTCTTCCTGTTCCGTCACGTTAAAGATAGCTGCCCAGCAACACACCTGCTCCACACTGCTGCCAAGAGAGATCTTGTGTCCGCATTGGGTGTCAGATTCATGTACACCAATCAGATACATGATTTGATGGAATCTTTGACTCTTCGCAACGAGATAGTTGAGGGTGGGATTTTAGACCAAGAGGCAAGCCCTGAAGTGAGCACATTCCATTCTTGACAACATATATTAGCTTAGTGAAGATTAAGATCAATACCACCATCCAACTAGAGGACAAGACAGACAGAGAAGACACATCAGAACTCGCGAAGGGATTGTTGATGGGCTTCCAGAAGTCAACTTCCCTTCACATTCTGAACAAAATTGTCTTCCTTGTTCAACATGCACTTACACAATTATCAGCTGCATCTACAAGCCGGTTCATTGCATTAACGACTCTGGTTGATGCATTATATGCCCGCTTTAACCATTCTTATGATCTGACCGACCTGAACAAAGCAATTTCTAGTTTGCAAGATGCTAGCAAATGTTGCATGGAGCAAGATCAGCAAGAATTGAACATAAACTTCTGGATCTGTGGGCTGTTAGCAACACGATTTGATTCAATGGGGGATATTTCTGATCTTCAAAGGGCATTGGATTGGGCTATGAAAGGGACTGAAACTTCCACAGGTATTCTGGAATCACTTGAGTTTGCTGATGAACTTCATAAACAGTTCACAATGTCAGGTAACATGGCTGACCTGAATACTGCAGTGACACTTTTTAGGGAAGGGATTGCAGAACTACCTCAGGGAAGTGAGAATTATGCAGCTGCTGTCAATAATTTTGCTTTTGCACTGTGGACCCAATTTGAGCAGGGAGGTCAGCAAAGTGACCTTGATGAAGCCATTTCTCTGTTCAGGCAAGCTCTTGACCTCCGACTTCCACCTCATCCTGATCGATCCAGCTCCCTCAACAATCTTGCTTCTGCACTGTTGACCCAATTTGAGCAAGGAGGTCAGCAAAGCAATCTCAATGAAACCATTTCTCTGCACAGGCAAGCTCTTGAGCTCCGACTTCCACCCCATCCCGATCGATCCAGCTCACTCAACAACCTTGCAAATGCACTGTGGACCAGATTTGAGCAAGGAGGTCAGCAAAGTGATCTTGATGAAGCCATTTCTCTGCACAGGCAAGCTCTTGAGCTCCGACTTCCACCCCATCCCAATCGATCCAACTCACTAAACAATCTTGCAAATGCACTGTCAACCCAATTTGAGCAAGGAGGTCAGCAAAGTGATCTCAATGAAGCCATTTCTCTGCACAGGCAAGCTCTTGAGCTCCAACTTCCACCCCATCCCAATCGATCCAGCTTGCTAAACAATCTTGCTTCTGCACTGTCAACACGATTTCAGCAAGGAGGTCAGCAAAGTGATCTAGATGAAGCTATTTCTCTCCACAGGCAAGCTCTTGAGCTCCGACTTCCACCCCATCCCCTTCAATCCAGCTCACTCAACAATCTTGCTTCTGCACTGTCAACCCAATTTGAGCAAGGAGGTCAGCAAAGTGATCTTGATGAAGCCATTTCTCTGCACAGGCAAGCTCTTGAGCTCCGACTTCTACCCCATCCTCTTCGATCCAGCTCACTCAACAATCTTGCTTCTGCACTGTTGACCCGATTTCAGCAGGGAGGTCAGCAAGGTGATCTAAATGAAGCCATTTCTCTGCACAGGCAAGCTCTCGAGCTCCAACTTCCACCCCATCCCCTTCGATCCAGCTCACTCAACAATCTTGCTTCTGCACTGTGGACTCAATTTGAGCAAGGAGGTCAGCAAAGTAATCTTGATGAAGCCATTTCTCTGCATAGGCAAGCTCTCGAGCTCCAACTTCCACCCCATCCCCTTCACTCCAGCTCACTCAACAATCTTGCAAATGCACTGTCAACCCGATTTGAGCAAGGAGGTCAGCAAAGTGATCTTGATGAAGCCATTTCTCTGCACAGGCAAGCTCTTGAGCTCTTCCTTCTACTCCATCCCCTTCGGTCCGGCTCACTCAACAATCTTGCAAATGCACTGTTGACCCAATTTGAGCAAGAAGGTCAGAAAAGTGATCTTGATGAAGCCATTTCTCTGCACAGGCAAGCTCTTGAGCTCCGGCTTCCACCCCATCCCGATCGATCCAGCTCACTCCACAGTCTTGCTTCTGCACTGTCAACCCAATTTCAGCAAGAAGGTCAGCAAAGTGATCTCGATGAAGCAATGTTTCTATTTCTTACTGCTACCCAATACCCCTTCCAATCTCCATCTAATCGCCTTCATGTTGCAAGAAGATGGATACGTCATGCAGATAGAAATCAACATAGCTCTGCAATTGATGCTTATGAAGCTTCCATACAGGCTTTACCACAGGTGGCTGCCCTGAGCTTGGATGTAGCATCACGACAGAACACCATGACTGCAGGCAGTGATGGCTTAGCTCGGGATGCAGCTAGATGTGCTATTCGCTCTGGACGTATAGACAAAGCCATAGAACTTCTAGAAGCAGGACGAAGTATCTTCTGGTCACAGGTCCTATCTCTCCGCTCACCATTTGATCAACTCCACAAGATTGAACCAGAATTAGCAGATAAGATACGAAATATTGCAACTAAGCTGGAGATTGGATCTCATCGTAATGTTTTTTCCGAGATTTTGGACAACAGAAAGAAGTTATCTATAGACCAGGAAGCAGCCCGACTCAATCGCCTTAATGAAGAATGGGCTCAATCTATTGATGAAGTTAGGACAAAGAGCGGATTTGAGGACTTTCTACGCCCATCCCGTTTATCCTCACTCAAATTGGCTGCGTCAGAATATCCAGTTGTCATCCTTATTGCGAATGACGATGAAAGCCATTGCCTCATCATGACATCAACAATCATTCATCACATCCCTCTTCCAAAGTTAGGCACTCCTAGGTTGAAGGAACTTGCTCATACCATTCAGATAGCTGGCTCTCACTCACCAATATCACGGTCGCTCATTGATCAAACCCAAGATATAAAGCTCCTGGAGGAAGAGCGAGCAGGAAGAGTTAGCAGCCATCTTAGATCTTCAGATGATATGTTCAAATCTGTTTTGAGGATCCTGTGGGATGAATTGGTAAAGCCAGTCATTGAATTTCTCAATATTAAGGTCAGTCAATATATTTCTGCAAATGATCGGCCTACTGACAAAATATTATAGAAATCAGACAAAATGACTGTCCTGCAGTGGTGCCCAACTGGTCATTTCACCTTCCTTCCCATCCATGCTGCAGGCTGCTACGATGACAAGCTAGATATTGATTGTGCCCCAGATTACTTCATTTCTTCATACACTCCATCCATAGGGGCACTTTTGGCTTTGGATTCAGCTCCCACCACCCAATCATTCCAAATGATGGCTGTGATCCAATCTAAAGGGCTGCCTTCTACAAGAAGGGAGCTAGAAAACATTCGGCGACATGTATCTTGTGAAGCTCTCATTGAATTAGGAGTTCCTGGAGTACCTGCTGGAGTTGAAGCTGTTGCCTCCCGTCTTTCGAATGCGTCTATTGTTCACTTTGCATGCCATGGAAATCAAGATCCATGTAAACCACTTGACAGTGGGCTCAAGCTCGATGATGGGCTACTCCAAATCTCAAGAATTATGAAGGAAAAGATGCCAAATGGATCACTTGCCTTTCTCTGTGCTTGTGAGACAGCCATGGGCAATGAAAATCTACCAGATGAGGCAATGAGCATAGGTGCAAGCTTGATCTTTTCTGGATTTCGGCGGGTCATTGCAACTATGTGGTAAGTTGTTATTGGCATTGTTTCCTTGGAAATAAATTCTGAGAGCATTAATTGGGCTAGGAAAATGATGGACAAAGATGGACCTACTATTGTAGACACATTTTATGAAGAACTTTTCTTGGGCGGTCCTGATGGAAGACCAGCTATTAAACCTGATATGACAAAGTCCGCTCTAGCTCTTCACCTTGCAGTCAAGAAACTCCGTTCGCAGGGTGTTTCATTCCATCGTTGGGTTCCTTTTATCCATATGGGCAAATAATATAGGTATAGTATTCTGTACTGTATGTTTTGACCTCATTTGGGATATTTTTCATTTCTCCAAGGCTACCCCCATTTGTATACAATCTATGATATTTAGCCATGAGAATAAATCCATCTTACCACCGTGCCCATTGTCTGTAGCAGTCACACCTAATCACACCTTGTCATACTCCAATACTGCTTGCCTATCCAGCCTCTTTTCCTTTTTAAATACTAGAATTCATTAATATTTCTTACTCATAGTTTATTATCTAGACATCTCAGGGAGTTATATAAGAACCCCCCCTCATGTAGACAAAACCCTTGCTTTTTGAACAAGATACACTTAACCAGTCACTCTTGTTTTGAAGGCTCTTTCCCTTCTATTGTGTTGTTACTGTGACCATCATCATGCTAACACCACATATTTTTGACTGAACCCTGTATCTTAACTCAACTTTAACTTGCTACACTTGTTGTCTCCTTTGGATACCATCTGGTCTGATCAACCAGGTACTCCTACGACCGACAAACACTGCTCACAAACAATGTCCCCCTACAACCTGTGAACACACTCATCTGGAGTCACATCAGCCAGTCCGATCATGGACATTACCAGTGCACGTGCAAACCCTCCTCATCTTGCTGACACATCATATCACCTCAGCTAATCTTAGCCACTCTGTTGTGTTGGCAGCATGCCTCACAATGGAACCCCCTGATGTCCGTGTTGTCGGCTCAGGGGAGAATAACTTAGAAGCTAAAAATAATGTTAGTAACACAGATAACCCATTTATTGAAAAAAGTATGTACTCTACCAACTGAGCTATGCCTGGTAGCCAGTGCTTGTGTAGTCTTGACACTCCAAAAAAAGACATCTGAGTTGAATGAAAACCAGTTTAAAGTTGCTAGAAAACAGAGAGACTTGATCTTGAAGTGTGAGGATCATGTACAAAAAAAGACTCATTCCCATGGAGAAGGAATCTTCAAGGGGAAAGGAGTAGACCCCCAAAACTGGGGAGATGTTGGTATCTCAGATACTGACCTTAATATTGAGATGCAAACATCAATGTGACAAATTTTTAAAACCAATCATGATGCTACACAACATACCAGTGCTCAGATTAATGGTCCTGACGATGAGGATTTGGGTAATTGTGCTGATGAAATGTGCACTAAATTTGATGAAGGAAAAAGGAAACACAAAAAATGCACCAAGAAGTCTGGAAAGACTTATAAGTAGTGTAGTGCCAGTACACCACTATCTCAAGAATATGAGAAGGAAATTAGCAAAGTGGCTGGAGGGTGCCAGGAAAAGCCTACCAAAATTGAGAATCTTCCTGGAAAGGAAATAAACCACTCTACATGCAACTTTAAACCTAGCACATAGATTTAAGACTCAGACTTGAAAAACTAATGAGACTTATGGCAATTTGGACTCCAGTTCTGAGTATTCAGATTCTGAGAATTCTGATTCAAGTAGCAATCATGACACTTCAGGCAACTCAAGCACAGATCCCCTCAGCAGCTCAGACATTTCTTTATCTGACCCCAGTAGCTTGGACTCCAGTTCCGAGAGTTTGTCAGATTCTGATGTCTGATAATAGCTATAGACATTAGGGGGAGTCAGAGTGGCTGGTTTAGCAACAATTCAAAATCAGGTTCAAAGATGATTCTGAAATTTTATTTTTTGTCTGAATTGCCATTGAACTGGGTCTAACTCTGACCCCCACTGGTTCAGCTTGAGGCTTAAATATCTCTATTTCATGCCAGTTCTGACCACCTCCAGAATCCAGATGTATAACCCATGAAATTTTATCTACATACAGTTGAGAGCAAAAATAATGGACCATGGGTGATTTTCCAGTTCTTTCTAAATACATATTGTGGTCTAAATGTAGTTGTGTATTCCTCTACATTATGTAGTTGTATTACACTTCCCTTGGTATGGGCTAATTTGGGTGAAAGCTGGAGCTGTGATGAGGTTTTTGTTCTGATGGCCATTTTTAGCACCTGTTTAAAAAAATATGCGCTAACTGGACAGAGAGCCAAAAGATACCTCTGGTTAGCCTGAATGAGCTCATCAAAGAATCAGTTGAAAATACTGAGCGATTATGCCTGTAGAGCCTGTAGAAAATGGTCATTTTGTGCCATTTTGCAGTACTTTACCATCCCCCACATAATCCACATGGACTCCACTGGATTCCACTGGATTCCACTGGACTTCACTACATACTGGCAATATCCACAAAACTGGACTCCACTGGACTCCACTGGACTGCAAGCACAAATCTGGACTGGACTGGACTGGACTGGACTGCAAATCACAAAACTGGACTCCACTGGACTCTCCCAACACAAAATTGGACTGCCACAGACCTAAGTTAATCCAGAATTCCTGAACTTAGACTTCAAAACAAAAAATAAAATTGAAGTATATTTATTAATTTAATTAATTAATTTTACTAGATTCTATGTTACAGAGAGGGGGGAGGGAGAAGGAAAAGAGAGGGGAGAGGGAAAGAAGGGGGAAGGGAGGAATGGAGGGGGAGGGAGTGGTGATCAGGAAGGGAAAGGGAGGGGGAAGGGAAAGGGAGGGGGAAGGGAAAGGGAGGGGGAAGGGAAAGGGAGGGGGAAGGGAAAGGGAGGGGGAAGGGAAAGGGAGGGGGAAGGGAAAGGGGAGGGGGGAAAGGGGGGAGGGAGTGAAGGGGGGAGAGAGTGGAGGGGAGTGGGAGTGGTGAAGAGAGGAGGTAGTGATGGGGGGAGAGAGTGGAGGGGAAGGGTGGTGCTGCTGGGCCCTCGTTGCCATTCCGTGCTGGCGTTGGTGGTGGTGGGCGCTCGTCGTTTTTCGTGGGCATGTCGTTTTTTGGGTGTGGTGAAGGTGGGGTTTTCATGGGTGCTCATTAGTTGTTGTCATGTGTCATTGTTGTTGTCACGTGTCATTGTGTGTTGTCAACCCCGCGTGTAGTCGTTGTCGTGTGTCGTCATTGTCGTCATGTGTCGTTGTCCCCGCGTTTAGTTGTTGTCGTTGTCCTCATGTGTCGTTGTCCCCGTGTTTAGTTATTGTCATTGTCCTCGCGTGTCGTTGTTGTTGTGGTGTGTCATTGTCCTTGTGTGTTGTCATTGTCCTCGTGTGTTGTCGTTGTCCTCGTGTGTTGTTGTCATTGTCGTGTGCCGCTGGCGCCTGTCGTGGTGAGAATGGGGCATTGGTGGTGGGGCATACATACCCTTGGCCCATGACGTGGCAACGTCATGGGCGCCGTCCCTCGTTCTTGGCCTGTCCTTCCACGTTGGTGTGGGTGTCGTTGGCGTGGGCATGAGCGTCGTTGGCATGGGCGTGGGCGTCGTTGGCATGGGCGGTGTTGGCGTGGGCGGTGTTAGAGGGGAGTGGTGAAGGGTGGTGGTGGTGGAAAGGAATGGGATGGTCACGGAAGTGTGACCATGCCGCAAACAGGAGACGTGACAATATGGCATGCCCTCAAGTAAGTCACGTGACCTCACCCCACAGACTGAACAAAATCATGAATCCTTATTGCAGCTATCACTGACCCACACTACATGTAAATTATAACCTTTCCATTCATTGATCAATTAGTCTATTTTCGCTTTTTTAGTAGTATTCATATATAATAATAATAATATACTGGAATGACTGGAATCCACTGGACTCCACTGGACTCTGACTGGACTCATAGTCCACTGGACTGGGACTGGACTCAGGAAAGTGGCTTGCAGTCCAGTAGGAGTCCACTGGACTGGACTGGACTGGACTGGACTGGACTGGACTGGACTGGACTGGACTGGACTCCAGTGGACTGGGCATTCTGCCAGCCAATCTGGCAGTACTTTACCATCCCCCACATAATCCACATGGACTCCACTGGATTCCACTGGATTCCACTGGACTTCACTACATATTGGCAATATCCACAAATCTGGACTCCACTGGACTCCCAGCACAAAACTGGACTGGACTGGACTGCCACAGACCTAAGTTAATCCAGAATTCCTGAACTTAGACTTCAAAACAAAAAAATAAAATTGAAGTATATTCATTAATTAAATTAATTAAATTTACATAGATTCTATGTTACAGAGGGGGGAGGGAGGGGGAAGGGAAAGGGAAAGGGAGGGGAAAGTGAAAGGGAAAGGGAAAGGGAGGGGAAAGGGAAAGGGAAAGGGAGGGGGAAGAGAGGGATGAATAGAGGGGGGAGGGAGCAAGGAAGGGGGAAGGAAAGGGAGGGGGGGAGAGAGGAGCCAGGAAAGGGGGAGGCGGGAGAGACTGAAGGGGGGAGAGTGTGAAGGGGGGTGGGAGTGGAGGTGAGTGGGAGTGGTAAAGAGAGGAGGTAGTGATGGGGGGAGAGAGTGGAGGGGAAGGGTGATGCTGCTGGGCCCTCGTCGCTGTTCAGCGCTGGCAGGCCCTCGTCGTTTTTCGTGGGCGTATCGTTTTTCGGGTGTGGTGGGGGCGGTGTTTTCGTCAGCGCTCGTTCGTCGTCATTGTCGTGTAGTCATTGTCGTCGTGTGTCGTTGTCCTCACGTGTTGTTGTTGTTTTTGTGGGTGGGGGTCGTTTTTCATGGGCAGTGGCTGGTTTTCATGTGATGTGGCAGCAGGTGGTGGTGGGCGGTAGCTGTTTTCCATGGGCGCTCATTCGTGTATGTCGTGTGGTCGGCTTCGCATGTTGTCGTCATTGTGCTTGTGTGTTGTCGTGCTTGCATGTTGTCATTGTGCTCACGTGTCATCGTTGTCGCTGTCCTCATGTGTTGGTGTCGTTGTCCTCATGTGCCGTGCATGGGTGGTTGCTGGTGTCGTGCCTGTCATGGTGAGAACGGAGGAATGGGGTGGTGGGGCATACGTACCCCTTGCCCATGACGTTGCCACATCATGGGCGTTGTCCCTCATCCTTGGTCCATTGTTCCGTGCTGGGGGTGTCGTTGTCGTTAGCATGGGTGTCGTGGGCATCGTTAGCATGGGCGTGGGTGTCGTGGGCATCGTTAGCATGGGCGTGGGCGGCGGCGGCG